TTTAGCTCTTTTATAACTATCTAAAACTACTATATCTTATACTATATTTAGCTATAGAATTATATTAATAAACCTAGTTTAGATTTTAATTATAAAAACTTTATTATTATTAATTAGCTTTTTATTTATATCTAGCTAAAAGATATTAATATTAGTTAATTTCTATTTAGATATATATATATTTTATAGAACTTTAATTATTTTTTACTAGTTTAGATTTAAATTTAATTATTTTTAATTCTATACTAATTAAATAATTATTACTTAGTTATACTTTTATATATTAAATATATTCTAAATAGAATTATTCTACTTTATAAATATAGTATTCTTTAACTAAGTTAAATTTATATTTATTTTTAGTACTATTAGAATAGCTATTTCTATATTTAAATTAGTAATCTAAAAGATAGTAATTAAGATTTCTTTTTCTTAATTATTTTAAATTTATTTAATTTTAATTTATTTATAATTAGTTTTATTATTTTTAGATTAAGTTAGATTCTCTAATAGTATAAATATTAGTTTTTCTAACTAAATTAGATTATTTTTAGAAATAGATATTATTAATATAGTTTAATTACTATTTAATATAGTTAATTAAATAAGTATTTACTTAAGTAGAGTAATAATTATTAATCTTATTTTTATAAGAATATCTAAATTCCTTTAGAAACTCTTAGTTATTTTATTTATTAGAATAATATAATTATTTTTAATTTTCTCTATAATTATTTCTAGATTAATTATTCTTAGAATAAACTTTAGCTCTAGAAAGAGTAGTTTTTTACTTTTCCCTAGTAATAGATTTTTAAATATTATTAGAATAGAGTATTAGATTAGAATATCTCTTCTCTATATTATTCCTATTAAATCTAAACTTTTATTAGAACTAATTTTAAAATTTAAAAAGAAAAATTCTTATTTCTATATTTAGTTATTATTTAATAATAATTTAGAACTATCTAGTTTTTCTCTTTCTAGTATATATATCTGGAAATATCTAAGAATAGATCTAATTAGTAGGGATTATTCTTATAATTATATAAGATATTCTAAGCCTAGCTATATCTTAACTAGAGTTCTCTGCTTTTATATAGTTAAGAAAATAATAAAAGTATTTTTAGAGTTTTTACTTATATCTATATCTATTTATTCTCTTAAGATTTTATTTTCTATTAATTTAATTTTTAAGTTTTTTAAATATAGTAAAATTAATCTATTTATTAGTATAATTTCTAATCTCTAGACTTTTAAAATAATATATTTTATAGAGTTTTAGATAGCTCTAATTATATATTAATTAATTAAGTTCTAATAGATTAGAGCTTTAATATTCTATTCTTTTAATAGTTAAAAAAATAGATATTTAGAGTTAATTTATTTAATAAATATCTTAATTAATTAGATTATAATTATTATTTATAATAATCTATCTTATAATATAAAATTTAGATTATTTTTAAGAAAATTAGTAACTTAGTATATATATTTAATATTAAATATACTAAGATAATTATTTCTTAAACTAGCTCTAGCTAGTATCTAGCTAGGTATTTTTTTATTACTCTCTCTTAGACTATTAAATTAAGTATTTAAGATCTTATAATAATAGAGAATTACTACTATCTATTATACTTAGAACTAGTTATAATTAGCTTAGGTATTATTAATAGGTTCTTAGTTATTAGCTATAGGGTAGCTATAGTTAGATAGCTTATAGTTAAAACCTAGATTTATAATATCTTTACTTATATATAAGATAATATAATTCTTAAGGTTTAAGTTCTTTCTATCTACTAGCTGTTTATAGCTCTTTTATAAGGGGCTCTATATAGCCCCTGTTTATAGTATAATATTATTTCAGCTTTAGTCTAAGATAACTATACTTAAGGTATAAATTTAAAAGATATTTATATCTATACTATAATCAGAATAGCTCTAGATATAGTTATATAGATAGCTGAAGATAATACTAAAGAATTTAAATTAGAGTTTATAGAGAGCTGTTTTATATATATTTATATTATATTTTAGCTAATTATTAATCTAAGTTATTAACTTATTACTCTATATATTTCTCTTTATATAATTCTATTTATTCTATATTCTAACCTATACTTAATTCTTAGTAATCTTAGTAGGTTCCGGGGATATATCTATTATCCGCAGGCTAGGTTTACTCTTATAGTTTATATAGCTTAACTCGCTCTTATTCTCTATAAGCTAGCTTTCTCTTCTTTCTATAGAGCTTAATACTGAGTTTTATAGTTATATAAGTTAAATAAGATTCTTTTTATTACTTTAGCTAATACTTATTCTTTCTTTAAAGGAGCTATTATAAACTACTATAGGATTTAGTTTTACTAATATTATTAACTATATATTAATTTTTAGAAAAGCTAGTTTACTTATTTTAATAGTTTTATTAGTAAGGCTTATAGTTCTTTTAAAATACTATATTTAGATTCTCTCTACTTTATAATTAATTATATACTTATATATACTATAGTCTGAGCTATATAGTATAATCTAGAATACTTTTATTCCTAGATAAGAATATTAATAGCTAGGATATATAAGTATATTAGCCTAATAGTTAATTCTATAACTCTAATTATTATATTAGTTCTTATATTACTTATATAATTATAGAATTATAACTTATACTATAAAAATAAAAAAGATAATCTACTAAGTAGTATCTATAGTATATAGATATTTAAAAATAAAAATAACCTATTATATTATAATTCCAATAGTAATACTCTTAATATCTATTATTAATATAATCTTAATCTTCTTATAGAGTAATTATATTAACTAGGTTAAGTATATTAATATTAATAGTATTACTATATTAGTAAGAATAGTAATTAAGATATCTATAAAAAATAAGATTAGCTAATTAAAGTATTTTCTATTAATACTCTAGTTATAGAATATCTATATAGGTATATAAATAATGATTTTTAATACCTTGATAATAATATAGATAATAAATAGGGTGCTAATAAAGATATAAAGGGTATAGAGATACCTCTCCTGATAGTAAATATACGAGCGATAAGTAGTAGTAGGGAGACCTTGGTAAAGAATACAGCCGGGTAGTAGATAGTTTTCACGCCGAAAGAGCTAGTTTCTTTTAGTAATTTTATCTCTACTTTATAATCTCAGTATTATTAGGCTTTTCTATTATAGCTGGTTAATAAGCTTTATTAATAAAATTATTAGTTATATAGTAGAAGTCTTATAAAGTAGATATATTATAAAGTAGATATATTATAAAGTAGAATCTAATAGACTTTTAAATAGAATAATACTAAAGTTAGAATCTAATTAGTAATAAGTAGTAATATAAACTGGTTTTTAGTCTATAATTTTCTATTAGCTAGTCTCTAGATTAGTCTTATATCTATAATATATAAAGTCTACTATCTGGGGTTAGATAAAACTACTCCTTCTAGTATAGAGATACTAAAAGAGATAGATTAAAAATATACTAAATTATATATATTATATTTATCTTTATCTTATAGTAGATAAATATATAGCTATATTAGAAACTTATTAAATATAGAATTTTTTTTTACTTAAATAGAGAATTTTATAAGAGAAAAGAAATAAATATTAATATACTTCTAATTAAAATATATTAGTTTAAAAAACTCTCTTTAGAATCTAATTTAGTATAATATAACTATTATACTATTTAAATATTATATTAATCTGTTTTATAGAGAAATTATATATATTTATATTCTTTACTAATACTAATTACTATATAGAAGAGAGGTTTTATAGAAAACCCTAAACTAGAGTAAACTAAGTAAGCTCTATTAGATATTCTATAATATAATCTTAATATCTATAGTAAATATTAATAAAATATTAATAATAATTATATATTCTATAAGTATAGATTATTAGTTTATATCTATTACCTTTAGTTAGAGTATATCTAGAAATACTTAGATTAAAGTAGTAATACTCAGGGGCTAGATTTAAGTTAGATATTTTTAAAATTAAGATTAGATATACAGTTATTCTGTACCACCGGCTAGCAGTCTACCAGATGCAATGAGTGGCTTTATGCCCTCGTAATGTCCTCTTTTATCTTGTTAGTCCTTGGCAGTCCGCTCATGGAGTGGTATACTCACGCTTTCACGCTCTTCCGAAGCTCTAACACTCCCGGTCTGTCGGGTAGGATACAAAGGAACTCTTTCTTTTGAGACCCAGTAGCCATTGAGCGGTAGCCAGAAGGAGGAAAACGGGCTCTGAGGCCTATGTTTCGGATAGGTGTACTAGCTCTCAGATGAATGACGGAAGAATTCATTTTGACGATACTGAAAAATAAAAGAGTTGGAATACGGATGGATGACTGAGAGTATTGATAATGGGTCCTAGCCATGGGCACCTTTTCATGCATCTTCCTATGGTGATTAGCCGTTAACTTAACCCCCATTATCGAATAAGACCAAGGCCTGATGAAGTGTGTGGTTGAAGGGGTGGAGTTCGTGGAGGGCGGGATTTGATTCCGGAAGATCGCTTTCCCCAGGATCTCATTCCTGACACAGGTCCTCGCTTTTGGGGTCATCATCCAGTAATCTAGCCCCTAAGTATTACTGCTTTAATCTAAGTATTCCCAGATATATTCCAGCTGAAGTTAAAAAATAGGTATAAGCTAATAATCTATACTTATAGAGTATATAATTATTATTAATATTTTATTAATATCTACTATAGATACTAAGATTATATTATAGAATATCTAATAAAGCTTACTTAGTCTATTCTAGTTTAAGGTTTTATTCTTTACTAATACTAATTACTATATAGGAGAGAGGCTTTATAGGAAACCCTGAATATACTACTATATAAGATACTATATTATTTATAGGTAACCTAAGGTTAAATTTTAAAACTTTAATATATTTATAAAGGGCAAGAAAGCAGAATTCTTATTTTATCTCCCGACCAAACCTTCGACAAGCTCACATATGGCCCTCTCAATCCTTCGCATTGCCCCCTTGGCCCGAAGGTCCTTGTACCCTATTCGTGTGACAGCTTCGCCCGGGTTCACTAAACGCTGTCTCTTGTATAACGGAATGGATCCTCGTTCGTTTTCAACTAGTCTTCCCACTCGTGCCAGAGCGACGCCGGTTTTCTCCCCACACGGAGTTAAGCGTGCGCAATCCCTTTTACAAAATTTAAAACGTATCATTACTCACTCAATCCACAGCAATTGGTCCTTATTCGCAGGCCATCAAGGCCAACGGACTCGTCTTTGTCTCGGGCCAGATTCCCGCTGAAACCACTGGAACTCTCATCGAGGGGACTGTGGCTGAGAAGACCCATAAGATGTGCCAGAATGCGCGAGCGGTCTTGGAAGCAGCGGGTTCCAGCCTTGAAAAAGTTGTTAAAATAACAGTGAGTTACCAAGAGGCTATTAGGGCCGACATCTTAACTAATATCACCCGAGGTCTTCTTCCAAAACATGGATGATTTCAAGGAAATGAACGAAGTTTACGCTACATACTTCCCTCATAAGCCAGCAAGGAGTTCATGTGAAGCTGTGAGGCTGCCTGCTGGGGCGAGCATAGAGATAGATATTATTGCGTTAAGGTGGAACCAACGAATCTCGAATGGGATCAACATCGAAAATGCCTTTCTACTTTAAACAGTTCTGAATCTCACCCGTTGATCCGCTTGAGTAACTTGATACATCCCTGTCCCTCGCGTAAAGAAGGATATAGAAGAGACATTGGACTCGCTGTATTAGGGAGGTCATGCCTCACATGATCGATTTAGCACCACGGATTCAGGTTCCCCTCATCTCGCTCAATTTTTATTAGCTGCATGCACCTGACATTCTTTGTGATAGGAAGCGTACTCCGCGCTGGGAACTGATTCCGGGCCGGATCAACCTACCATTGATGACGGGTCTGGAGTTGGTCTCATTCAATCAAGTGGCGGGATTACATGCCGGAATGAGCCTTTCCTTTCTTGGGTGTTGACCAATGTGAATCCTTGGCAATATAGCCTTCTATATCTAGCCCGAGGCCGGGTTCTGATGTCATCGTGACTCAATTGAAGCTGTACAGCGGAATGATTAGATGTTGTTTATATTTCTCTTCTTCGACCTCTTGAAATAATTCAGATTTACCCCCTTTTTAGACATTGGTCATGACGTTCCGGAATTTTGCAACAAGGTCCATTGAGTTGCCCAACCGAGTCGCAAACAGCACTGTCGGTAAGGCACGAAATGGATTACCGACAAAGGGCTCAAGCTTGTCCCGGATACCCACCACAGATTTGATACGGTCTCTCTTCTTGACGTCCATGATGTCCAAAACATGGTTTATGAAGCCCTGCCTGACATTCTTGGACGCCGTAACGAGATCAAAATCGGCAATCATCAATGCGGACAGAAATCCCATTCTTAACAGAGTGCTGCGATGGACCATTTACAATCAATTCTGCGCTGGCTCCAATAGCACAGAGGTCTCTCGCTCAATGAGTGAGCTAAGGCAACTTGGCTACGAAGGTGTTATTTTGGGATTCGCAAAGGAGATTGTACTTGACCCTAGTGAAGGCGCCGCTGTGATGCCAAGCACGGACTGGCGTGCTATCGCATGATTGAGGAATGGAAGGATGCCAATCTCGATACCATCCGCATGCTCTCTTCAGGGGACTTCTTGTCTGTGAAGTAAGTTTGCATATATTGACCCCACCTTCACGGTTGGGGCGGCTATTTTACACCGCAGATGTAAATGCTAACCACTTCGCCTAGACTCACGGGCGCAGGCCCGATTTGCATCGCCGCATTGCAAGCTCGAGAGCGTATGCCCCCTGCTATTTCAGAGGCACTAGACAAATTTCCATAGAGACGAGAAAGGCCGGCGCCCGGCTTTGGATAGATGCTGAGCAGCAGATACTCCAAATCGGCTTGGATGAATGGGTTATTGAGCTGATGAAGCGCCACAACCAGAAGGGAGAACCCCTTGTGTATAACACCATCCAGGCATACCTCAAGGGAGCAAGAGAAAATGCCCAACGCCACATCCTCCAAGCGGCACAAGAAGGATGGTCGTTGGGCGTGAAACTTGTCCGAGGCGCTTATATCGAAAATGAGGTCCGGTCGTTGATTCATGATGCAAAGAGTGACTCAGACCAATCCTACGATGACATAGCCGACATGCTCATATCGCGCAGAGTCCCTCAGACCGACAGCCGGGAAGAACTGTCCTTCCCCACCACTGCCTTAATGTTAGCAACGCACAATGCCGCAAGCGCGTCCAAGGCTATGGCAACACACCGTGATAGGGTTGCTCAAGGATTGCCTCTCACAAAGCTAGAATGTGATCAGATCAAGGGCATGGCTGATGAGCTTAGCTGCTCCCTCATCGAAGACTGCGAGGGAACCTTCACAACCGACGAAAAAACAAGGACAGAAGCACCTGGTGTCTTCAAGTACGTAGCATGGGGATCTGTCTCGGAATGCATGGGCTATCTTTATCGCCTGGCAGTAGAAAACCGTGGGGCCGTTGAACGAACGCAACATATGGTTGAAGCATTAGCAAAGGAGCTTCGCCGCCGTGTCTTCGGGTAGTTTAACATTCCACGTTGCACTCTTTTTTTAGTTGCGAGGGATTACGAACTCTTCCTAAGAATTAAACACCATTTTGATCCATAACTGCCTAGCTCAAGATTTCAATACTACATGTATTCTAGAGTGTCACAACTGACGAACCTCAAGCCAGCCGAGCCCCAGCGAGTAGAAGCGTATTGATATCTGGTTGCTATCCAAAGCTGTTCTTTATTTAGACATGTTAAATTGGTGAGCTGACATCTAATGTCTTCTTTTGCCAAATTATTTTACCTAATGATTTGGTCTTTAGGCTATTCACATAAGAGTAAACATTCAACCACTCTAAGCTGCCACGCTTTAAGTTGAAAGAAGATGACAATTATGTCAAAATTTCCTACGCTTTGTCCTTCTCAGATAAATGTCGAGCTTCTGCCTTTGATCTCATCTTCTGCAAGTACCCTGTCCCGTGTAAAAGAGCGTCTGTAAATGTCACTCTCGTATTTTCCCGCTCTATAGAAAGTAGAGTCTGAATGGTGACTCCACGCGGAGAGGAGATACTCTCCCTAAGCATTGCCGGATGACCACCATGTTTTAGCAGTGCGCCTAAGCCAGCGATCCCTTGCGACATCAACTCCATGGCATCCTGCCGAGCAGATCCTCGATAACTGATCCGTCGAGGAGCCCATCTAATGGAACAGTCAAGGTGGCTAGGCATGCAGTTACCAAAACTGAGCCCACGTCCATCAAGTCAGGCTCCAATACTTTCACACTGCCGATAAAGTTGAAAATGGAGTTCACCAGCTCTTCGTGGTGCTGGGGAAGTGGCGGTGACGATGTTTCGATCAGGGTCATGGACTGACGATAACGAGCAGCGATGGTTGGAATTGCCTTCACGACATATGTCTCTGCACTGGCGGATTCCGTGGCATCTCGTCTACTGAAACTCCCGCCATCAGACTAATGACCAGCTTTCCAGCCAGAGCTTGGCCAACCCCTGGCTTGCTCAAAATCCCCTTTGCGAGGTACGGCTTTACTCCCAGTATTACTACATCAGCTTCCACAAGAATCGTTTCGCTCTGCCCGTGTAGTACTTGAACCCGCGTCGCATGCTGACTAAGCCTCTCAACCAGCGCAGCTGCGGAGCGTTCGGTTTTGGTGCATGCGGTGAAGTTCCAGGTCGGATCATCACCAAAATTGACTCCATCCAAGGCGTCTAGCAATCCTAATAAAATCGCCGACCCCATGTTTCCTATATCTTCCAGTTAATTACGTACGTATCATACTGGTATTTCTGACTTACCGCAGCCTAGAAAGGCAATTTTGCGTGGTGATGAATGCATGATCGAAATCGAAAAGCCGGGCGTTAACTCAGAGATTTGTTCCCAGCGAAGTCGTTTGTGTCGCTATGATGGCTCTACCAAGTTTTGTTATTTGACAAATTTACTTCCATGTAAATTACTCAATGAACACACTAGGGGTGACTGGACGGGATGTCGTTCCGAAGGCGTAGACTGGTCAGGTTGAAGTCCTATGGAGCGGCGGAATGCGAATCCGCACCACATAATCATATTTTCGACTACGTTTTACCTTTCTAGATTAATGTTTGTATGCAATGAGCTCTAATCTTGGCGGGAATCTTGGAAGGAGTGCGGGAGCTTGGTCCGAATACCGATGCCGCAAATACCAATGACATCCTCTTAAAGGTATCGCATTTCACTTATGAATTGGTCCATTTTGATTAAAGATCTATCTTGATTACGCTTGATCTTTCTTTTCAGTAGTCTTGAAAAGCTCTTGTTTCCATCATGATCCAACTGTCTCGGGCATCCCGTCAGGTGCCTGCAACCGTTCGTTGCAGGACGGCCAGGGCGAGCATCGGACGAAGACGCTTGACATTGCTGCACCCCCCAAAGTTCGAGAATGAAAAATTCGTATGATACAACGCTACCCCTCTATTTTGAAAGGTTTTTAACCATCTTGAACTCATAACAGCTTGACTATGCGAAGGGTTCACCAGAGCGAGCATCCCTTCAAGATGCTCTCTCAAGACTCAAGAGCCAGATGCCGGTTCAGGTTCCCATCACGGTTAATGGGCAAAACGTACGATTTCCAGCACGTATTACGAAAAGAAAATACTAATGTCTCGATCAGGTACAATCGAATCAATTCCGCTCTCAATTGAATCCATCCAAACATAGCGAGCCCGTTGCCGACTATGCATGCGCAACCCCTCAGCAGGTCAACGCAGCCATCGATGCCGCCTTGAAAGCCAAGCCTGCTTGGGAGGCCCTCGCATTTGAAGACCGGGCTGCTATATTCCTGAGAGCTTCTGAGCTCATTGCTGGCAAATACCGGTCAGACATTGTGGCTTCAACCATGCTCGGCCAAGGCAAGAACATCTGGCAAGCAGAGATTGAGGCCCCGAGTGAGACGGTCGACTTCTTTCGTTACTATGTCCAAGAAGCGTGGAAGCTCTATTCTCAACAACCCACAGAGCACCCGAATGGTAACTGGAACAAGATGGAGTACCGTCCCCTGGAGGGCTTTGTCTACTCGATTGCGCCGTTCAACTTTACAGCTCTGGGGGCAACATTGGTCGGGCCTGCAGCGCTTCTTGGTAACGTTGTCATCTGGAAGCCGTCTGATTATGCGCTTCATTCGGCCTACTTGATACACCAAATTCTCTTGGAATCAGGCTTGCCGAAAGATGTTGTGCAATTCCTGCCCGGAGATGCGGAGGAGATCACCAATACTGTATTGAAGCGCCCAGAGTTCGCTGCTATCAGCTTCATTGGTTCAACACAAGTGTTCAAGGGCATCCAAAAGAAGATTGGGGATGGTGTGGGAGAGGGCCGATATAACTCTTACCCCCGAGTTGTTGGAGAGACTGGTGGAAAGAATTGGGGTGTCGTTCATAATTCCGCCGACGTCAAAAGCGCAGCTTTGCACAGTATCCGAGGTGCTTTCGAGTACCAGGGGCAGAAGTGCTCAGCTTGCTCCCGTATGTACGTTGCTGAGTCCGTCTGGCCGGAATTCAAGAAACATCTCCAAGAGGAGTTGCCAAAGCTCAAGGTCGGAAACGTCGAGCAATTTGACAACTTCATCACACCCGTTATTCACGAGCGGTCATTCGACAAGCTGAACAAGGTGATTGAGGATGCAAAGACAGACTCAGAGCTCGAGCTTGTTGCAGGAGGCGAGGCTTCAAAAGAGCACGGGTACTTCGTCAAGCCGACGGTTTACAAAACAACAAATCCCAAGCATGACATCATGTCCCGGGAGCTTTTCGGTCCTGTGTTGGGCATTTACGTCTACCCTGATGCCGAATGGGAGAAGACCCTTGAACTGGTTGATACGACCTCGCGATACGGTCTGACCGGCAGTATTTTTGCCATGGATCCGTACGCATCTCGACATGCGCAGACCAAGCTCAAACACGCCGCTGGAATGCTCTACATCAATACCAAGTGCACAGGATCTGTTGTTGCGCAACAACCATTTGGTGGAAGCAGAGACTCGGGCACGAATGACAAGACGGGGACAATGGCACACCTGCAGCGCTTCACAAGTGTCCGATCAATCAAAGAAGAATACAATCCTCTAGATAATATTCAGTATCCCTCTAACGAGGTTTGATATTCAGCCAGAGCTGCTGAATAGTTGCAATGTTTCAACAAGAGACCCAGGCTGAAATGAGAAGTGGGCTGAACAACAAGAACTCCTCGTACCTAGAGTATCTAGCACGACGGTGCATTACTCCGACCCAAATGTGATACTCGTATAGACAATTCATCTGAAATATCACACGAGTTACTTTTTTGGTTTCTCCGTGAAAAATCCCCATGTCTCGATTTGCTTACACGCTTTACGAGTTTTACGAGTTACCTTCTTTAGGATTGCTCACCAGTAGCTTGTCGCTATCTTTTGTTTCACTGGTGCAGTCTTCCTACATCATTGAGATTAGGCAGAACTGCGGGGTAGGTGGTGATTTATTATTAAATTCGAACGGCATCATGAGATTCGAAGCATTTGCCTCCTGCTCTTCACCCATAACCTATTGTACAATCGACGAGTTCACCTCCAAAGTTCGCAATGGCATCGATTTTATCCGTCCCACCCGAAGTTATAGTCAATATCCTCAAGCTTCTTAACCCGTTCGAGATCGAGGCCGTCGCCAGGACACTAAATTCACATCTCTACCACCAAGCCATGCAATTGATATCACCCTGCCATGGATGGGTCAAGAATGCACGGGCGATGTGCAAGTTATTCCCCCCATCTGGAAATCGCAGGCTGTTCCCTTCATACCCCGGACATATTCCCGTCCTTGGCGAATGCGAAGTAGGCGGCGATGAGACACCGGCTAGCATATATGAAGACTACGGCTTGGACCCAAGCGGAGGTCCTTTTTTTCGAAGCTCGCCTCCCGATCTGCGCAGCTGGATGAAGCTCGATGGAAGCTTTGATTGGCTTGAACCACTTGACGGGAAGATCCCAGAGCAAAGCTTGAGACACCATGAATTCGAGGACAATCACCGTCACCGGGCGGCTCCCAAGAGCCATGTTGAGAAGCTCAAAGCCAAAGCGAATAGACTCGGCCTTACTTTGCCTGTCGGCTTCGAGACGTTCTTCAGCAGTGACCGATTGCACTATCGTATCCCAAGCATGCGATCATGGTATTTCTCTCTGGGAAACCTAGTGCACTGCCCTTCGTCAATGGACGACGGTGCAGGAGGGTATATTTTGCGCTTCCACTGTGACCAGCAGTGCTGTGCGTTTGCTTACCTGTATCTCAACCCATCTGGACACCACTGTGTTTGGTACACTGGACTCAATTTGTATGCAGAAATGGGTATCTACGAGGGGGACATGGACTATGACGACGACGAGCTTGAGGAGGAGGGTGCGCAGGGAGAGACTGGTGATAGCGACAATGAGAAAAACAGTGACGAGGATGAGGGCGATAACGATGATCCCAACACCTTACCACAAATATCCAAGAGGAAGATCGATTTGGTCGCGTTGACATTCGAAGAGTACATAGCAATGGTGTACTTTGAGGAGCTTCTGGCAGCCGGATCTATCCCTTTCAAAGGGTTATGTGATTACGTCCAACATGTCTATCTCTCGCCCACCAAGATACAGCATATGAGAAAATCATGTACGTTGAAAATCACCGGATGCTGAGATTGGATGTGTTCTCAAAGACTTACTTCTACAGGTCCAGCTGTCAATTCTTTCCTCAGGGCCATCCGTTGGGGGAGCAAGACGCGTCGCAAGAGGGTAACCTCCCCTGATCTCTGGCCGTAGGTGCTAAGGGCCACTTCGTCGTATTACATGTCCTTTATTGTAACTACTAGATGACACGAGCCCTGAAAGCATCTGGCGCGAACTTCGAGAGGATGAGGAAGGCATGGGCATGGGCGAGATGGTTCTAGGAAATACTAGGCTTGCTCGTTCGATTCTATCACACTAGTGTCAGCGAACTGTCGTAATTTATAATACGTATTTCTTGATACTCTAGGCGATTCAGAAGATGGGTTTTTGGCATGCCCAAGAGGCCACCTGCCGAGTTTCGTACCTCAACAGGCAGAAACTTAGTCTTTGACTTTCAAGCAAACTCAATGGCATTTCCATTTCCGATAGGAGCATTTACGACGCAGCCGGCCTGTCCTGACGACAAGTGAGTCATCCGTACGAAGGTTCATAGAATTTTCCTGCCGTATGACTACATCTTGGGCGGACTAGTGGGCGGACTAGGAAAGGCTATATTTTCAAGCTTTCGTATTTATTGTGTTGAGTTGTCGGGCCCTGGCAGCTTCATTGTTGTTAAACTCTATTCTCTTTCTCTTCCGTACTACGCAGCCGGCCTCCGAGATCCACAAGGCAAATGGCCCCGGAGATTGATGCTTGTCACTCGGGACATGAGATTGCTGTTGATATTGCTATTGCCGCGTCGGACGACATCTCCAGTCTGGGCAGATACCCCATTGCCACAAACGAGTTAAGTTCCATCTTGGGGCTCGTAACGATATAGACGCGGCGGCGTTTGGCACTCTCGACGACGGGGATGGGCTAAGAAAGCGTGCCTGGACGTAAGTGGTGGGCTCACCAATCATAGAGGGTGGGTTATGTGTGTCGCTGCCTCCCGAGGCGGTGATACGCAGACCTCCGAGAAGGAGACTCTGCCAATGGCTGATTGCTCTCTCGTCAGTGTCATCTGCAACGCTGCCATCCCATACCTTCGTCGCATCATTGTCTTGTATCGATGATCCAAGCTCCAGATACATTCGACGCAGGACATGTAAGGGTAATTAGCAGAAACCAAACCTCCAGAGCGACGACATTTTGCGCGGCATCAGCATAACTAGTGTCGTTTGGTCCATATCGCCACTCGATGAACTTACCGCGCTCGATACCAATAGCCTGCCAATGACTGAACCGCGAGGTAACTTGTGGCCGACGAGCTTGTCCTTGGGGGCCCAAACGTCGAACATATCGTTACCAGAACGCGAGTTCCGTTCCGTAAAGAAAAAGAGGTCGAGGTCTTGCTTCTTCGCGTTGGAAACTTGCTCTTCTGGGGTTAACCTGCCATCGGACCGGATGCTGTGGGCATGGAAGTTACCGCGAATCCAAACCTCGCCATCGGTAGCATCGGCGCGAGCTTGACGACACTCGTCGAGGACGAGGTCAGTCGATTGGGGGGGGAAGCAGTTGAGAATCTGTCGGCGATAGGCTCGTAGCCAAAGGTGACTCCGATGGTGTTGTTGAAGCGTTCGGTAAGCGCAACGGCGCGAGGACCAAGCACGATGTTCCAGGTTTCGGGGGGCGATGGGGCCTGCTAGACATTCGTGCCATTTTGTTGAGAGCGAGCTTGTTCGATAAAGCCAGGAACCAGCGACGGTGGTCAGAGTATATAGCAGTCATCGCAGTCATCTGTCTGCTTTATGCTGCCTCGTTTACCCCTATGAGAATAGGGCGACTCGGCATGAGCCGACGATCTCTCTCGCCGGTATCACTACACCAGTAGTTGAGGAATCGGGAATTTGAAAATCTTGCTCTAATTTCGTGATGCTAGATAGTCGTTGCATTGCTCGTCAGCCATTTTGGTACTGATCCGTGGCTGGCCTGCTTGATAGAATCTAGAGCACTTGGTGAGTGATGTGGCGCAGGGAATTCCTGCATGTGTTCATTAACAGATCAGCTATCCCTCAGTTCAAGGGCAACTTCCAGTGAGAGACTGAAAAGATTACGAAGGTCCCAAATTCCTCAAGCTGAAACTTACCCGGGTGCTTATATTGAGGGTGAGAATATGGAGTCGCAGTACCAATGTTGAAGCTTATGTAGAACCTCGTCATGATCGAGTAGGCGGGTGGTTTGGCCGCACCAAAATGATTGAAGCCTTCAAAGGTAGTCAATTGATGTATAACGCCTTGCCTAGCTAGGAACTGATCAAGTAGTCGGCATGAAAATATGAACCTGGATGCCGCGAAGCATCATCGGCGGCGCTTCGCTTCCTGCCCTGGTCTTGTCCAAGTAGCTCGATTCAAACAGTAAAACCCAGCAATAGAAGATGCCAGATCTGACGTCTCAACACAATGGATACGAAAAAAAAGTTCTACTAGCCCAAGGCTACAACCATGCAGAAGGAAAATGCTGTAAACCTTCATACCGATGACTCGCTTGCCGTCCGGAGCCCTGTCCGTCTCATCAATGATACTCGCACCATAGGTAAGCCGGTCATCACATGATGTCGCTCACTGGTCGATAATCCTCGAGCTCAAGGCCTTCCTTCATACGTTTCCTCCTATCATCAAGCCATGCCTTCCACAGTTTATATTTCTGCTCCCGTTCCGTGATCGATTCCGGCGTTACTCCAAAATATCCCACATCCAAATGGGTCGCCCGTGCGTCAATGTCAAATACTCGAAATGGCTTCCCGTTCACGAGGAACTCAATACTCTCCTGTATATTCTCAAGAAGCTGAGCCCCGTGATTCATGGTGTGGTAGTTCAGTCCCAGCAAGATACTGAGGAAGTTGCACATGAACTTGACCAGCCGCTCCTCCAGTGCGAAGGCGCTGTTGTCGTGGTTCGCGAAGTACCCAAGCCTGCTGTGCACTTTCTGGTAGTCTCTGTTGTTGATGATGACGCTCTTGTGCTCCACCCCATCGGTTGGGGCCTGAACGTCGACGACTATCTTCTTGTAGACGTAGTGACCGACTGATTCTTCTCGAGAGGAGCCTACGTAGCCCGGGCCAGCGCTGAAAAGCTCTACCAACAAGTGGTAGAAGGACCAGACCCCGATTGGCGGTCCTCCATCTCCTGCACTAAAATCCAGAGAGTTCTTGTAGCGAGGCTCGAACTCGCCCTCAGGTTCGAAGGGCCGAAAGGTGGCGTAGACGCAGTCTATGTACTGGGTACGGGGAAGTTGGGGGATAGACCAGGTGGTCCAAAGTCCGCGATCCTTAAAATACATAATGTCGACATGGTAGATCGCCGGGGCATGTTTGAGGATGCGTCTGACCTCGAGATTGATCTGCTTGTTGACGAGAAGCAGGGGCAACGCGGTGCTGGTTTGCTTTGGGAGCTGCCATATTCCGCGATAGTTGTGTACGCGCTCACGCTGGCCCTCTGAAGCATTCGCTGGCGGTGTAACCGGCGACAAGACGGCCAGAGCCAAGATCTCTTGGCGAAGTTCGTGAGGGAAGTCGAGGAAATTCATGTCGCTATGTTGAGGCCGTGCAAATCGGGTACTGCCGGGGTTCGAGTTAAGCAGTCCTCAGGTAAAATATATCTGTTCAAATGAGGTAAATGATGCAAGGCCCGAATGATCCGATCGTAGGCAGGCCCTCAGGTCTTATATGTCAGCCTACAGCGTCTGCCTGACACCCCACTGTGCCGATCTTTGAAGCTTTCTAGCCGGCCAGGCATCACCTTTTCACCGTCCAGTCGAGCATCGGGGTTTGACTGCGGAGATCATGAGAGTGTAAAAGGACTTCAGGCCCCTAAGATGTAAGGCTTTTACCATCTTACTTGTGCTGAGGAGATAGAGGTGACGTCTTTGCCGAGGACGCACTGTTATCAATCTTGGTGTCAGCATGAGTCTCAAGCTTGCTATGGGGCAGCTGACAAATTCAAAGGGGTGCAAAGGCCTGCTTGGATGCAGATGCAGAAATACACGAACATGGTAGACACAACTGAGGTGTGTCGGCGGCCATGGCGTCGCACTATTGATGTCTGCGCAGCTTGTGTCTCTGAAATTCAATATCAAGGCTCCCTCAGCCCCAATAACCGTGTTTGGTATTTCAGCATGTCGCGTAACATAACCACGACGCGCCTCGCAGATGAGGATCGTCTTTGTCTTGATGGCAGGTCGGGAGGCAGAGGTCGGGATGTTCGATGAGAAAGATGAGTGATGCGTGTAGGCGAATTCTAGAACAGTCCTCCAGCTGTCCATCGTCGCCCTAGAAGACCGCCTGTCAGGCACTGAGAGACCGGTCTAGTGCCTGGTGCCAGGGGCCAACAGCGTCTTTTTGGTGGGACTGCTGCAGCAAAACGGCCTGGACTGATCTCGGCTCGCTGTTAGTCTGCCAGTAGCGCCGCTCAGCTCGCAGCCAAAGAGAGGATCGAGGCCATGGCACAATGGAATAAAGCAAGAGCTGGTTCTCTGTGCTTCTCAGTCGGTACGGCCATTGTCTCTCGCTCTTATTGCGAAGCACGCATAGCCCAGGCGGCATGAATCTTTGGAATGTTTTCGTTGCGTTGGTGGCTGTCGGCACTGGAGCGGCGGCGACTGATCCAGCTTCCATATGTGGTGATGCCCCTCGACACTGCACCACCCTTAATAGCCGCGATGGCTTTGAATGCCGCAGACAAATCTGTAATTCTTTCTGCCACATCAATCTTCCACTTGGCACACAATACTCTGAATCCAGCCACGTGCTAACATAGCAAACTATCCAGCTCAGCGAAAGTTGGATATCGCGACATGCCAGCCTGCCCCTCAAACCATCACATCTACACACACAATTCGGCCGACGACCACCGTGACGGAAACTATTCGCCCATTTGCCGACACTACCAAAGAGGCGACCACCATCACGCTACTAGGGAATCCGTGTGTACCACTAGTTGCATGCTTCATGGGGATTGCTCGGCTAACATGCTGCTGGAAACAGTGCGGCTGAATCCACCACCACCCTTACTGCCACAACCACAGTTCTCATTGGTGCCACCACCATTATCGATACAACATCGTCTACCCAATATGAAGTTTCCATTGAGACACAAACCCGTATGGAAACTGATACCGTGGTCTCAACGACGTGAGTGCACCGACTTCCTACTACAAACTTATCCTCTAACGCAGCATTGTCAGGACGTTGACGACGACGACAACTGTTCCATGGGCGGTCCAGACTTGTGCCCCTCCATCTCGACGACGCGTTTTCAAATTTGGGCGTGGCGATAGCCCTTTCCCGAACAAGTGTTGTATGCAGACTGAGTCAACCCTCAAAAAGAAACATCCTGGACTAACGAATTTGCTTCCAGCTTGCTATCTTACCGCCACACAGGGCGCTCCGTCTCTCCAGACAGTCACGGAAACCACCACCGAGGGCCTCGCTACACAGACAATTTTGGAGCAGGGCTCACAAACTCCCACCATTACCCGGACAGTCACCATGACCGCGTACCTGAATGCTGCTACAGTGTCGGCCGCCGAGGTGACAGAGACGGTTACTGAGGCACGCACGGAGACTAGGCACAGTCTCACCACCGTCGTCAACACTGAAACGAAGATGGTCACCTCGACCGAAACGAGAACAACGACAGAGACATCCATAGCCAGTACCACTGCCATTTCCACCGCCACTGCCGATCCATGCGCCGATGCCCATCGCCTAAGCGTTCCCGCCGGAACAAGCCTCTCGGGCCCAGACATTGCGTTGTCGTTCAGCAACGAGGGAGGCAGAAGTGACGAGCAGATCCTTTCATGCTGCAGGAGTTGCTTCAGTAAACCCGGGTGCGCCTTTTTCAGAGTAAGTGACCAACTCTGTGAGGGCTTCGGCGTCCAGAATGCCACCAACCCCTGCGCCTCGAATCGATGTCCTCGGGGTCAACCGGCTCTGCTGCATCAAAGAGCAAAGGATGGCTACGACTACTTCCTAGGCCAGTGCGGCGAACTGATGTAATTTTCCTTGCAAATTGAGGCGTTATCTCGACACCACTTCGGGTGTTCATGAAACTGGTTGGGATCCGAGTTCTCACTCTCGGCATTTGTATTTACTTGGAGATAGCGACAACGTCTAATGATACGTAGAAATGTCTTACGAAATTGAAAAGATGGGATCAATATGCCTCCTTTCAGGCATTGAACCTCGAGTCGGGTAGGATAAGCTTTTACTCATGGCCGGCAAGTTTCAAGACTAGCATTCAATACCCGATCATCTGGGCCCATCTCAGATATTTGTTACCACTGCGAAGCCACCCAAACCTGTAAAGAATTGCCAGTAGCGATTGAAGCCAGGCACTTGCCGCGGAAGGCAGCCAGAGAGGTTGGCCTGATACTCTTATCGATAGTCACTTCGGAAACCCGCGCACAAGAACCTGACCCTTCCCTCACCATAGCAAGCATCAATATCTGCGCGGAACAGTTCCGCTCACGAAAGCTACCCTCAGCACCATTCTACCTGGAGGCCCAACTCGACGAAATTCGGCCATCAGTCAAGGTATTATACCGGGACGACGTTCACGAGAGGCTCCGATTTTACCTCACGAACCACGTGCAATCTTGCTAATATACCAAACCCATTAAACTGACAGGTCGATCTACCCGCTAAACTCCCGCCCCCATTCCGCTCGCCAGTTTTGTGGGGACGGCGGACGACGACGACGAAGGCCGTCGGATATCTGACGAGTATGGCATGCAAGAATGGAGTAGTAAAAAAATCCGACGAGGCTTTGACCGTGGCAAAGTTCAGCATCACTACATGGCTTTGATTTTAAGCGCGAGGTTATTCGTATCAGCGAAGAGCATGTATTCTCGAGACTATCAAATAACTACCTAGAAACTCGTGATCCATAGCCCTGCAGGACATCTGGGAGTTTACAATGCATAGCTTTTGATGACCATTGATTCCATTCCAAACCAAACCGTGATCCTTAATAGCGGGGCCGATAGCTTGCGCACCCGTCTCTCTCAAAGAAGAAGAAAACAAACCGCCCTCTGCGAGAAGATGCCATCCCATCGGCCGTGATCCTCGAAGATTTTTCCCGTCCCGTTCCAGTTGAAGGACTTTTGACTTCCCTCAGCAAATCCGAGCCTTGTACCTCCGAAGGGCCAATAGTCTGTGCATCCTTCTTTCTCAAAGTGAGAAAGCAAACTCCAGAAGCAGTGATGACATTTGTCATGTATCATGGTCCACGAAAGACTTTCCTTTTCGTTCCGATCGAAACTGCTGACTCTTTTTTTTTCATTGTTGCTTTATTGTTGTTGTTTTTTGTTGTTTTTTTCTGTTTCATGTGGTTTCTTTTTGGTGTTTTTGTTGTTTCTTGTATCTCTCTCTCCTCGCGTAGCTCTCTTCGTTGAAGTAAAACTTCTGCCTACATGTAGTTAGGCACAGGCGGCATAAGGAACAGAGACACGGTAGGAGCGTATGGGTTCTCGGCCCTCAGCTCGCTGTAGCCACCATCAGTACGAAGGCGCCGAAACCAATGCGGAGGAGGTGGCAGCTCGTCCGGTGACAAGGTGGGCTCGGCACGCTTCCAGAGAAACGGGCAGTACCTGGAGTTGAAAGATTCCGGGTAAAGCGGCTCAAAGACTCTCCTCCAGTTGGCGGGAAACTGCTGGATGGGCGAGATTTCGATGGGTAAAAAGCCTCCAAGAGCCGAGAAGCCGCTGGACATTGTGTACAAGGCTGCGGGGCTGCCGAATAGATGAAAGCGGAAGCGGGAGGCCCCGTGGATTGGGACCTCAGGTCCGGCGACGAGCCGGATTTTACCGTTTCTTATTCCAAGTTCATTGCAGCAGATCGCGGCTAGCATAGCGCGTGCCTGGCTCAATGACCTCTCGCGGGAACTCCAAAGATGCCAATCCGAGGCGAGCAGTCCCAATGCGCTGTCGAACATTGCTCTGTGGATAGGCGGGTATGGGTGGACAGGGAGCACTTGGGTCAGATCCATGGCGCGGAGATCACGACCCACCAAACCTCTGATCATCATCCAAAGCGTGAAGATCGCAAGTACTCCAGATGAACCCGGCTTTTCTTGCGATGTAAGGTTCAGGCAGATTGCAGTAAACGTAAATGGATGACCTTGCAGGGTCCAGAAACTTCGCACTGAGCAACAGGCAGCTTTGAACCGTTCCTCTCTGCCATGTCCGAGTGTATCAATATAATACAGAGTACTGGTCTCTCGGTCAAAGATAATGGTTGCCCAATGGAGACCACTATTATTCTGACCATCGAAGAACTGGATAGCCCCGAGAAGAAAACGTCTTCCTGCCATGTTGAACCAGGTCCAGTTCGGGTAGGGGAGACCTCCGCTATGGTTGCCGCGGACAAGTTGTGTCCCAGGAACGTACTGATGATCAGCGGGAGGAGATTGATAAAAGGCTGGAACATAGACATTTCCGTGCTTGTACATGCAGATACGTAGCGGCGAAGAGATTTTGCTGATGACTCCCTCAAGGCCGTACAGCATGATTGTTAAAAGGCTATTTACTCCCGCTTGAGAGAGAAGTTTCTTATGATGAATCTCGACTAAGACATTTCGAATGTCTGTCAAGTGCTGCTGCCAATTGGGGGCTCTTGATAAGATTTGGTTTTGCATCCATACACGGTCCTGCCACGGAGGCATGGGCGCGATAAGTCCGATTTCGTCGACCGCGTCATTGGTTGAGACGTTCAATGCGTTGGTAAGTTGCGACGAGTCAACGCTTGGCCACTCGAATCTTGGTAGGAAGAACGAAGGCTGAGAAGCACATCCTCCTTGTTCCATGTATTGCCCCTTCAAGGTTCTAGCGTTCATGAGCTTGGCTGCTTCGAAGGTGCTCAGGAAGGGCCAAGCAGTTGGAGAGTCTAATTCGCCCTTGATCCGAGCATAGGTGAAGGGCGGTAGTGTAGGCCATAGAAGTGCCATTTTGATGAGCAGCTTTCAAGCCTTGAGTCGAATTTGTGTTTTATTTTGAGAATGTCAAGCTTCGTCTTGGTTTTTGCCTTCTCTGTGTGCGTGAGAAGGTGGGCAAGAGAAGCCTAAGAGGATGAGAAGAAAGAAGCCTAAGAGTATGGAAAAGAGAAGCTTGTCAGGATGGAAAAGAGAAGCTTGTCAGGATGGGAAAGAGAAAAGTGAGGCGATGGGAAAAGAGAAAAGTGAGAGGATGGGGGATAAAAAGGTGAGAAAAGTGGGAAGGGAAAAGGGCCAGAAAGAGGGGACCCCATGCGATTATTGTTATTATTGTTGATAGAGGCAAGTAGACAGCACCGTTGGGCAGTGTGACCAGCTGGTGAGGGGAGGTGACTTATGCACCTGGCGCCCTAACCTCGCTGCACACCGCTGCCGTTCAGGTACGTCACTTCTATCTTCCCAGGCAGAATGCCTCGAATATTGAACAAAACCGTTGGAAAGTGGTGCAGATTCCTGCGAATCTTCTTCCGAGCCATCATACGATATGTACACTGGAGATTTCTCCTTCCTTCATCCCTCCAGGCTCCATTTTGAGCAGTCCAACTCGTTGATATCTCTGGGCACTACCTTCAACAAGTCTCAGTACGAACCATATCTCCTCATCTCTTTCACTATCATAAACTCCCCTCCGAAGCACTGCTTGTATGGCAACCAGGCCAGGCCCAGAATGTCGAACGCCTTCAGTGTCAGGGATGTACTTCAAATACGTCTCCCTCGGAATTTGTGATTCCTCCGTGTTCATCAGAGAGATCACTACCTCTCCTTGAATGGAGTAACTTATCGAGATGTGAGCCAATACCCCAGACAAGGTGAGAATACCTCCACTGACTTCCCCAAACTCGCCTGCCCCCATCACTAAACTACACTCAGCGTCGAGAACGACGGCAAGGTCATCGGTCGCCATGGCTTCGTCGACGACTACCTGTGCCCCTATGATCGACGCCCAAGACCAGGTAGGTATGTATGTCAATCTCTTCGACCCAGATATTGCACTTTTCCTCTCCCAAATCAAATCTCGCAACAGCCCCGTACGCCACATGCCTGCTAAATACTGACATTGGAAGAATCTAGAAAACTTTCGAGCCGCACCCGAAACCGCCGGCAGCCGGTCCGTATGGAACGTCAACTCGAGTCGAGAATACTCCCTGATTAAGAGATGCCACTGCGCCCTGACCTCCGCAAGCGAAAGTTTAGAAAGCACCATCTCGTGCAACAGATCTTTAAGAAAAGGCTCATGTCCCGGGGACCAGAGAGAGCGAATACAACCACACTCGCACGACGTACTTTCCATGCATTCCCACACAAGCTCTTCGGGGAGGAAGTGTATGACTCTCGGGGACAGGAGTCTTTCCTGCAGGACCCAAGCGCGGCGCATGAGGGGGAGAGGACTCGGGCCGTGGCCATGTGTGAGCGTCTTTCGGACCTGCATCATGCACAATTGGGACCCAGGCTTCGCTTTTGTCTCGATCATTTGAGATCGGTGGGATTTCGGAGACTTGCTAAAGAGTCCTTTGTCATCTGCCGCGGCGAGAGAGGCCGCAATTGTGAGGACGCTGTTTGCATAGATGGACGCCATCTTAGCCGACTCTTTCTGCCAGTCGTCCTTGGAATCTTGTATGATACATAGAGAGTCTATCCAAAGATAAGGTATTCCCAGAGAAAATGCAACCTGTGCAGCTTCCCGGAAGGTTTGGGGCATCTCTTGCCAAGGAATGTCATCCCGGTGCAATGTGAGATTAGCAGAAGTAGTTTTCATAGTCTGCTCTGTTCCCCAGCAATGACTGAGACAAGCATATTGTTCTTCTTCCCCAGGCTCAGCACAATGAAGATAGATATGGTTGAGGTTTCTCACGTCGAGGACACGAGTAGGAAGAGAGACAGGGGCGGTTTTGCGGCACTGATGGCTTGATGTGCAACTCTCTAACCATCTTTTGATCGCCAAACGTGCCGCCTCGGAGCTTGTATCCCCAGATATTTCCACCGGTTTCTCGCCAGCTTTTGGCCGTGTCCATGGTACTCGATTTTCGTGCCCTAGATTTTAACAGATAAGAGGTCAGAAGTGAAATCCCTGAAAGTTGTTTCCGCGACACGCTTAGGGGGTTGAGGCATATTATTATCACCTTTATACGGAGACATGTCGATGCTATACAAAAACTGCCCCGTGTCATGTCTTCCAACAACGACACGTAGACCTTGAATCCTGTTCGTGTCCCAGCCCAGCCTCAAGCTTCCTTCCTCAGCCTCCTCCTCGCCGATAGCCTCGATGGAGCGACATAACAGGTCGCATGTCTCGCAGCCCTCAGCCGCGACTGAAGCGAGCTCTCGGAGCGATATGCCTTGGCTGAGTGGAAGGCTTTCATCCAGGCCTTTGCAAGCATGGCACGTCTGCATTTACGCGAAATTGGACGGTGGATAGCTGGCAGGTGACAGAACCATTGGACAGTCGATCAGCTAATTATGCAGCACATTGCTCCGTCCAGGGTCCATGTAGTCGATCTCCACCTCGATATTTTTAGTGGCCATGTGGCATTCTCGAACGGCATGGCTACCCTAGAGCATGTCTCCGGCACTCTTCGCCACGGTCTCAACACGTCAGTTATGGAAAGTAGACAAAGCCGAGGCGGAAGATTTGAATAGTTAAAAATTGAGTCTCTCTGATCTGATTGAGTACGATTGTTGTGACAATCTCATGAAGGCCTATCTATGGAGCATCCTCTCATGAAGTAACCAATACTTGAACTGCAAATCTAAGCGGGTGAGTAGATGCTTCTTAAGAACACTTCCAAGTCATTTATTTACAGTGAGCGAGCCTTAGGAAAATACGTAGAGTAGAATTGATGCACTTCGAACATTCAGGTCGCCTATAGGTTGGATGTGTTGTATCAAGGTACCTACTCGGTATGCTGGTACGCAACCTTGAAGGCCGAAATGCAGCTCAGCTCGGAGACAATGTCGCTGGGAGTGGCGCCAATTTGCCAGGCATTGCTTTCGTTGATTGGGCGGGACTTGGCCCCACCTTTGGAGCAATGAACCTTTCAAAGGCCCGCCTGTGCATATCTTGGAGGGTGAGACTGATTGGTGGGCGAATGCACGTGATTCTGATCCGAGGGTTTGCCTCGAATCACGTGCAAAGACGGAGACAATGAATGGTTGTGGGTCTGTTTCCCTCCCTCGAAACCCGCAGAAGTCACGTGCACTTGGCAAACCAGCTGTAACGCTCACAACACCAAGCAAGTACATACGTCATTGATGCCAACCTAGGGAAGTGGGTGCCTTAATGGATCACGACACAAGATGGGCCATAGTTGGATTTGATGCACATGCCGGAAGCCACACGACAAGACAAAACTATCTAAATTTTCAATTCATTTGAATCCTCGCCTATGATTATCCTCCTATCAATTCATTCCTGAAGAATAAATCTTTCTCTGATGAGTTGGTTTGTTGATAGGGATAGAACACAGGAAGCTACTCTCATATGTAGACCCCTCTTTATTGCTATTGGTCATGGACTTGATTCAGAAGTACTGTAATTCGTGCGATAATAGATACACAGCGTAGCATTGGCACAAGGCGTATCTTGTATCAAAACTCTAACCCTGACATACCAGGAGCAAAAGACGCAAGAAGATCATCTACATTCATCTCCTCAATGGCATATGGATCAAAGAAACCCCAAGAATCCGAGCTAGAATTTGAGTTCAATATTGGCTCATCGCGCTGTGATTCTATTAAAGGGTGTGTTAGATGTGTAGTGATTCGTATTCTCGCATCTGGCATTCTTTTTGAGCTGCCTGTTTGTTGACCACCTCTAGAGTTGTAGGACTGCTTCATCAGGCATGTTTCAGGACTGAGCAACTCCCAGAGCAAAAAAGGCGGAAACATTACGCCTTCAAGCTTCTCAGACGGTGTTTTATGGTAGTGATCTGCAATAAGATCTAGACGGTGAAGGCTATCCAGCTTGACTTGATTGTTAGCTGTGTCTGCTTATGGACAACTAGGAGGAAGGTGGTAGGTAGTAAAAAGAATGAATAGCGGAGATCTACAAAATGTCATGTATAACACAAATACCTTTTGTGATATGTGTGGCCATACTGTAGTTGAGCGACGAAGGTATTCCTTGCACCAGGAAAGATCCCGCGAAGCCTCCTGCGAAAGCTTCTCGTCCTCTACAAATTGTAGTAGCCATGGAATAGTCGCTACGGCCGCGACGAGATGGGCTATGAGAGGATCGTACAATTCAAGTTGAAGACTATCACAAAGCCGGAGGAAGCGTAAAACCCAGCGTGAGTTGAAAATAGCCGAGTCCATCGTGTTTTGGAGAAAGAGTCCAGATTGGGAGCCCTTTGAGCCGTTCCGAACCGCAACTAGATGAATGAAGGGGTGGTTCAGGAGTGACAGCCTCGCATGGCATACAACTTGCATGAGGATCCAAGGAATCCAATACTCCCTATGTTGAGAGATATTGTCCGGGCTACGCTTGGAAAAGGCGACATTTCTGAGCAGGTGACATGCGGGAAGCTGGGCATCACATTCATAGGCTTTTGCAACTAGCCTAGCATATCTCGATTCGGGTGACCATGGAATTTCGTGCTTTCCGAGCTGAATAAGCCGCAGCCATGATGATAGTTGTCCAGACAAGGATGTCATCTTGATATAGTATCCCGTGATTCCGCAGTCTTCCTTGGAGTTGTAGGCATTGTATAGATCCGGTGGATAGTCTTCATGCTGAGCAGGTGGTAAAATGGGTGGCACGGGAGCGCTTGTCGGAAATGCCAGATCTTGAATGTCTTCGTTATAGGCACAGAGGTGTGGCGTGAAGATCTTTTCCAAGACGAAGACACTTCAACGGCATCTTATACTGAGGTCATGATCGCTTGAAGAACCAGAAACTGAGGCACTTGTTGAGATCCTAGAGGCTTCTAACCTGGATCCTAATCCGATTGTCACCTGGGCCTGTCCTGGCTTACATCCTGGATAACCAGTATCAGAACTCAAAGCCTAAACAAGGGGTTTGATGGGCGTAGATAATCACCAAGGATGTCTCTCATGGTAAGAAGGCACAGTGACTGGATAAGTTCCAAATCAGCCGACCCCTCTGAAGCTCGTTTCATCACTACGTCACGCGCAGGATTTTCATAGCGCTCGGCGATTTCGGTTTGCCTTTCCTGGTAAATAGGAACAGTGTTGACACCTAGGGTGAGTGACAAGAAACTGTGACGAAGAAAGTCCGAGGAGGAGGCGAGGTAATTCATCAAATCTGCCAGTCTAAAAAGGGGTAGAGGCTGAAGATGCATTGTCGTTCGATACACCCTAATGGCATGTTCCAAAGTTTCTAGTGATGGATCTGGGCTTTAAATTTCTTAGTACTGATCAATGGTATTTTCGAGGTCTAGATCCCTCAAAAGACTGGAGACAGATAAACTTACTGCGACGTTGATAGGGTGCATTCAATTGAAGTGCTCTGGTCTGAAGCACCCGCGCGGTCCATTGTAGGTTGATATGGGGAATTGTTTGATGCGGACCTTCCTAGTCAGCGCCAGGTAGATCATTTTCTCATCATAGGCGTCTCATGGACATACTGCAATAATCCATGCATAACATGCACTTGTGACTCTAAATCCTTGACTTTATCCCTTAGAGACGACGGCTTTTTGGGCTGCAAATTCGTCAGGGATCCCATTAGTTTGCTTCAGTAGAGCCTATGAAATGCCTGTCTTACGTTTTCAAAGACTTCGTTGATCGGGTAGATCTTATGCCATATGCGCATGTCTGGCCAAGCCGTTGACAGCATGAACATGCAGGCCTTTCAACTGTGCACCTAATCTTCTTACGGCTGGAAACTGTACTCAAATTAGGCATTATCTTTGGTCATATCTGCATTCAGCCAAACGAAGACTTACCGGCATGGCTCACATGCATGATGTGTAGGTGGGTCGCGGACCACAGATGATCGTTGCATATTCGTTGTGTTGAGCAGAATGACGTTTGTCAATACGGACGGACATGAACAATCCGGAGATCCGACTCTAAGGGAGCGGACGGAGCTATTCTTACATGCGGAATGTTTGATCACAATTTGGGGCGGTATGGGAGAGGGGTGATGGCTGAAGGGGAGCTATTTCGCTGTCCACGTGAGCGGACCTATCCCACATATGCCCGGAAGAGCCGATTCGTCGTCAAAATTAACATAACGGCTTTGCACGGTCCGTGATTTCATCAAGAACTCAATTTCTCCACATAATATACCCTCGAGAGCATTCCCCTTATCGCCGAGCCAGGGCTAGTCACAGCCTGCGTTGTTAGACGTGAAATTGATAAAATCGTGTAAACAGGTTCGATACATAGGGGCCTGGCTGTGTAATCTAGACGGAGTATGATCGATCAAGAGTCATTAGACGATGGCAAAAAAACAGTATTGGCACTGTATCATTCCTAGCTACGCTAGCAAGCTTTCCTCGAAAGGAAATTGAGATAAGACTTCAATGCCTGATTCCGTGATCAATACTTGTTGTTCGAGCTTTACACCTTGTGAGCCCCCTTCTTCGCCAATATAGCTCTCGACGCAGATGACCATTCCCGGTTCAATGACTCCATCATACCCACAGTCGGGGAAATCCCCATGGTGGTAAAGATAGGGGTACTCTCCTGTCATGCCACACCCGTGTGCCGACAGATAATAGCGATTCGCATAATATTTCTCTGGGATGTCCCAGGCCAGTTGAGAATACTGAGTCGGGGCCCACTTGTCAATTTGGCCGGGTTAGATAAATTAGCTATTTTTCAACATCCGTAGAAAAAGACATCCTTTTCACCCCTTCTTATTTTCACTTTTGAAAATCCCTTCTTATGAAAGATGCGTCTTTTGCAACGTTACGGCGGCTACGATAGGTCAATTGACTAGCTGTAAACGTGAACCATTTGATCAAATGAGAATACACACACAACTCAAAACCTCCTTTTCATAGCTGTTGTGGAAGGTTGTTAGATTTTGGTGTGGTTGGCAGTCTGCATTTCAAGCTTGCTAACGGCTGTGGTGTTGTTCGTTTTTCCCCCAACACAATACTCACGAAAGGTCATTCCGGGCTTTAGAATGCCCATGTTGTGGTTCACCTGCTCATACGCAACCCTGCAGAGTTCCTTCTGCTCCACAGTCGGAGCGGCAGGCCCAGAGTGGAATGTTCGTGAGAAGTCGGAGTAATATCCATGGCAGCCAACCACATCTGTATCCAATGCGACAAGCTCATTCTCCTTGATAACATAGCTTGCCGTTTCCTGGAACCAAGGATTAGTGCGTGGGCCAGCACTGAGCAGGCGGGTCTCGCAATAATCGCCATTCTGGTCGATGACTGATTTGTGTAAAACTGACCAAAGCTCATTCTCGGTGAGCCCAGGCCGTACGGCATCCCGCAGCTTGCCAACTGCGACCTCGGTTGCACGTAAAGAAGCAACAACACATTTGGCCTCTTCAGGTGACTTAATGCATCGGGCCATTTCCACCGGTCGTTGGGCATCGACAATGTTAAGGCCAAGTTCCTTGAGTGCGATGGCGGAACCAGCGTTTAGCCGCTCCAAGCCAACCGTTACATCTTCCTTCCCAACAAGCTGCCGTACCAAATCGGCCATCTCCAGAGCCCAAGCCTTTTCAGTGCTCTCAATGTGTGGGCCAGCAGCTACGAGGCTGGCTGTTTTGGCTGGCCGTACTTCATCAATAGTCTCGTAACCTTGGGCTAGGTGCAGGCACCCTGTGAATTCGAAGAGGATTGACCAGTTCTCAGTGAGCAGCAGATATCGCGAAGGCGCGTTGTGCATACTGAAAACTTGCATATTTCGTGAACCAGTTGCGTAGCGGATGTTAATGGGGTCGGAAAGGACGACAGCGTCGATGCCATACTTGGCCATCTGGCTACGGACTCGAGCCTGGCGGTACAGACGCACAGCTTTCAAGTCGATACCCTCGCTTTCAGGAGCGCGATCTAAGAGCATGAGGTCTGAGAGATCTGTTCTCTCGGCATGCCAGTCGAAATTTGCCATGATACCATACACAATAGTGTTAGAACGAGACTTGTGTGATGGCTATAAGAGACTAGTGCCCGAGTAAAGCAAAGTGCGTACTTCCGTTATTGGCAGGAATTCCGCATATGAATTTATATTCAGCTGATTAGTAGAAAAACGGTATCCTAGCTATCTTTCGTCATTTCTGATACTTCCTTGTTTGGCCCAGAGGTCCGAAAATGGGAGCCATCGGAAACACACCATATTATCGGAGCGGAGATTCTAGCCCTCGGATGGCTCCGCTCACGTGAACGGAGCTCAGCATCCCTCGACGTGTTCTCCTAGACAATACAACAGATCCTTGACTACCAGGGCTTATTGCCGATGTTATTGGACTTGTAAGCCGTCAGTTTCCACTCGGTCCGCAAACATGGATGTCCTTATCACGACATAGGCCCAATTAGATTATTCCAGTATGTAATAGCGGCTTCCCATCTGGCTATGATTGTCATCTTATCTGTGCCTCAAAGGCCGTAGCCGGTCCTAGATGTCTGGGGGTATGGAATATGGGGAATATGGGGTAGTGGCATGGGAGATAACATAGCTTACCGGTCAGGGGGTTACTCGAGTCCGGGAGTACTTAAACAGGCTTTAACCACCTTCTTTCTCCGTCTAACCCTTGAAATCTCTTATGATTGTACTCAGCCTATGCCTTCACCGTTCACTGAGGTCTTTATCCCTTGTCTGTTTTGTGTCAATACAAGCGAAGGCAAGTCGAGTCGTTCTAGAAAGCCACTATGTCGACACTCGAGAGAAAAGCCGTACCAACCAACTTGGCAACCGCTGGAAGCATTACCAGTGAGTACCATTCTGAGTTAGGTCATCTAAACCGACGCCTAGGCAATCGACAAATTCAACTGATCGCCGCTGGCGGCTCCATTGGGACCGCCCTTTTTATCAATATCGGCAGCGCATTAGCCAAAGGCGGCCCGGGTAGTCTCCTACTCGCCTTTACTCTGTACACCATGATTCTTGCCCTTGTCAATAACTCGGCCGCCGAAATGAATACGTATATGCCGGTTGCGGGTGGCTTTATTCGCCACGCTGGCTATTGGGTTGATGATGCGTTGGGATTCGTGGCTGGCTGGAACTTCTTCCTTTTCGAGGCCTTTCTGATCCCCTTCGAGATCAGTGCCTTGACATTTGTGATGTCGTTCTGGACTGAGGCTGCCACTCAACCAGGGCCCACTGCTGGCATATATGCCGCAGTAATTCTCATATACGGGTAAGCCAACCTGAGTATTCAATTCTGGAACAGTCCTATCGTGTTCTCCGTCTGGTTATACCGTACATCCTCGATGCTAAAACCGTCTACGTCCATTTTCACTTCTCTTCACAACAGACACTTGAGTGCTAATTTATTTGGAGTAGAGTCCTAAACTGTCTTGCCGTGAAATTTTATGGTGAAGTTGAATTTTGGCTCTCTAGCGGAAAGATTATTCTGATCTTGATTCTTTTCTCGTTCACTTTCATCACAATGGTTGGTGGCAATCCTCAAAACGACGCTTATGGCTTTAGATACTTCTCGAACCCAGGGTCGTTTTCTCAATATCTATCTAGCGGCGATCTGGGTCGGTTCGAGGGCTTTCTTTCATGCCTCTGGACTTCTGCGCTCACCATTGTCGGCCCCGAATACATTTCAATGGTGGCTGCGGAGGCTAAACATCCAAGTGTTTATCTCAAGACAGCCTTTATTACAGTGTACTACCGATTTGGTGCCTTCTTCATCCTTGGTGCCTTGGCAGTTGGGATTGTTGTTCCATATAACGACGAGATCCTCCAGGCTGTCTGGCTTGGTGCAGGGAGCGGCAAAGGCACCGCAGCGGCATCCCCATATGTTATTGCAATGGAGAATCTCGGAATCAGCGTTCTACCGCATATTGTCAATGCTTTAATTCTGACATCTATCTTCTCGGCTGGAAACACTTACGTGTACTGCGCAAGCCGAGCCCTCTACTCGCTCTCCTTGGATGGCTGCGCACCTCGGATACTCAGCTACTGCACCTCCAAGGGTGTTCCGATTTACTGCTTCGCTATCGTCATGCTATTCTCCTTTCTGTCCTTCCTTCAGGCTCACAGTGGCTCCGCTGTGGTCCTAACCTGGCTAGCAAGCATCATTACTGGTGGCATTCTCATTAGCTACAGTATCATATCCATCACATTCCTGAATTATTACAGAGCCTGCCAAGTTCAAGGGTTTGACCGAAGAGAAAAGCCATACTATGGATATTTCCAACTATATTGCTTTGGTATTTCTCACTCTGGTACTCTTTGGCTATGGGTATTACGCGTTCAGGCCTTCATGGAACGTGGAGACTTTTTTCCAGAGCTACAGTATGCAGATTTTGAGCGTGATTCTCTTCGTTGGATGGAAAATTATCAACAAAACAGACTATGTTACACCTGATAAAGTTGACCTCATCTGGGAGCGACCTGGAATTGACAGGTACGAAGATGCCACCACCGAGCCGCCGCTGGGGTTCTGGGAGGAAATGATACGTATTGTTGGGTTTCCAAAGGAAAAGGGGATGTCGGATGCTTGGATATATAACCACGATGTGGGAATTTGTGAGTATGCCATTTCTAGAATACATCCGCTGACATATCTTTGCCGCCGAAATTCCCTGAAAACAGTGGCACCAGTTGGCTTGGGTATAATTCTTCCAAATTTGTCTGGGACTAGATTTCAGCTAGAAATAAACTGCCCCAGGAAGGAGTAACAAATTATTTCATTTAAATTGCCTAAATCCAATAAAACAGTGAACAAGATTTCTTCCAAAATATGAAATAGGGGCACTGACGGAATGCACTCCGAATCATCTCATGATACTGAGGGTTCGTAACGAAGAGGTTTACACGGCGATCGAGTGCCAGTACGATTGAACATTTTTCTTCACGATCTCTCTTAACGAACTACTTACTATACTTGGTCCTCCTCCATGTTCAATGCGCGCCTGACAGGCTCCTATGTGTCTTCATCAGAGAGATCTTGCAGCTGAGGCATGCTATATGCTTCGTATTGATTTATTGAGGGATGTCTCCGTAAAATTTGTAATTATTCCGGTCTTTGGGCACTTTGGCCCTCAATCTGTCCACTCAGGGAGTCACACCCCACTTAGACCTTTGAGGAGAAAACTGAGGGTTGCAATAAGGCCCATATCCACTCTCGAGCACAATATACTAATTCCATGACAGTTTGGGCTTTTAACGTCAGCATCGAGATGGGGTCTTAAATTAATTTCAGGTTCCGGAGACCCGCATACATTGAGTTCGGAACAGTATGACATAGTATGCAGATGAGAGCCTAGACCGAAAGTTTTCCACGTCAACGGAGACTACTGTCAAAGTCGCCTGTTCTAACCAACTCACCGCCGTAAGGGCAACGGCTGGGCCGCCAAGGCCGGAAGCCTTGAGGGATCAGCTAACAAAGAATACGCCGGGACCAGTCGGCTTGATGCATGAAAGGTTATCCACTCGCCACCGGTAGGAATCGATCTACAGCATCCTCATCAGGTAGGTGCTCGGGAACGGTCCAATTATATAAGCAACGAAGAGAGCAACTTCCATCGAAAATGCGGTAACGACAATTTGTTACAAAATCCTTGAGTTAAACCCTAGCTAGCTTCCTTACCTCTGATGAGATGTTTTGAAAGAAAAGGCCAATATGTAGCTATATAAGAGTCCCTCTAGCCCCGAAAGAAACATCACTGAACATGTAGCATTGCCATCCATCTTCTCTCCATCCTCATACACCTCATCAAGGCTGTTCGCCCAACATGCGTTTTATTGCTGCTGCGCTTTCTCTCTTCACAGCACTCGCTGCTGCGAATACCCAGACCGTCGAAGTGTCCGCGCTGCACATGGCCGGACGGGGTAATCTCGCTACATCAAGCGTCCATTTCGATACAACATCCTTTACTCTGGACAAGGGATCTGCTTATGAGGTCTCATGCAAGGCAGACTACGTCACAGCCATCCCATCGGGCAGATTCACGGGCGAATGTCTATACCCTGGTGGTGACCGTGCTCCGTGGGCTTTCTCCTACGACAAGATCACGGAGAGTTCTAAGTTCCTCTTGACTCTTTACAACAGTGATGGGTGAGATTGTTTATATGACCCGAACTTAGTCGTCGTGAATCGAAACTGACCCAATTAAAGTGCGGCGCGTACAGGACGAGGAACGGTGCCTACCTCTTGCAGTGTGAACGGAGACGAGTTTACCTGCGACCAGTCTGAGCTGATCTCCATTACCGTGTCGGCTTAATTATCTCTGCCAAATAACTTTGCAGATGCTTGAGTTGCTATAATTTAGTTAGCCGGTCGCTCTTGAATCAATTTAGAATAGTCTGACCGCCGTTATTTTGGATAATCTTTTGTTTATCGGGATGCCTAGCGGCTCGACTACATATTACTGATTTGCTGCGGTTCATAGGTTCTCAATGAAGTTTATAAGGCTGGGAGTTTACCAAATCAAGATTCATCGCATTTCGGCCGCGAATGAAGAAGCAGACGAGAAATATCGCTATTAATGACTATCATGTTCCTCACTATCATTAAACAAATTGACGGCTCCTCCGCGCGTACCCATCTCGCTCACAATGGGGGGTTTGCTGTCAGTAAGCTAACTATAATTGCCGCTGTAGCTCTCGACCTTGAACATATTTTGGCTCGTATTAGTGGTCGACTGCAGTAAGTATGGCGAAGGATCCGACTAGAGAGATCATCAGCTGTTCTTGTGTGAATTGTGTCGCAAGAGGATTTCCATTCGACCTGAGCAATGTCACTCGGTCTGTCGTTCCCAGGTTTGGAAGATCCGCCTCCCGTTTCATCTCACCATGCTGGTACGCTCCGGACTTCAATAAATCCCCTCAAATATGTGCCCCCTCCGAGCTGTTCCGATCAATAACCCCGCCCATGATTAACGGAAAGGGGCCCTGCCGGGCTGATGTTGAAGGAACCTGTTGTTTTGTTGTTCATCCTTAATTCTCGTAGTGGATTGCGTGAGCTGGCTCTTCGAATGACCATCATGACGCGATTGGAGGCCCCTATATAATTATTCCGGTATCCAATAGACTTTCCGTGATTCCACGAGTCAAGCTTTACGAATAACTGTGTAATCATATTCTCTTGCCCATGATTGGCGACGTTGAACACCTTAATTTGAATGCTACCCTCATTCCCAGAACGGCCATGGGAGATAGCTTCCGTTGTTGCAGCAGCTTGAAACACGTGCGCGTTTGTGGAGAAATAACTCTATTTTTGCAATCTTGGCACCCCTTAAAAGTATGTAGAAGGCCAATTGAAAGCATCTAGTGGAATACTCTTCACATAGATCAGGGCACGGATGATCACTGTCCGTTTTGGGTCGCTTTGTCGGTTCGAATTGCCGTCTCGCTTGCTGAAAGCATGCAACTGCTGACGAAACAACAACACCAACATGGGTTTCACCATCCATCTGGATTTATGCGAATCTTGGGAAAACTATGGGGTAGGTGTGCCTATATATACCAAGCGAGATCCTCAATGCGAGGGTTCCTTTGTCTAACTCGACATCACACAAATAACATACCTCATCTGAAAGTATAAGAAATACAGTATAGAAAATGCGACCATTTTCAGCAATCCTTAGTCTCGGGGCTTGTATCATCCCGCTGGTATCTGCCCATGGCTTCGTTTCTGGCGTTACAGTTAACGGAGTCTGGACTGCTGGTGCTGATCCCGTCTGGTATTACTATCCCAGCGGAACCTCCCCAGCAACTGCTGGCTGGAACTCATTAAACCAAGATCTAGGCTTTGTTGAGCCTGCCAACTTTGGCACTGCCGATATTGCGTGCCATAAGAGCGCCACTGCTGGCAAGAACTTCATCAACGTAAATGCCGGTGACACGATCAAACTCTACTGGAACACTTGGCCCGACAGCCACAAGGGCCCTATCATCAACTACCTTGCCCCCTATAATGGTAAGTCTTCTTGAAATAGATTAGTCTCTAGGAAGTGAGGCGATTAATCAATAAACGCAGGCCAGACAACCGCTGGTAGCTTGAGTTGGTCCAAATTCAGCCAGAGTGCCATTGTGAGCGGCACGACCTGGGTTACCGATACCCTGATTGCCAACAACTTCACCACATCGACGGTGATTCCCCGAAATCTCAAGGCGGGCAACTACGTCCTCCGACATGAAATTATTGCCTTGCACGGCGCCGGGAGCGACAATGGCGCTCAGAACTACCCACAGTGCCTGAACCTCAAGGTCGGTGGTAGTGGTACTGTTTCACCTTCCGGAGGTACCGTGGGATCCAGCCTGTACAAGCGAACTGACGCTGGAATTCTCTTCAACTTGTACACCTCTTACACGAGCTACCCATACCCTGGTCCAGCGCTTTGGACTGCCGCCAACTAGGCCCGTGGTGCGATACGGAGGGTCGTGTTGGGTACAGCCACTTCGCTACTATTTCATTTGACCACTTGAGACCGTTATTGTGGTAGGTTTGCGGCAACTGATAACTATTGCCATCACAGAAGTAGTTGGAAGGGATATAATCACATACTCGAATTGTCTACCTAGAAACATTCTATACTTAGCAATCTGGTTCATGTACACATTTGCATGTGCGTTAGTGGTAAGAAATTATATGGCAATTCTCCACTTCCACAAGATATCTATATACCTAGATAAGCGTGAACTTTGCCCTGGAGGATCAGCGGTTGTACCGTTCTGAGAAATAGGGAGGGTCTTCCACTATTTCAAGTTCATTTAGACAATCTATCATTGACTCAAGCCCATGAGCCACTGCCATTTCCATTGCTTCCTCATATCGTCCCAAGGTAACCATATACCCGTGTTCCAAAATCAACTGGAGCATAGGTACATCCTCTCTCTTGATAATTTCCGCCAGAAGCTCACGAGGGCCGAAGTCTGTTTCAAATGTTATTTTACGCTTAAGAACCTTCCTTAATATCCCTCCACATCCAGCCCGGGTGACCGCGGTAAGCACCTCGTCGTGGTGATCCACGTCCCGATCGAGTAGAAAATCGACGATATCTTCAAAGCATCCGCGACAGGCTCGATAGAGAGGATTCCCAAATCTGCCATGAGTACCAGCTCTGATCTTTGAACTGGAGCCGGAAACGTGGCGTACCATGGCCAGATTGCCGTATCGAGCGTATTGTGCGATCTGGTTGCGTTGCCTCTTCTGCCTATCAGTCTCTGTGTCGGTAGAAAAGGAGAAATTATCGGTAATAAAATCGTATATGGCTGGTGTGCGGGAGAAGTATTGGTTGGAGAACATAACCCCAGAGATGATGGGCTTGGAAATAGCTGGCGGATAAGGCCGTAGATTTGGCGGGAAAAGCACATTGATGAATGAATCCAAATTTCCATTAACCATAGCACCCCATATAGCGTCTTGTATGTTCTCGTTGGCCCATTCAAAATAGCTTTGATCATCCGAAAATTCGAAGGAGGTTCTAGAGAGGATATGCCTTTGGAATATATCTAGGATAGCGGAATTCCCGCGGAAAGCGGCGATCCATATTGGTGAAGGGAATAGGTCGCAACGGTCAGTTGGACTGTTTCTGATTAGAATCCATTGATGCATATAAAAAGACTCGAAGAACTGGAATGCTGACCTGCAAACACTATCATGCTGTTCTAGTGGGCTCTCGACAACTGCAGCCTGATCAAAAAAAGCAGCAGCGCATAGCAAATTGAGTTGGGAGTTTGATGGCGGCTCACGAGGCGGCTCAGGTACGTCGTCCACGGTGGAGGGGTGAATGTGCCAGAGATCAGTGTTTGGCTTTATCCATAGCCGTTTTTCACCAGGACGGTTTGTACCTCGCTCCAGGCCTAACCAGCATAGACCATTGACAAACTCCTCAAATGGAATTCGGCTGTTAATGCGATCACATAAAGCCTCGGCAGCTTTGCGGATTTCGACAAAGCGTCCCACATCTGGATCTGTTTCGCGAAGGACGCGGGCGACAAGATACTGCTGCCAGAGCCTGCTAGATCCATACCGATCATTACGCATCCACCAGTGGCGACCTATGTGAGGGGCAGAAATGTCATCGAGGATACGTGAGTCGTAGAGAGCCGGGATAAAGCACTCGTTAAATCGCTCTGTACATACAATCAGCTGGGTGGTGATCCTCTTTGCTAAAGCTACTTACTACACACCAGCCTCAGTCTGAGACCGCGTACCACGCCGCGGACAAGGATGCAATTGATAAGTAGAAGGTGGATGAGTTCATTGGGTAGGCTTAAGATAGGCATTTTGTCGGCAGCAATCCGGGAGTAGCTGATCATATGCGCTGGGGGAGGAGGAGAGTTGTTTGGCCGTAAAAATTATCAGGTCATGGTGATTTGCTTAGGTTGTCGAAACCAGCCAACGGACCACCAACCCCCGGTTAAATTCACCAGTCAGGTGCAGCAGGATTCTCATCCCTGCATTAGTTGTGCTGAGCCGTAGCCAACGGCGAGAACTGCCAGGCACCAGCGGCGGTGGACATACCATCGTCCAGACAAAGGCAAAGAGCCAATCATCTGCGTATCATAAGGCTTCTGAGATGGTGAAACACACAAAAGTGTGTTCAAGCTCATTTGCTAACTATTATTTACCCAGCTTCGCCTCCATGATCACCTAACCTTCATTGCTACGAGAAACAAGAACCTCAGTGACCTTCTTGCCGTCCTTGTCGTATTCCCTGAATATTTCTTGAAGGCTACCTGTTAGCTCGTTTCCCAGGTGAGCACCCTTTCTATTGATAGATGTAAGATCTTTAAAACCCTCTTTCTTACCGGGCAGATCACATGCTGTCACACAAAAAGAAATCTTCAGCGTATGCTTCTTGCGTGCATCTTTAAGGCCAGCTGCTGCTACGTCGTTCGTCACATCGTCATATCATACCATCTCCAATTTTTTTTAGGGAGTGTGCCCTCTTTCTTCCAGACACTCATCATTAACCTGGACAACACTTGCTAGATATTAAATATTTTCATAGTTTCTTGCTCATATGCCCTCGCAACTGTGTTATAGTATTGACTCGCAATAAGCAGTTCTCCGAGATGCTGGAGGTTGAACTCACCTTGCGACTGCTACTAAGATCGATCTCTACCGCAATGCACGCGTGCTATTGTCCTGGGTATATTGCTAAACGATTAGGGAAGCACGTGTGTATATTTCTACTTCGTTTCTTTTCTTAATTAGCCGGTCTATTGAAGTGCCGAGGACGCTGGAGTGGAGAAGGCAGCAGCTGACGGCCGCGTGTATTTTTGACAACCTGGTTGTATCTCTTCTTGATATTTCTTTATCGCTTTCAGTTTTGCGACTAATAACATATCCGCCTTCGTCCTGATCCGGATAATGACAGTCGTTTGAGTGGTAGACAGCCCCAGTACTCTCCCCGAAACAAAAACCTCGACCGGTATACAGGGCAAATACTCATCCGCGCTCAGTCGGGCCATCGGAGAAGATAACGCCAGTAAGCCCTGAATCTGCAACAGTTAAACTCTGGACGTTATTGACTCCCAGAAGTCCGCGATCACCCCAACGACGTTGTAGTATAATCTACCAAATGGGGAAAGATTGGTCCACTCCATTTCAATAACCCAATCTTCATCTCCTTGGGTAGCCTCTGCTCCCACTAGCTGCTCCTCTGCTCCAATGTCTCCATCGAGTCGATGAGGCTGAGCCTCGCTCAATCCTTCGAATGAGAGACCTTGCTCCGCACTCTCAGTTTGGGGGTTAATAAAATCCATCCCGTTTGCGTTCTGAATCAACTTGATAATCGATCGGATGTCTTTGAGCAGGATTTTGTTTAGGGGAAAATTTCATTATCTGGGCGAGCACGTCGTTTTATAGAAGGTGGTAAACTGTCCTCATTTGTGGACATCTTTCTTCATCTCTGCTGGTATGGTTGCTGTTGCCGTGGCTTTGTCTGTTCACAAAGAAGTAAGTGCCCAAAAGAAGTGTATGGGGTACGAACAATGATGAAGTGAGTTCCGGAATTTCTGCAAAGAAGTGGGCTTTGTTAATGGAAGGTCGGAGTTTTGTTTGAAATTTGGTATCTGAAAATTTGCTGCTACGCATCGACTGAAATGTCACACTAACCATTTCCACATTTCAACATGACTGTCTGAAACTCATGAGAATGTCGAATGGGTTGTATTGGAAATACTGGCATCGCGGACTACAGACATTATCCAGCGTTTCATGGAGAGCGATTAGGGAATCTCTGTGTAGTTGAACACCAAACTCAAGCTTAGTTTGAAGTACTACGGCAGAATAGTGTGTTCAAGCCTTTTGATTGCTTTCCGCTAGGCATTAGGCTATCTTTAATATCTGGCGAGGTGAGAAACTACAGTGTGATAAAAAGAGGGCTTAAAACTCTGGACATGGCAGATACAAAAGAAGTATAACACGTTTGATCAAAGGCGAATAACCTCTTCAAGCCTATAAACGGCAGGACTTTTAGTCCTATAGAGGGTTTCCCTTGAGAGAGGTTAACGAAAAAGGGTAAGAAATGTGAAGGAAAATAGTGTGATTTAATACCTAGCTAAATAGCCTAGTTCGAGTGAACAAGCGAATAAACAATTTCAATCTCAATCTTGAATGTAAAAAAAAAGAATCTTCAGGTCCAGGCAAATCCCCCAACTTTACTATACAGGGAATGGTAGGTATTTCTCAAGACTCCGAGGTTCGCGAAGCGCCGGGTACTAGGAATCCAGCTGTACGGAGTGCAAAATGAACAAACACCCAACCTAGAAGTTGAGTTCTGCATCGCAGTGCTTCTCCTAGTCTACCGTCCAACCTTCAGCACTTGTTTTCTTCTCAACCTAACTAAGGTAGATCCTTAGAGAGTCCTCGTCGAGTAGTGCAAGCGCAGCTGCCGGAACATCATGATTCAATTTAGCTTTCCCTTTTTCAAAGCCTCTATAAGCACGGCGAATGGCCTCAACACCCTCATGATGCTGATCAACTCCCATCCGGATCGGGTTGAAATCATTCGCGAACGGATCAAGGCTGAGTGCCGAAAAAAATCGGCGTGCTCTGTCATGGCCTTGGACATTTCACAGAGCGCTTTCACAGGGTTTTCATCGACCGATGGTGGTTGTTCTTGTTTTTCTAAGTCATTAAGTAATTAGTGCCCATAAAATGACTCACGCGTAGGAGTTCATGTGTACATACTGTGTGTGCTTTGTGTCTCAATCGTCCCATCATATAGCTGCTGCGCGGGGGTTGTGATCCTTGCCCAAAGGAAGAATGGAATCAACGTGGCGATGTTAAAAAGCCACGTCCTCTTACTAAAAGCCGGGATATCAGTAGAAGGCCCGTGATTTTGGGAGGGCATTTTGAGGTAAGACGTCAGAGCACGATGCCCTTGTTGTACTGAGGAAAGGGAGTAGAAAAGTATGGTTTTTTGGCAGGTGTTGTGGTGATGATCAAAACGATAAATTGAAGCGCTTTCAGAGTTTGATCGCGCCTTATATAATTTTTGCCAGAGGAAGGGAGAGTCGCGTTTGAGGTAATTAAACAACCATGGAAATGAATGGCTCCTGGCGAACTAGCCAATGTTTGTCAATCAACACACCAGCCATTGTTCTCTTTGTGACATGAAAAAGGTCACCGTGACAGGCACCAGTTATTGTTGGCGTTAAGCTTCATATTTGTGTTGTGATACTTGGTACAGCGACCAATCGTGAATTTCGTGGTGCTTGGGGGTTTCCCCGTGTTGTTAGCAGCTGTAGCAAAACCCCATAGCGCGTTCAATTACTACCACGATGTTTGATGGACAACCTACTTAAGGTGATTGCAAGCCAGGGCGTGCATAAGTAGCCACCATCGCCAGGCAAGTCTGGCTGCCCTCAGTTTTCTTTCTCAAAGTTCAACTACGCTTTCTATCTGCCACGAGCAACCATGCGTCTGACCAGCATCCTAACCGCGACACTCTCTGCCATTGGGCTGGGTATTGGGCTGAGAATTTTCTTCGCAGACAACCCCACGCCAACATATATTGGCTTCGATCGCATGCTCTCCATGCCTTCATATGAAAGGTACACCGCCACCAGGTTTATCATAGAACAGGTTGAGGAGATCAAAATTCTTGCCGACCTTGGCCGCTTGGCCGAGCTGAAGTATGGCAATGCGGCCGTCGACATTTTAGGTATGAAGAACGAATGACTATCCTTGGAGCCGAAACTTACAACATTAAACAGGTTGCCTCGAGGATTTATCCACGGATAAGGATGTGAAGGCGTCAATTTCAGTTGTCAAGCCGCATTACAGCTGGATGGAAGTGGAAGGGTTTGCTGCATTCGACGGCTTGAGAACTCTCCGAGAATCGATTCTCAGAGATCCGTCCGACTGCACTTTGACTACCGGAGGATACTTTAATCGTTTATCGGCTGTGTTACGCCGTCCTCAGATTTCGAGAGAGCAGCTTGTCGGACGAATTCAGAACATCACCATGCACTTGCATACTCTTGATGCGCTACAAAAGAGGTTCGGCATATATGATAAGGGTATGCATGAGCTTAAATGCACAGTTTGCCAGGTGTACGGTCCTGAAATTGCCTCGAAAATCGAAATCTTATCATATAACGAGGGCCAGCCGCCGGTAGGAGCTACGGGGCTTTTACACCGCGCAATGAGAGGATTGTTCCGGCTTGAATCACTGTGTCTCGAACTCAAAAGATCCCAGACCCTGCGCAATGAAGTGGTGAATGTCACAGGTGACAAGGTCAAGTCTATCACTGAAAGTTTGGAGACGATTGAAAGTCTGGAGCGGGAGGTGAAGTACGCAAGCAAGATTGATTCAAGGGCATCTCGAAAACTTGACAAACAACTACTTGAAGTTCTGGAAAAGGAAATTGAGTACTTTGGAATTTTCTTTACCAATTTCTAGCCGACTCTTTGCGCGCGCAAGATCTATGTGATACTTGGCCTTCCTACCTCGATATGGCACATCCTCAGGGATGAAACAGTATCGTCGCCCATTGACAGTGTTTTGGTTTCTCAGGCAAATTGGGTGGTTTATTAGCTCACAGCAATATAATTTTATCAAAGCTCTACGGGCTCGGTAATGAACAGGAATGACCATAGTCCTGTCAGACTTCTGTGACCTATCTAAAATATCCAGCGAGTGATGTGATCCCACCATCCATGGTGAACTCGTTTTAAGCTTTCAGTGCCCCCCTCATCGATGCAAAGATGGAGGAAGCAGTTATTCCCGTCGTACGCAAATGCATCCAGCCTTTTACCTTGGTCAGCTGCGTGCCATCGACTGACTATTCGTACCTTACAGTCTACAAGACCTACTCTAGAATACAGCAATGAGTATGATTTTCCATCCTTAAATTTAGCCACCTCAAAGGTATTGGAGAGCTCTTTTTCGAGAAATTTGTCATAGTCTATCAGTTTTCCAACCCACCACGCTGCCTCCTTGGCATCGGCCAGCATCCTCTCTAGGGACGGGAAAACCAGCCTCCGGCTTGTGTATGGCGTCAAACCCATAATCGAATGTAAATAACCCCACCATAAGCTTATTAGATGAGGTGGTAATATCCACGAGCTTGGACTTTGAAGGTCATGTATAGTCCCTTGAATATGTTGTCGCTGCGCGTCGAAATCCTTGGCAACAAGCAAAGTAAGAACGGCTCGGTCTATTTGATCCTCGAGCCTGGTTAGAGCGATCTCTCGCAGAAAGAGGAGCGCTTTATCCAGCCGAGCCAGACGGCACTCAAGGCGGGCTCGATAACCCTCGTGCCATGCTTCACGTAGTTGCATCTTCTCGATGTCGAAGTAGAAGAGCACCTCTTCAACGTGTCGAATCAGCCCTCCAGTAACTCTTTTTACCTCTTCCAAATGTGATTTGAATTCTGAAAGATAAGTTTCTGGTCGTGAGATGGATTGACTGGTGTCTGCAAACAATTTTATGATTTGTATCATGTCTTGGGCTGTTGAGTTTTGTATTTGAGCTGAAGCGAAGTCCACTGTTGGGGGGATGAATTTATCGCATGCTTTGAAGACGTCGGCCTGGCTAGATGAATTGTGTCTCATCAAACATTCAATTCGAGGCTTGTCCGAGTTTTGCATCCCACTTCTGTTCAATCCTAGCCAGATCCCCCCTTTTTCCCAAAGGTCTAGTCTGTCATCGAGGTACCTGACCATCGAACTCAACAAACCGTAACTATCATTAATCCATGTCACCCAATTCAATCGGTAGTGTAATGATTCTAGCCAATATTCTTCTGCTGTCTTAATTGTTTTGTTCAGGTCATGTAGAAGCGAATCAAACGGTATATTCTTGTCGTCGCAGGGTAGAGACTGGCTGAAAAAGCACCATGGAACTGCCTCCTCCATCTTCAGGCTACCATCAGTAGAAGACTCGCTATATTGGAAATCGGTTGTCTTGTGAGTATTTTTGCTTTTGGTAGCCCACCCCTCGGAATTGGCAACTTCGGTGGTGAAGAGATCAGATGCAGATGCGTTCTCCGCGAACCAGAGCAGATCGTCGGACATGGCTCCAAGCACGTCCACCAAGTCTTCATGAAAATTTACCCATGGTACCCTATCGAATTGAGTGTCCGTGTAATTATGCTCGGTGCTGTTGATCAAGTATCGTCTTGCAACGGGTAAGAAGAGCCATGGACTGCCGACAGGAAGTAATGATGAAAGTCGATGATAACGAGCATATTCCAATACCGAGTGATGGATAGGGAGATGGAAGGACTTGTGCGCTGCAAGGAGAGGCTGAAGGTCATGATAGGTCAAGATATGCGAAAGGACCGATTGTGTGATGACGGCGTTGAAGAGATCATTGAGTAGCGAAATTTCATGATACGACCCTCGTGGGAGCCGCTGACCCATGAATAGGACAATCCGCGCAAGTATCGCAATTAGGAAGCATATGTGACCAATTTTGGAAGCTTTTCTCCAAAGAATCCGGTGATATAAAGTGTCCGACGCTGCTTCGACGTGAAACCGGTCGCTCGATGAAGAATCAGCTTCTAGAACATCTTGAGCTGTTGGCGCTGCTGATTCCTGAAGTGGATGCTCGGGGGATCCTGGCAAGATCAAGGTGGCATCGAGTGTCGTGGCCTTGCGCCGGGCTGCAATACGCGCGGAGCGCCTCAGTTGAGCAGAGGACATGACAATTTCTTGACGTGATGAACCTGTATTAGCAGATCATCGAGGGGTGGAGGGCACTATAGTAGAATTGTTCTGGAAGGGCTTGGAGTGTGTCTCTTCTAAGTTCTTCTCGAGGTACACAAAACGAAAAAATCTTCTCGCCCAAAACGAAAGGGACAGTGACACCGAAAAAATTGGGTGAGAATTCAAGCGTCGCGACATGTATTAATATAATCCTTTGTGCTTCCAGAGCCAGACCCCTTGCAGAAGCGCACACGCCATGGTCAAAGCAGACCATATCATTGTTGAATGCATGCCACATGAAGCTAAGAGAGGTGATTTGGTTTATGATGAAAAAAGTCACTTGCCGATTTTGGGGCAAGCTTCCCGTCTCGAATTACCTAGGTAGATACCGAACCTTTTAAGCCTAAGAAGCGAAGATTTATCCATAATTGGCAAAGCATAAATAATGCAGCAGCGGCGAGATCGTGATTCAAATGAGAAGATTAGCTAACATGACCACGCCGTATATTTGAATCAGATTTGTCTTACTGGTTGGATAGGGGCTTGTGAGTCGAGCTTGCTCTGGGTTTCTACTCATAAGGAAACCCCGATTAATAGGTCTATCCACCCCTCTGACGGGTTGAAAGTAAGAGTACCTAAGTTGACAGCCATCGCTGTCTTATATATACTGCTATGTTGTGGTGCTATGATGTGTAGGCATACAGTCAGATTCTGAAAGCCAAGGAAATGCCGGCAGATTGACTCGTCTGGAGCTTTACGGCACAAACTTAGTTCCTTCTTGATGGATGCCTTGGGCTAGTATTTTGCAGTGTGGCTGGGTCAATTAACTCCGAAAGAGACCCAGCTGGTCTTTATCATTAATCCGATGTCCGATGGTATGCTCCAGTCCCAGCGACCCTGCAAACAGTGGCTTCTTCTCCGCCCGCAATGGGACCAATAATGAGTACGCCGTGGCCAGAGGCCGATATACGAGACACATTAAGCCAAGCATTACTCCGAAAGTCTGCTCGAGGCTTTCATATAACAGCCACCGGTACACTACCACTTCGCCAGTGCTCAATCATCCATTGCTGTTGTGAAATTACTCGCAAAAATTAAACATGCATTTGGGAATCAACGATGTGCATCCTTTCTGCCAGATCGAGCTCAAGGACAGAGCTTCTGTGCAAGACCTGTTAAGGGCTGTTCTCGACCCCTTGGAGCCTTTTTTCTCCACGCACAAGGCTCGGGTCAACTGTCCCGGCAACACTGCCGTCCCATTTGACCAAAGTGCTTCTGAACTCGAAGGCTTCGCGCGTCCCCTATGGGGTTTGACCTTCCTGCTTGGCGGCCATGGCGAATATCACGGCACAGACTGGTGGATCCAGGCTTACAAGTCTGGAACCGACCCAAAACACCCAGAGTATTGGGGCTATCCGACAGAAAATGACCAACGTATGGTGGAGATGTGTCCTCTGTGTATTTGCTTGAATGTGTTGGCTTGCGTCATTGTGCTGATCTTGGGGCCGCAGGCCTTGCCCTAGCCGAGGCGAATGTTATCTGGGACAGCTTGTCCCAGAAGGAGAGGCAGAACGTGGAAGCATGGCTAGGGAATTCAATCAACGAAAGAAGTATGATGATTCCTTTGACTCCTATTTCTGCGTAGCATCTGACAGCTAACAGTATGCCAAATACTAATTGGCTCTGGTTCCGCGTTTTCGCGAACCTAGGGCTGAAGAAGAACGGCGGCAAGTTCTCGCAGGACAGGATTGATAGTGATATCAAGCACCTAGATTCCTTCTACCGTGGAGATGGTTGGTCTAATGATGGACCAGAGGGAATTAATCGTACGCCATCCGCAGTATTTGAATAGATGGCAGGGTTAACCTGATGCAGAAATGGACTACTACTCTTCCAGTTTTGCTATCCAATTCCTCCAGCTTCTATACGCCAAGGTTGCCGGCGATGAAGACCCCGAGCGAGCTGCAGAGTTCAAGAAGCGAGCACAGATAGCAGCTCTAGACCTTGTACACTATTACGACAATGGGGGTAGAGCTATCCCATACGGCCGTAGCATGGGCTACCGATTTGCTATAATATCTTTCTGGGGCGCCTTGGCCTATGCGAATGTCGAACTACCAGCTCCTCTTACTTGGGGTATGATCAAGAGCATTGTCATGCGCCATTAACGCTGGTGGTAGAGCCAACACGCAATATGGACGGCAAGCGGGACCCTTTCCCTGGGTTACTCCTACCCGAACATGTACATGACGGAGAATTACAACAGCCCTGGGAGCCCTTACTGGGCATGCTTGACCTTTGTATGTCTTGTAGTTTCCGAGACTCACCCGTCCTGGACTTCCGAGGAAGAGTCTTTGAGGGATGCCATCTCAAAGATCAAAGCCTTGAAGCACCCGGGCCACATCACTAGCTATCTTGGAGGGCACTGCATGTTGCTGTCGTTCGGACAGGCATGTGGCTATCCTATGAAAGGCACTCACGCCAAGTACGGGGCATTCGCTTATAGTAGCGCTTATACATTCTCCATGCCCACGGGGATTTTTTCACTCGAACAATATGCGTTAGCTTCACAACTAGGTCTGCCTGACGATGGTGGCGAATACTGGTAAACACGGAGGACGAGTGAATATGCTGCACTCGAGTATCGAGGGGACATGCAAGTGCTTGTCTGTGTCTGGCGGCCGTTCCCAGACGTCACAATCAAGACGATTCTAATACCCCCCACGGAGAATGCCCCTAACTGGCACCTACGAGTTCATAAGATTAATGCCGGGTGGGAAGTCATGACTTCAGGTGGTTCCTTTGCGATTTGCAATATCAATTCTAAAAACGGGCGGTACCTGGACCTCTATGACGCATCTATATTCGAAGGAACACATCCAAAAATCATTGGGAACTATGATATATTGACGGCGGAGGGCTGGGCCGCTGGAAAATCGGGACCTTTTGCGGTATCAAAGGGTGCAGTCGGTATTAAAGCGCTCGAGACGCAGGATGGGCGAATGGCTGACCTAGTCAACGCGGTCCCAAACTCAAACCTGGCAGAGAGCCGAACGGTGATCCCCACACTCCAGCACACAGTGAGGAGAGGGGAGACTGTAATGTACATCACGGGAGTTTTGAGAGTGTGTTGACATTTGGAATGAGAGGTAAAGGTGATCATGTTATTGATGCCAAAGATGTCACTTCAACTCTACACGGCATTCTACATACTCAGAGGTCCATCATCAAAGATGTATATGGGAGCGAGACAGGCGAAAACCGTGAGTTACAGTAATAACAACTTCGCTCCCGCAATATAGACTAACATACAGCAGAGGTTCTCGCCCTATATAAAGAAGTGCTTACACAATATGATCAGGGCCTCGAAATCCCGGACGATGTCACTCTACTCTTTGCAGATGGCAACCAGGGAAGTATTCGTCGGGTGCTCGTTGGCGATGAAAAAAGTCGATCGGGAGGAGCCGGAGTACGTATTCCTTTAGGGCTTTGGAAAAACCTCCCCAAGAAAAAGATTCATTGTGCTGATGTTTTGCAGATATATTACCACTTTGAGTTTGTTGGTCATCCACGGAGTTACAAATGGCTCAACAGCAATCACTTGCCCAAAGCGTGGCAACAGCTCGACGAAGCATACAACAATGGTGTCGACCGTATTTGGATATTCAACGTTGGCGATATCAAGCCAATGGAGGTTCCTTTGAGCTTTGCCATGATGAAGGCTTGGAACACCCATGCCTTGACATCTTCTCAGCTCCCAGTCTTTTTTTGACGCATTCATCGATAACACTTTCTCTCTCAGCACTGCGGATTCCAAAGAATGCTCGCAACTCTTCTTCGAATATGACCAGTTGATGGGTCTCGGAAAACACGAGTGTATTGAAGACGATACGTTCTCTGTTATCTACTACGACGAGGTGGACACTGTTCTACGACGATGGTCTGATCTGCTGGGTAGATCAACTCTCATCTATGAGAAGGTACCGGCTGATTTGAAGCCCGCCATCTATCAACTAATACACCACCCAATCAAGGCAACGCAGATCTACATCGCCTTGAGGGTGGCACTGGGGAAGAACAAGCGTTTCGCAGAACAGCGCCGGACAATTGCCAACAAATATGCCCAGGAAGTCCTCCGCCTCTTTCAACCAGATTTTGACTTGTCCAACTAATACCACGAAATGCTTGGTGGGAAGTGGAATCATACCATGGACCAACCTCATTACGGCTGTCGATGGGACGAAGACATCGCACCGTTCCGTGATATGGTCCCAGGATTATGCTATGTCCAGAGCCGTCAGAAAGCAAGTCCTATTATGGGTAGCTTTGGTATTGCTGTCGAGGGTCATGCGGGCTACCGGACTGGACTCTGCTGTGAGGAACACGATCTCCTCCAATCATCCCGAGGCAACAGGGTACCATCAGTGACGACAGCGCCATTGGAACCTCTTGGAGCACGATCAAGATGGTTTGAGATATACTCTCATAGTTCGGAGTCGTTCCCTTGGTCGGTCAAGTCGGACACAAAATGGTTAAGCATGTCGATATCATCAGGCTACCTGACGCCTGAAGATTCAGCTGCTCGTGTCCATGTTTTCGTGGACTGGGTGTCAGTTCCCGAACTTTTTCATGGCGAGGCTCTCCTTGAAGTCCGATCTGACACGGGATCGATTGAAATCGTTCGTGTGCCGATCAAGAAGCACAAGATTCCCGTCGGCTTCACCGGGTTTGTCGAGAGTGATCACCTCGTCTCTATGAATGCGACAAATTTCGATGCCTCAGTCATCGCACAAAGCTCCTACAAGACCAACCAATTGATAGGTCGTACAGGGGCTGGTGGAGTCTTGCTGGCAGCCCGTGCTGATGATGCCGACAAACTCGACTTTCTTCATTATTCATTTTTCAACTACACGCCAATGACGGAAGCGACAGTAACTCTTTACTTTACGATGACATTCAATACCGAGCCACCAGGTCCTATCAAGTACGACATTTGCGTGGACGATGTCCCTCACTCAACTTTCCGCCTGGTTCCAGATGAGCCAAACCCCGGTACAATGCCTCCTGGTGATTTAACGGCGGGTTGGATGGAGGAATGCCCGAGGCTTGTGTGGACGAGGAAGCATACCATTGACCTTACGAAGACCGGTGCCCATGTTCTGAAGATACGCCTTAGACATACAAACTCTGTCCTAGAAAAAGTTGTTATAGACTTAGGCGGCGTTCGACCAAGTTACCTAGGTCCGCCAGAGAGTAAGAGGTTAAAGTAAATTATACTTATTAGACTTCATAGTACTTCTACTCTAAATAGATTTCTATACAGAAGATTGAAACATCGGTGTTTTACTAAGATTAATCGCAATCCGACCCGCGATCTTTGCGGATGTTATTCTACTCCTAGAGACTGGTAACCGAGCTGTTTGAATTTAAATTACAAAATGTTCCTTTGAATATGCTTATTATGTATGTGTATCTGCTATGCCATGTGTTTCAATTCTGAAAAGATCTGCGAGAAAGCCTGAAGTTGTTAGGCCAAAAGACAATGATGAATGAAATCTGGGAGTTATGACATGTATCTCCGGAAGAATCGGTGCTTCAAGATATGCAGGAGTTGTATGGCTTCGCAGTCCATGTTTGAATTTACATAACTTTTTTTCTTTCCCCTGAAAGAATGCTCATCAAATGAAATGGGTCATCGGGTGACCACAAGTACGTTTCAACTATCTTCCATCAATTCTCTTTCAGCAAGCGAGGTGGGACCAAAATCTGACTTCTTCGTGGTAGTCGATTGAGTGGGATTCGAGCCCTTGTCGGTGGTTGTCTGTTGATTCGCTCGAAAATATGGTCGAAGCGAAGGTAGGCAGGCAATTACCAGACTAAGTGTGTAGTCCAAGGCCACAAAAAGCTCTATCGAATTATTGTCAGGAATGTATTCAATTTATGGGATGGCGGGATGTGCTGTACGTAGGAGGCTCATTGAAGGTGGGCGTTTGGCAGCAGCCAGTTCAATTACAATGTAGCGGGTGAGACACACAGCGATATCCGCCAGCCCAAGAAGAAAAGTGTAGTATACACCCATCCTAAGGCTGCCTTTGAGCTGCAGGTCGGGCAAAATGAGCCAGGGGAGCGCGAAAACTATGACCAAGATCAGATATCCAGGACTTTCACTCCAGAATGGCCTTTTGTGCTTACCGATGAGAGATCCCGCGAAATGAAACCCCCAGCTAATCCGAAGTAATCTCATACCCCCCACAACAACGCATCTATCGCCTGTCCTAGAGAAAAGTTAGATCAGTCCTGGCGCAGCCTTGTTTGTCGATGTTTGTTGGGTTCATGTTGACCCACCAATTTCTCTCCAGTGGGATGCAGATGCGGAACATCTCAATCAAGGTAACAATGGGACAAAGAATGATGTAACCGAGAGTAGTCCAGAGCAAGATCCTCCTCTTGACCATGAATGCTGGAAAGACTTTCAGATATACTGTAAGCAAGGTTGCTTTGCACAACCAACACGTTATGATGAAAGGGATGGTGCTGCTCCACCTCAACTAATAATGGTCAACGTCGAGCTTGACGGATCGCTTGTTTGTTTTGCATCCTACCTTGATAATCAATAATATGTTTGCTGGATCGCCTCGGTACCCTTCCATTGTGTAAAGCACGTCGTAGTCGAGCGCGCCCAGGAGAGCAAGTTTAATATCAAATGCCGACGTAATAACAGCGAAACACCAGGTTACACACATTAGGATGTCACTAGTGAGTAAATTTCGTTTTTGGATATTGAGTCGGAGATGAAAAAGCGCTATGAGGATACAGCCTGCAACGGCGATGAGGGTCCATTGTGGTGCCTGGACTGGTTAGCAAAAAGAGCGAAGAATAATTATTCGAGCGCCAAGGGGACCGTACAAGCACACCAGCAGGACCAGGGGATACATAAGCCATTGTAGGTCTGGGCATGGCTAAGTCAGTTTACGAGATCCACGTTTGAAGGATCGGAAGGACTTGATGAGAGTGGTAAGCGATGTGTTAGGAGAGCCATTCGGCAGTGGAAGAGGTATTCAGCAGCTTAAATTGCAAACGGAATTCTTCAAGCCTTATCCAAGTAGCTGGAGCCATTCCCGACGACTTGGATGCGCGGGATCTTTAAGTTTTGTATGGTGGAATGTTAGAAGCCACGGCTGAAATTTCGGAGCAGGGGTAGCAGTTGACCATCGTGTCCGGAAACAGTTCTAACCTTTTCTTTCTCCCACATATTTAGAGGTGAAAAAGCTATAATATTGTGATAGTAATCATCTTAGAATCGCAAGATATGATTTCGAAGAAGCTGTGAACTGTTATTGAACGAAGTGACACGCGAGTAGATAAATGTAACATGTAACCCCCGCGCGTAATGTGTAGTGAGCTAGGCATAGAGGAGTGAAAGTCTGAGTACATCGCTACTTGGGAAAGGTATACTTGTATCTAATTGCCCTATCTGTTAATTCTTTTGCCTCTGTATTCATTTGATAGTAGTGGCCGTATTCACAATACCCTCTGGGCTGAGACAAAGATCTGCCGGCTCCACTGACCAGTGATCGCCGCCCTTGAGGCGTCAAGATACCGAATTCATGAAATTCAGGCTAGTGTCTGAATAGGAAACATCCATAGCTTGAAATCTAGTCCGTGGTTGTTCTATTGATCGCGGCTGTGGCTGCTATTCATAACAAGGCTCGAAGCGCTAAACACCGACCAATCTCACGCTAAAGTGAGACGCTCGATTGTTCTTTTAACCCCGGACTTGCTTTTTGCGCTAGGGATAATCTAGGGCTTCCCGTTCGGTCACCTCAGGCCTGTGTTCGGGTTCGGGGCCAGTCTAAATGTTGTCTGGCATACCTTGGACAAATCACCCATGTGATTCATCTTAGTGAGGGTACCTAGGCCAATCCACAAAAGGTAAGGGCAGACACAGACAGGTATGTAAACCAGAGAGCCGGGAGGCAAGGAATTCATGTGAGGCCGGTCGAGGCTGAAGGCTGCAGATCGCAACTCTAATGGGTTTCAATTGTAATTTTAATCGATGGGGCGATCCCCGCCCAACATTTCAGATCGACGCTAATTCCGACGAATGGTTTTTTTGTCTTGCTGTTGGCTCTAGGCCACTGTTGTATCTGGGTCGAGAATAATGCACGAGGAGAAAGCCTTTTTTTTCTGCTACAAGGTGGGAGTGCTTCCTCCATCCGAATGCGAACATACGGCTGGGATGATAGCATGCCACTTCAATATTAAGCTGTTTGGTTTTCTGTAGATTATACAGTTATATTACATTACCTCCCAAGCAGCGGTTTATTAAACAAAGCCATCTCCACATTATGTGTGACAAGATACGGCCGTTGAATGAGCCTGAGGCAAACGCCTTCAAAAGACACCTAGAGAAAGTTACAGTTCGAATAAACAAGCTGATGGTTTGGATACGAGTAGCTAATTTGATCATCCCACTACGCAACCTTCTCAACAACCCCACGTAGTCCCCGGTGTACGGATGAGAGTTTTGAGTGCAAAGTTAGAAACAGCAATGAAAGATGCTAGACACGACACAATAAATACCCGTCTCCGGTGTACACATGGGATTCTCGTCATTTGTCCCTGGCAGAAGGGTACAGCCCTATTGAAATCATGCCGCTGGTAGCGAGGGTGCTCCAACAGCCGGGCATACCTCCATACTGAAGCATTCTCTCTTGGTAGCCACAATACACTTGCTAGTGGCACGGTCAAAGGCCATGTTTTGACAGCACTGCGGTATGTCTGGTGAAATGCAAGCCGTACCTGATGGGACCAGCGGCGGCGTACATTCGGGGCCGTTCTTGGCGATACCCAGATTTCCAACGGGATCTGTTCCCTCAGGACATTCGGGCCCGCTGTCAAGGATGCACTGCCCACCCTTTAGATGTGATCCATCAGGACAGCGGGGCTCAGCACTGGCAACACACTTTCCATCATCGTCCATAACATGGTCAGTGGGACACTTGGGTGTCTCCTCAGATTCGCATCGTCCGTCGGCGATCTTGGTGCCATCCGGGCACTTGGGGCCGTCCCGGGACACACACTTGCCCGTTGCCTGATCGAAAGTCAAGGTCCCCTCGCAGCGAGGATCCTTGTCCGAGATACAGTCGTTGCCAACGCGCTTGTGGCCCTCGGGACACTTGGCGCCGCCAATGATGACGTACATGTCGCCAACACGCTGGAGAGGTGCCACGCATTCAGGCCCTCCATCTGTGCGTACGCACTTTCCGTCCACAAGCCTGAACTTGCCGTTGCCCTCGCACCTGGGAGGATCTTTGGAGACACATTCGCCATTGTCGTATCTCTCCCCTCGCTCGCAGACCGGGTTGTCTGGCCAGATACACTTGCCCTTGTGCAGATAGGTGGGCCTCTCGCAAACAGGGTCAGAGGGATGTCTACATAGACCATCAGAGTAGAAGTAACCGTCCTTGCAAGTCGGATCCTCATCTGCAATGCATTCATTCTTCTCTAGGCGGAATTCGGGTGGACAGGAGGGCTCGCCTCCGAGACATTTCCCATCGAAGAGCTTGCTATCGCCGGGACATTTAGGCTTCGTGGTTTTAACACATTCGTCTTCAACTAGGTGGAAGTTTCGAGGGCAGGTTGGAGTCTGTTTAAGGATGCATTTTCCATCATAGTAGTCGCCCTCTGGGCAGTCTGGGTGCGCTCTGGCCTCACACTTGTCACCCCTGAGCTCCATAAGTGGTGGGCATTTCACAGGCCGAGGTTTGTACTGGCACCACGCGCCATCATCTTCGCTTCCAGACGGGCATTTGTTGTTCCCGCCTTTTTCGGATCGGCAACCCACGCCATTGTATGAGGTGCCTTTGGGGCAGCACATGTATCTGCCGCTGTCAGGGTCTCTCGAGAGTTCCCTGTCGGCTTCTGTACAGGTAGCCGAGCTTGTCTTGCTGCACATGCCGTCTACGAAGGAGTAGCCGCTGTCGCACATAGTGTCCTTGACACATGTTTCCCCCTTGGGTGTGCCATCCTCGCATGTTGGAATCTCCTTTGTCTCACAGTTGTCACCATTGAGAACACCATCGCCCTCACAATACATATTGCCCTTGTGGCGACATAGACCCTCAACGTGTTTGTAGCCTTCCTCACAATCTGGCTCCCTGTCACCGACACAGCGCCCATCCCTGGTGGGTGAACTATGCTCGGGGCAGCTTGGACCGCTGGGGTCGACGCAGACGCCTCGCTCAAGGACTTGACCCTTTCCAACGCACTTGGGAGGCACGCGGGACCAGCACCAGCCGTCTTGGAAGTCGAATTTTGCTGGGCAGCTTGGTTCATGCTTGGCAACGCACTTGCCGTACTTATAGTCAAAGGCCGAATAGGCGCATTTCGGTTTTGACTCAGAGACGCAAAGGTTACCATCAGGTTTGGTATCCTTGGGGCAATGAGGACCCCACGGGTCTGAACAATAAACACCGTCAAAGACCAACCCATCGGGACAAAAGAGGGGTGCTGACGCACATATTTCCCTTAAGTCTCGATCCTTGGGGACAGACTGAAGACTCGGGGAAAACACAGGCAGTGCCGTCGTTGATTGTTCCGGGGGGACAGCAACGGCTGTTACCGGTGTTGTCCAAGGTGGGGATGAGGTCCTCGAGGCGGATCTCCCTCACCGGAGGGAGAACATCGCCGACGGCAGTTTGGTTCTCAGGCACAGGGAAGCTTAAAGAAGAGCCACCAATTAAACGAGTTGCGGCTATCTGGATCAATTGGCCCAAGTTGCTTTGCTGGTCATCGGCTTGAACGCGGAGTGCAAGACTCGTTACGAGCAGAGTCTTCCACAACACGTTCATTTTGACGAAGAATGGTGATAAGGTTAATGCTCTGAGGACTTCAAATTGATAATAGAAGTGTTCGGATGCCTGATCCCAGACCTACAAGGACGAGTCTCTTTATCACTTAACAGCCATACACCGCATTTCCAACCGGAAACCCTCCCCCTACACTGTACATACTCATCTGCTTACACTTGGATCTCGCCAGAGCCTTTCCACCGATGCCCCCAACTACTAATCGAAGCACGACCGCCCAATTGACTATCAGAACAATTATGATCTAAGTCTAGCCCCGAAATAGCCCCTGTGGGTGGCACAACACCTTAGGGAGGGCGTCAATGTCACCTCTAATAGAGTTGCGAACCTTCTTTCGGTCTCATAGCTATACCTTCTAATAGGTTGAGAACCCAACTTAAGGCCACTCTTCTAGCTGATCAAGCTAATCGCATATTATGGTTTGAATAACTAGAAACTGCTTCTCTTTTTTGGCTTCCTAGAATCACACTATATGAAGGTAAACGGCACACACACGCTCCAAGAAGCACACTTGAATCCTTTCCAATCTCAGTCCAACGATATATCCAGATAGATTGCAACAATGCAACAATAGGATTCGGAAGGCCATTGTCCATTAACAGAAGCCCATGGGGCGGTAGCTAATCTGGCTTGGCATCATTAGCCCCTCTTAACTCATCTCCCACTCGCTTGTCGGCAACTGAAGCACAGCGTTCGAGGCTTCCATAAGCGAGGTTTGGTATCGAATGGCCAACAGTCATTAACTATCTTCATCCAGTCGCCTACCCCGCACTGCCGTGTAATTGGCAAAAGAATGGAGACCCAATGGTGGCCGTCCCCGTCGCCATCGACCTCACCGACGGCTGCCGAAGGCCGCAAATCGCTAGTGATCGGCCTAGCCACTTACAGATCTATGATGACCACTTTTACCCAGCTCTCTTCTTCGGGTTTCCCCACGGAGGCCACGGCCCGACCCCAACTTGTTAGCCTTTGTAGATGCAGCCAATGTGGCGTTAAAGGCATCTCCTTGTTTCAGCCTGTCGGAGATCGCCTGTCGGTTTCCCTCATTGGACAGTCGTTCCTTATCTAAATGGCTGAGTTGAGAAATAACCCCATTCCAACGAAGCTATGCTTGGAATGAATGGCGAAATCATCGATCGTGCCCATATACTTGCCGTGAACTCCGTATACTCAAGTACTGTATGGCTCAGAGTGTAAAGGTGCAGCCTCCGTGAACATCAATTGTTTGACCTATGTGCGCATGTGAAGTTAACCGCGGCACTTTTGGTAATTAATTACTCGATGAAAACGGTTTGGTCCGTGTAGTTAGTGCCGTCTTGAACGCGTAAGCCGGCACTTACCCCGTGACATTATTTCGGAACTCTATCATTCAAATCACATGCTAGTTGGCCCAGACTCAGCCAGCCTTCGAACGACTGGAGACGGACAGCCCGTATGCAATGCTACAATGTTGGGCAAGGGCCAGACTACCTAGATCCAATCCCGATACCAGACTATGGTTGTCAGATCTTCACTATGCATTTCGAAAACTTCTCCCAAATGATGTCAGTTCGGTTATATAGCCTTCAAAGACCAAATAGAAAATCTTATACCATTAACAGTATAGGAGCAGGAGCAGGGTTGGACATCGGAGAAGTATCAACTACCCACGTGAGACACTTATAAAGTGAGACACAGATAAAGCCTCCTCCCTTCGATTTGGGGCGTCACACTCGGTTCGGGACAATCCTATCTCTCATTCTCAATGCCTTCTTTGAATGCCTTATTTGTCCGCAGCAGGCCGATCACATATGATCGGAGTAAAGTAGTGATTCAAAGATGATGTAAGGGCGCACGATACACAATGATCTGCACAACCTGACACAATGGCAATTTAGTTTTTCGATCGGCCCCTCCTTTGAACATATCGGGACCACCAGTCTTGTGCTCGGGATACGGACAGCCGGGCATACATCCTTGGCCTGACGGAAGATGCAACTCGGATTAAAATGTGAAACAGAGACAAAGTCCTCTTTTCGGGTCACCATACCGCCCAGTCATCCAAACCAAAGCAATTGGACTCGTTGAATGCAGTCGGCTAGATCATTCCATAACACCGATATGCTAAGCCAATGTCGGCCATATGCAATCTTGAACACTGCTGAGACATCAGCCTTGAAGGTCTATATATAACGCCACCCTTGAACGTAATCCGCATCGATGCAGACCTAAACATCGATCCAATCAGCCCATGATAGCAGCATTGTAAATAGTTGGCTTGCGTTGCTTAAAGCCTACTTGAACTAGGAGTCATATGTCGTCGACCTAATCTCAGCCTGGTCTCCCACCCTTACTCCTTCACCAGGGGACCAAAAGAGATAAGCAATGTATGATCTACTGATTTTAAAATTAAAGATCGAAATTTCAGTGAGAACAAGACGATGTGGACTATCTTGACCAAAGCTGAAATCGTATCTATGGCAAGACTGGCAACTTGCCCCTCACCGAACCATAAGAATCATTGTCCGGAACAGTATCAAACTTATGCAGCAATACGGTGAACAGAGTCTTATATTTATTATATCTGAATGATGAATAGTTTTGCCATTGGGGACTTCTATCAGACGCTATAGCCATAGGATTGCTCTTATTCAATAGCCAAATCTACTATTTGCACACCTCTTGCAATTAGCATTTCCGGTGTTACTTTCTCGATGTCGGCCCTAGTTTCCTCCCATGTCTTATTTTCTGCTGGAGTTCTATCGATTGGGAACTGATCCAGTCGTGGGTCATCAGTTGTGAACCTCAATTTCGTCGTCAGAAGGAAGAATGGACGATGATATGCTTCAGCAGCTTCCCGCTTCCAAACAGCCACCCAGTTGTCGGGAAGGGGTCCAAAAATTGCCTCTCCGTTCATCACTCCATCGACATAGGCATCTCCAACAAGCTCGTAGTGCCCCGCTGACGCCGGCACCTCGCGCAGGACAAGAGCGCTCGGGCATCCCAGTACTACACAGATAAGGTCACCCACTTTTGCTGTGAGAGGTACCATGCCGATATGTCCCTTATCAGAAACACAAATATTTTTTTGTGCAAGATGTGAAGCGTCTTGAAAGTCTTGCTCAGCATCGGAAATATACTGTGAGCCGTCCATCTCATGTTCGAGTATTGCCGCCAAAGTCGCTTTAGCTCCTCGAAAGCTCTGTCCTCCAGCATCGGGAAACATTTTGTCGCGAAATACATCAAAGCATAGAACTCTGCAGTACGCTTCGAGAACGTCATCTGAGCTGTCGTACATCTGCGCGGTCAGTTGGCTTGATGGGTACGCCTCCCGAAACCCAGCTCTGTAATCTTCGTAGGTAGTCAACTCAGTCTGCACTGGGAATAATTCCGCAACCCGAGCAATGACGACGCCGGACACTCTCAAAATCTTTCCGTCAATCAATTCCGACCGGGGAGAGACATATCCTCCAGCGTTTAAGAAGTTTCCTCCTCCCCTGCCCTCCCTGTCAACCGTCCAATCAGGCACCCAAGATGGCAGGTCTCTCGCACTCTTAGGTAGCCCTGCGGACCGCAACATGTCCAAAGACTTTTGCCCAGAAATGGAACGGAGGACCAGATCCTTGTATATCTCTTCTGTCGGGAGATTGTAGTCCGGCAAGATACCCATCTTAGAATCATCGCTATCGAGCATATTGAGGACACCATACACCTTATCCCTGGGGTCTTTGCACTGTGCAACCCTGGCAGATTCCATGACGTTCCTCAGCTTGAGAGGCACGACTCTACCGAGAGCGTTAATAAACCGTATTCTCTCGACAAAACCCGGTCCCTTCTCCTCCTGAGCACCATAGTCCACGCCCTTCTTCGACAGACAAAACACCGCGTTCTTGAAACTCTCCCATGGGATATCCTTGTGTCCACACTGCACAATCGCAGACCGGGCCAAGAAAATCTCCTGCCGTATCCAGACCCGCTCGAACCAAGGCCGGTCAAACAAAGCCATCAGCGCGACGAGTTCCGCCGGCATGCTGGAGAATGAAATGGGCAAATCCTTTATCCAGGGCGTATCGACCCAGCTCGCAGGTGCTATGGTGCCTTGCCACCAATTCACCACGATACGGCGGCTCAGCGAGTCAAGGTAGTCGAGTGCGAGGGAGCTGTTGTTCTCCTCCGGCCCGAGCCACACGATCACTTGCTGCGCGAGGCGGTAGACATCGCCCATGAGCGTCACCTGCTGGGCTCGTTCCTGGAGGTCTTCTTGGTTGATGCACACGGCGTCGACCCAGAGCACGCGATGCTCGCTTTCGAGCCGGAGGTGTCTCAGGACCTTGTCGAGGTTCGGCGTGATGCTGAGGGTGTGCTGGTGATCGAGGGTGATTGGGACCGGGTCTGTCTCGGATCCCCACACGTACGAGAGCGCTTCATATCGTGGAGGGCGTTTGTGGTCGAGATCGGCTGTGGTGAGCTTCACGGAAATGCCGTCGGTGAATGTCCCAGGCAGCAGTGTAAGAAGCCGGAACTGGGCTTGAGGATCTGGCTGCCCGGCGATTTGGCGGGGTTCGACTGAGGAGTATTGATATTTTGTCTTTGGTGTCATGGTGAAGGCTTGGGCGACTATGAAGGAAAGCACTGTGGTAATAATCGGTCGTCTAATCAAATGCAAAGAAGACAGCAGTTAGTTGGATTTACCAAGATATGCTGGCCGGATCACTCGTTCGGCTGTTTGTTGTCCCACGGTTGATGGATGAGCGAAGTGCCAGGCGGGGAAACTGGCGTTGTATTCACAAGCTACATGCTCGAACTAATCCACACTACCCTATAGACCTCACTGCATGTATGAGATACATCTCGATACCATGAACCCGCGAGAAATTAGCATCGGCATGCAGAACTGTTTTTCTTTGGTGGCGGAAGAAGTAGAATTGAAACATAAATTAGAGGTTTCCCATATTCATTTTCATCGAAAGGTGGCCCTGGAAATGTTTGCTCATTCAGCTGCACAAGGCGTTCTTCAACTCAATCCCTAGCGCCGTTACAATCGACTTAGAGTAACGCATGGATTGATATAGGAGTATTAGATTTATATAGAAGTTATTATTGCCTAATCCAAAGACTTCTAATTGATATGTGGGATGATTTGCTTAATGCTTTCGGGGGTCTGCTCTCTGGAGCACGAGATCTGAAAGTGACGATGACCTCATGAACAGCCCAACAAAGACAAAAGCTGCCTAATGGTGCAGAGTAAAAGGAGGGAGTAGAAAAAGGTATGTGCTACCTCATCGAAGAAAACCCCTATGAATTTCTTGCTACCGCCTGTAGCTTGCCCAGCACGTCAGCAAACTTGAACTCGCTCAGGGTTTCCTCCCACAGCCTCTCAGCGGTTTTCTTCCCACCAGTCTCGTACATCATCGGATGAAAACTATCGAAAAGAAATGATCAGCAAGCTTGCCATAACCCTGAGATTTGAGCGAAAAGGGGAAGGCAAGAAGATTGAGGCCAGAGAGGCGTGACTCACGGATAAGTTTCCCAGTTCATTCTAAAGGCGCCGTGGGACTGTCGACCTTGCACAACTGCCGCGTCGGCATACATGTAAGATCCATGCCGAGCGGAGCGCGAGAAGGGCAGAGCAATTATCCCCATCATGGCCTTGACGACAATCGGAGAATTGCGCTGAACGTCGGTGGAGTATACCCAGCCAGGCTCCAGGGCATTAATAACAACGTATTCTGGATCCACTAACTGGGACAGCTTGTCGAGTAGCATGAGAAGGAGTGTTTTGGAGACGCTGTATCGCTCCAGGCCGGTGTCCAAAGTCCACTTTGTTTCGATATCAAAAGAAGGGATCAGAGGATCCGCATCACGATTCTCGAATTTGGAGTACAACCCAAATGACGACCCGACAAGAGTGAGTCTTCCAGGAACCCCCGACGCACTTTTGTCCTTAAGAACGGGAAGGAGAAGCATCGCGAGCAGAGCGGTGGATAGATAGTTGACCTGGACTGTCTCCTCGTGGCGGGTGGAAGGGTTAATGTTGAAGGTCGTGTTGGAAATACCTGCATTCAGAATGGCAATGTCCAAACGATCAAGCTTGCTAGTGCGACTGGCGAACTCTTGTATGGAATCATAAGATAGCATATCCAATTTCCAGACTTCAACCTTAGCTCCAGGCGACTCCTTACGGAGTTTTTCAGCTGCAGCCTCGCCCTTCTCGAGTGATCGAACAGCCATGATGAGGTGAGAAAGGTGGAGCTGGAGGAATAGGCGAGCGGCTTCGAAGCCTAGGCCTGTGTTGCTTCCGGTGATGATGCATGTTTGGCCAGAAAGGTCCGTGGTAGGAGGTGGTGGTTGGGGCCTCGTCAAGACGTGTGACTTGACCCATGTTTGGAAACCTGTGAGACTCAAAGGAGGGAGTGCTGCAGATGCCATTTTATACTTTTAAAAGGAATCCAAGTTCCACGATGTGATGTCAAACGATAAATTGGTAAACTGGGAGGGCTTTTGGCTGTTAATTTCCTAGTGAAAAAGACAGCACTATTGGAAATGGATCTTAGACAGTATTTATAGGCATACAAGGAGAGAAGGAGTCACGAATCGAGCATCATTAACTCAATCAATGGACTCTGCCTGCGAGCAAGATGCCGCCTAGTCACACGAATATCTCGACTCCGGATATGAATCGCTTTGGCTAACCGAAATAGGAAAATGTTGTGGTCATTTTAAATCGGGTCTGATCGTCTCCGGCCCGAGCTAAGACCAACTGCTCAGCTTCTGACGTCCCGATCCTCATTCCTCCCCCTTTTATACTCTCGTAGAATTTCGCCCATCTTATAGTTCTCACCCTTTACGGAAAATACTGTGGCCATTTTGAGTCGGCGTTCAGATAGTCCCCTCGGCTGAATTTATCACTCCGGTCGTCCCGAATCTGACACATGGCCAACTTGGTGTTCATTGACGCATCATCAAGTGGCTCCGTCACATCTGGCGATTTGGCACGTGTGCGGAGTCATTGCATGAGAGGGCGCAATAAGAAAGACGGTTCCCGAAGGTCCCAGAGAGAGGCCAGACGAATTGCCAAGGAGGCTCGTCGCTCTTCCGTGCCAGCTTTGACACCGCCATCTCCCCCTGCTGCCGCAAGCCCGTCATTAGCCAATTTGAGCTCCCAATTATCCAAAGCCGGATCAGTTTTATGCAAGATACCACCCCCGCCGCCTCCGGACGTTGCTCTTGTGAGGTTCGCTGACGAATTGAGGCCGGCTTCCCAGGAAAGCATGGTACAATGTATGACTCCCATCCAATTTGTTACAGGCCATGAGCTAAGTTGTTAGTTCTTAAATTTTCAAAAATCAAGAATACGATGTACCCAGTTCATGAGTGCGTCGATTTCGATCAGTATATGGGGGACCACCTCCCGTGGCTCTTCTCAGACGCGGTGTTCTTTCACACAACCCTGATGGGCGTATTTTCGATGAAATGCGTCATCTACAATCAGCCTCCCAATGAAGCAATGTACTGTCACCATAGAAAAGCGCTAAAGCTTTTGAATGAAAGACTATCGAGTCCACAAGCCCTCCAGTGGGAAAGCACAGCCTGGATCATCCAGTCGCTTGCGCTGATGGGTGGGCTCCATAATGACTTCTCCGCTACGCACACCCACTTGGCAGGCCTGAAGCGAATCATCGAACTAAAAGGGGGGTCGAGCTTTCTAAGGGAGCGACCCAAGCTTCACTTCAAAGTTGAAAACTTGGATTTGCTGTCCTGTTTGTGGTCTGGAAACAAACCAACTCTTTTTGTCGAGCCTTCATCCTGGGCGGCTATTTTCAGGGATGATCACGATGACTGGGAGACACTTGTTCATCTTGATCATGCAATCTTTGACCCTCGCCTGGTGAGCACGTATAATGACCTCCAGCGCCTCAGCATTCTTATTCACGGGCTACTGGAGAACACGCAACGCCTTGATGCACTTAGGTTCCAGTCTATACTACACTCCGTGCAGAGTCGCTTAATTCATCTTGAGCAAACCCTGGCAGCTGGCCCGTCTCTCTGTATGTGCCTCGGCATGCTCGCATTTGTTACAACTGCCTTTTCGTTCCCCGGGAAAAGAGTTGCATATCCATATCTAGTGTCTAGACTGCACCAAGCTCTTCAACAGCTGGAACCTAATCAACTGGGATGCGACGATTTGCTCTTTTGGCTCGCAATAATATCCAGAATGATGGTCGCTGGTCCGGAGAAAAGTTGCGTTGGGGACTTGTTACGTGGGGTTCATCATCCTGCGTTGAAGTGGGAAGAAGCTCGCATACAGCTGCTTTCCGTGATGTGGATTGGGCCATTACAGGACGGGTTCGGAAGTCAGTCATTCTTCGATGTGATCTCATGTTTATAGGTTGATAGTTGTCTGCTTTCAAAATAGAAGTTGAAAGAAAGAAACAACGATGCCAGCCTAGATGTGCTCCGCTGGTCATATATGTAGTCTCTCCCCCAATTGACGATATTTTGTGAGACCTGTATTTAATACACCACTCTTAAAAGTTCATTTTAATTGAAACTGTGATATGAGGTATATAGCAAGTACATCTTACAGAAGAGGAAATCTTCAGAAGTAGTATGCAATATCTTGCGTTGACAACTTGGAGCCCGACTTTTTCTTCTCAATTGAACCCTTTCATCACCACCATCTAGGCCAATCTTCAACCCTATTTGATGAGGCGATGGAACCGGAATTGAAGTGTGAACGGCAGTAATCCGTTTATTTAGTAGGGTTTGAGCACCACCCCTCGCCACAAACTTCCTCGTATCCCTTTTATACAGTGTTAGTCAAATCAAAGCCCACGTCATAAACATGGCAGTGCATATAGAGAGCCACAAACATAGTCGGTGCCTGGCTGTCCAGCACAGTCGCTGCTCAAAGGGGCGCGACGCTGGACAGACCACAGGAAGGTCCAGGGGTTGTAGTTGAAGACAGTTGGGGAACTGGGACCCTGGCGACGGAAAAGCATAAGGTTGTCTATTCCAATAGGGTTAGACAACTGTTTACCTTCCACTATTTGTATAAAGAAGATTGTTTTATGCTTACCCTCAAACTTGGTGATGACTTCTCCGTTGGTGGAGCCGCGAACACAGTAACCGACGCCAGTAATATGCCAGTGACGCCCTTTCATTCGGTCCTCGGTGACCGACATGGGTTGTTCGGGACCGGCCAAAAACACTGTATGCTCATGTTAGGTGCATATAAGCCATACTATCAAACAGGGGCCTTACTCTGACGTTGTAGCCCGCGTTAATGAGCTCCCTGGTGCTGTTTTTGATGGCTCCCGCAGCCTCGTCTCCTGGATATCCCTGCTCAAGGACATACTTGTGGTACGGAGGCAAGCCACTAACAAATTTAGCGAAAGATTTTATTTACGTCTTCGAAAATAAACTCACGTGTAAAACACGTTGACCTCTCCACACCCAGGGAGAGTGTCGTTCTTGGGCAGGGCAACCGCCGTGGACCCGGCGACAAGGCCGAGGGTCAAAATAGACTTAATGCAGACCATTTTGTCGTTTGTAAACGGTAATGAGCCAGCAAGATGGGAAATTCTTGTGAGAATTGGACTGAGAGATCAAAGCTGAGCGGTGTTGCGATGCTGGTGTGAAATAATCACGTCCGCTCAAGACGTCGCCATATATATACCACCTCGTCCTCCTCGATCGGCTATCTCGCCCAACGCTCGCTCAGCGAGATATGCCGACATTTGTCAGAACTTGCTCAAAGTGCATATGCAGCTGATGACCGAGGACCGAAATCAAAGATGCACCGCAATCCTGATCTGCTACCCGTGGCAGATGCAGGGATTGATTCGATAGGCTCCCTTCCGCATGAGTTTAATAAGATCGTGGGTCCATTCATGCGCCCCAAGGATGTAGTACTCGCCCCCTCCTTTGTTAAAACTCACTCAGATCGGATCTTATAGCAATGACTAAAGGAAAGGAATCCCGTCCAAAGAGCTAACTCCCCCCAAGGCCATTGTTGTGAACAAATACCATCGTCTGGAAATCCAGCTGCCAATTCATCCAGTCAGCCGCTACCTTTTATTCTTCTTCAAAGTAAGCTTTCTCAGCAATGCCAAAAAGAAAAAGAAAGGCTCGATTCTATGCATCAAGGTGCATGTTGTTCGGTCCCGAGACTTAATGCCATGACTGAACATGATCCTTCATGGCTGACCTCTGACAAGTCAAAACTCGCACACTGCTTGTTATCAGCACTCCTTTCGTTGTAAGGTTCCATTCATTCTCCCTTTGCCCCGCATAATGAAGGAAGCATGCAGGATTACACCGAATTCCAACAAATGATTTTCAACTTGTGAATGTAGTCAAACCAAAGTACCCCCACTTCGGCGAATTATTGGTCGAGCTACGAGAGGCAAGGATTAGAGTGGTGAATCCTACGGAGCGGCCTGGGCGCAAGATGATCCCGAAATTAGGAGACGAAACTGAAAGTTCATACAAAACTCAGAAAATAGAGGATTGTTCTTTTCTGTGGTGACTGAAAATACCAATTTCAGGAGCTCCCATCAGGCAACGCAGAAAGCGTTTGAGAACTACCTAAATCATGTTAGGTTCGTTTGGCAGTATTCATCCCCTTTGGGAAGCTTTTGATACATACGATGTAACCATTACTGCCCCATCGTCCGTTCAATACGCTTCCAGTAACGCCCCCCTCTTTAAACCAACACAAAATATAAACCCTACCTCGTTATATACTGAAGTGTCACCCCTAGATATATCGATACCCATAGATGACAGTACAGCATGGGGTTAGCTCACCCAAACCAAAAACGGTTTAATGTAATGCTCCAGCCTTGGCCGATTTCTGATCCGGTTTTCCCTGAGGGATTCACCTTGACCCTGCCTTTTCCATCCCATACCCAGCCAGTATGTATCTTAAACAGACCTGCGCGCTCATAGTGTCCACCAACCTTTTGCAAAACCATAGCTTCTCATCCGCGCACATAGTTTTACCTTCCGTATATGCTCTTGGAAGAAGTGCCATGAATGTAGCGGGAGAAGCAGTGCCATGCCAGCCATTGCCTCTGAGTTCTGAACAAACAATTCCTTGAGACCCTGTGTTAAAAGTTACAAAGTATGCATACTTCGTCTCACGACCCCCTGCCTGGCCTGAGCGCTCTATTTGCTGCACTTCTAGACGCTTGATGTCGACAGGCATCGTCCATGCCTGCAACTGCAAGACAGTCTTATAGTCGCCTTTCATTGCATTCATCGAAGGAGAGAAATTGACGTGTTCGAGGCTGACCAGTTTCCCGTCCTTACCCTTAAGCCAGACCCTCACATCAGAAAAGCAAACTTTACCCGTAGGTGCCTCTATCTTGGGCGGATTAGGAAAGGCTATATTTTTAAGCTTTCGTATTCATTGTGTTGAGTTGTCGGGCCCTGGCAGCTTCATTGTTGTTAAACTCTATTCTCTTTCTCTTCCGTACCCGTAGTTGCGAAGAATTGAGACACAACTCCATTCCAACCAGCCCATGACCAACTCGGAGGGGACTCTACTCTTCCCCACGAGAGATTCCGGGTACTTTTCTCCAAAAATGGGAGACGAAGCTCCCTCCAGAAGAGGGTTAGAACAAACCGCGCCGATATTGACCCCATAGGCATTCTCTAGCCAGTAGTGCGCGTCAAGCTATTGTCACTTAGAAAGAGTGGTATGCCCCAAAAGTGATAGATGGGGATTTGGGCCCTCTTGAAAGCATTGAGAATCCCCCGGAACGCATTTAACGTATCGTATGCGTATGTAAGCTCCTTCGTAGAAAAGCTTCGAACAAAGTTCATATAACCTTTTGTGTCGGATTGGGGTGCTTTTATCTCTAAATGACCGCCACGGTATGCAAAACTGTCGAACTTGCGCTTATTGGAGACGTGCAATTCATCCAATGGCAGATCTACTGCCTCGCTGCAATGCATCCCGTTACAGTCAAAAATTACTTGAGTCTTTGTGAAGATGAGTCGCTTCGTGGACAGAATACCTTCTTGGAAGGTCCAACCTCGGGTGTACCATCTGGACTTCTCTACACTGGACCTTCCACTTGGTATGTAGAGATGAGGGTTTTGGTCTTGAATCTCAATGTTTGTTGGTTCGCTCTCGGGGTCCCATTAATTCCCGGAAGGCCTTCATCCGGAGTATTGCATGCAGCTGCAATAATCGTGATGTCAGAATTGGCGTAAATGAGCTCCATCTGACGGATTTGGTGAAGCGTATCGTCGTGATTGGAATGGTCAATACAAATCCTATCGATCCAGAGAAACTGTAATCCGAGTGCTTAGGTAACCGTGATACTATCTTCAATGACTTTCTCGAAACGGCTACCATTAGCCCCCGATGATGCTTTAGGCGCAGATGATGTGAGACCATTGGTCTTCCCCCACACATAAGATAAAGCCACATAGCGGCAGTCTGGAGGCGCATCAACTACTTGACGACTATTACAATCAAAAACACGAAAGGATCGAAGTTTCGAGGAGGTTCTCGCCAAACACCGCGTCTTGTGGTTATCTTGGCAGTAGGAAATCCACTGATTTGCTAGAGTGAAATCAAATGCCCAAGGGTTGATCGTTCAAAATTTCCATCCTCTTCCTACGCTCGTTGGTCTTTCAAGGTCTTCGCAAAGGAAACCTATTTGGTCGCAAGCATCCCTCATGGCGGCGAAAGTCCGATAATCGAGAATTCGTGGTGAGGATTTTGACGGGGCGACACCCAAAACGTTGGTTTCGCCCATGCCCAATCGGTGGGTATCTCCAGTGATGACCTTGCTCCCACTGAAGATTCGCAAATGAAAATAATTATCTTCCCATAGCCTCGATGCTCGTCTAGATGCTAAAGGGTCAAATTTCCATTTGGCGGGTGGGCTGCAAGGAGCGAGACTCGCAAAACTGCGACACAAACGGTATGATGATGTTTTCAACGCCGAAATTTGGCCAAGATTCATGACGAACGAGCTATAACTTCTATCAAGCTTTCTGTTTAATAGCTCATAAATACCAATATTTGAACATTGATGACACAGCTGATCGTCATCTGCGGATATCGGAGAGACGGGCTGGTGGCCACCGCCACGGAGCTCATCAAACTTCCGTTTTCGACTGGGCTCTTTCAATGGATCCATCGATGAGAAATCGCCAGTGGGGATGAGTGTAGCTGGGAAAGGTTCTAGGAATAGTTGAACTAAACCTGCGAATACTCGCGGAAACGAAAAATTTGAGTAGTCGGATAAATATTGTGCAATAGCAGAGATCGATGAGGGGCTGAAAATTTATGGCACTTTTACCTCTCTTTCTCTCTCTATCGCGCGGCATAATCCTGACGTTTATAGGCACCTGCAAGGCAGACGTGCTGTGGCGCAGTACCAATCCTCGTATGATCTCTCAGCCGAAGTACCTACCCACAAGTGAATCCCAATAGCGACGATCCCCAGTCCCCAATGAGGGTGAGGGCCCGAGCACCACAATGACATTTAATCAATACAAGTCAGATCTATCATCTTGAGTCCTCCAGGATAGATAATTCCTCTAACAGTTTGAATAAGAGAGGCATAGGTAAGAGATTTGCATATGTGCATGGCATGTGCGTGACGCCTTTGTAGGTTAATATAAATGTACAGACAATTTACACACAAACGTTTCACGTTTATCTCCTGTTACCCTGTCATACTGTCACGGCAGTTGTCCAGGGCAAAATACAAGATCATAGTGTTGCGAGAGCGTTCCGAACAACTGTCTTATCGCTTGCACTCTCAACTCAAATCACTATGGCGCGAGTTAGATGCCAAAACATAGCACCCCTGTTGTATTCCAGACTTCACTCCTCCAGTAAACCTACTGTTTATTTCTAGCATTCTCCATAATACAACATCAAAGCCAGTAGACTACAGATAGGTCCAAGTTCTTTGTGACGTTTAATTCTTTCTCACATATCTGCCAATTACTGTCCCAGAAAGGAATTGTCCCTTAAATATTAATCCCGTCTTTCTATGAATCTGTGAGCCTCTCTAGCCTGCGAATGCGCACCCTTACGTCAACCAAAGCTTTTCCAAGGAGATTATGACCCCAATTCTCGCGGGTATCTATCGTAGCACGTCCCTGCTTCTCATCCATCCCAATGCCCCAGATGCGATCATTCGTCGCCGCCTCCACTAGCTCTCTATCTCCCGTTCCCAGCAAAATGGCCCGAAGCTCCTCATTCTGGCTAAATTTAGCCACGTTCGCAAGCTGCACCACCTCAAATTTGACGGCATCCCATCCTGCTTCCGTAAAACCCTTTACCTGCCTCCCAAGGGCCTTCTGCTTCCTCGGCTCTGGAGAGAGGAGGATCTTGTCCGCGGTTCCCAAGTCACCGAAGCGCATGGCTTTGCAATACATCATGCACTGCTCAGCAGTCATGAAGTTGATTGGGTCGTCGGGTCGCTCAAGCTTATTTGTAGGCAAGCCGACGGCCGAGTATATTTCGCTTTTGAGAACGGTGAATTTTGCGTCGTACCATTGGCTGAATTCGCCATACTTTTTGCCCGTTCCGTAGAAAAACAGAGGGGATGTGTCGGTCATTGTTATTGTTGCCAAATGTCTAGTCGCTGCTGCCATAGAGGCGGAAACAACACGAAGGAGAGTAGATTAAAGGTGACGAACAAGTGAAAAAGACGGAACCAAATTCTATTCTTAAGGAGTTATCATATTCAGCTTTGGCAACGCTATATACTCTCGAAGTGTGCGACTTGAGACTACAAATACGCCTTGGCTGACTCATTGGCCGAGGCTTTGAGACTCGGCGCGTCGCTTGGCTCTAATCGGATCGTTCCAGGCTGATCGCCGCAACTAACGATTGCTAAAGCGCCGCTTACTTCGTTAGTTCCGGCGTCTCCTCTCAGCCCCAGCCTCAGCTGAACACATTAAGGGGCTAACACAATCGACAACTGACACAGAATGAATGCAAACCATACACTGGGACGCTACCCTGCATCCATTCCACCATCTTCATTTTGAAAAAAAGCACATGAATCCATTAAATGTAGGTGTAGACACATAAAAAGAGTTGATAGATGGTGCATAGCTTACAGATTCCACCCGAGGAAGATGAAATAGAAAGAACTAAGATCATGAAGCATACTAGTGGATACACATTTAGGCAATGTAGCCCAGAACCGTGGTTATTCAACTCGCTCTGAAGCAAATAAAAACACACTCAAGTGAGTGTGGGGTATCGAATTAGAATATATATCATACGTCATTGACTCTCCTTCATATCCGATGCGTAGATGTAAAGGCCGTGCCTCCGTTAAGAGTGCTCCATGGTCCAATTGACAACCTCGAACGTCTACATAAAACCTTGGAACATCCGTGGCAGAGTGTGCCACCCAAAACCGCCTCATGATCAAGGAACCCCGAGTGAGATATCCTTAGCTCCACGGCGCCGGTTTCACTTCTTACTGGCGCCGAAGTCTCTGCAAAGGCAATCAAATGCTCCTTTCAAAGCGTGATTGAATGTATCAGAGACAGGTCGCAATCCACCAGGGTCAGCCTAAAAAGAGATTGGACCATCTTGCACTTCAGCTTGTCGGCTTTCCGTCTATGCAAGGCTTGTCCCACCAATCTCTCCGCAGGATCTTGAAATGGTTGTGCGAGGATTCCAAGGCGTCGCGTTTCTGTGTTCGTACTTCTCAATGTCTTCGGTATCGTTGGTTATTGAATCGCTGAAATATCTTGGCCATATTTACTTTGCAGTCCCCGGCAGTATTATACCCTTGGTGCTACCGACTTCCTCGAGGCTGTCATTCGGCATGTCCGTCCTGTAGGGGCTGTAGGGGTTCATAGGGATCTTCGGGGTTCCCTTCTGCGAATCCTTTTGACTTCCTTTGCTTCCCTTCTTCGAGCTCTTCCAGCTTATGAAACCCAAAAGCTTGTTGTCTGAGCTGCGGTACGCGTCGGAAGGCCGGTTGGAACTCAGACCCTTGACGAGTCGACGGAGGGCTGGTAGGCATCCCGCAATCACAGCAACGTCGGTCTCGATAATCGTCCACGTAACCTTGGTTCCAAGCACCTCTGAAAAGGGATGTTAATAGATTTGAAATAAGTGCCGGTGAATTGGGTATGTCGTGAAATCCAACTTACTAAGATAATCATCGGTTTCAAAATAAGCCTTAGCTGATGGTAAGCGAACGAGGGTGGCAATGGAGGCAAGAGATCCAGCTCCCAGGACGGCGCAAAGCGCAATTTTTCTCTGCTTTGGCATCTGGAGTTTCCAGATGATGAAAATGGGCAGAATAGTACAAATCCAATCGGTAACGATGTTGACGCCAGAAGTGATAAATGTAATGGCGACTTTGGCGGAGTCGGGGTAGCACCAGCCGGGCGCCTCGTTCCAGATTCTCTGCATGGGTTGGCATTCGACGAGGATGAAGATGTCGAGCATGATGGCGACGAAGAAACTGCATCCGATGATCGTCCACAGAAGGATTCGTTGCCAGCGAATAATGGCGATTCGTAGAATTGTAAGACAGATGCTGCTTTTAATAAAAGCCATGGAAGTGAGGTAGAACAACTGCCAAAGGAACACAGCCTAGGAAGACATTAGATTAATACTTGAAGGCAATAGATACACGATATCCCGTCGCTTCAGAACATACTTTTAGACCCTCGTTGTACGTCGGCCCTTGTTTACCTCCAGGGATATCCGAATCAGGCAGCCCGATTCCGTTGTACGCGCAATAGCAGGCAAAGGCGTTCTGGACAAGATTCAACATGTAGCCAGCGCCCATGAGATAATCCTCCCTCATCAATTCCTGGTACCGGAGACGAATTCCAATTCGGAGAAAGAACACCAGCGACATCACCGCCGTGAATGTGATCGTCACAACCAAAAGGGCCTTGCCAAGCCCTTGAGGCTCGGCCGCCTCCCACCCTGCTTGCGTCATGTTGCCGCAACGGTATCTTCCAAACTCGGCGTCAGAGGGAAGAATCAGTTCCGTACAGCGGGCACCGTAAATGGACAAGGCAAGAAGCGCCGACCACCCATATATACGACACTAGGCGGGGTCGACCCAGCGGTGTGCTCGTCATTGCTGTCGGCTGCGCAAGTCAACAAGTCGAAGGAGCACGGCCCGCATGACTCGGTGGGTCATAGCTGGAGGCTGATAGCATGAATCTAACGCCGATTGGAATGAGCTGGCCCTCAGTCTTTCACTCATGGGTTAGGTCCTCTGTTACCGAAATTATCTGACCACATTCGTATCCACATGTAAGCTGAACCTGTCCCGAAGGAATACCGTCGTATATTAGCCAATAAGATTCGTCACACGTTCGGAGCTAGACGTTTGACATTTTTAATTACTCAGTGTCTTACTGTTCCGATTGCCGTTCACTCGAGATTCTGAGATGGAACACAGCTGATAGGCTGGGATCGCTTGCCTTGACCATCGCGGATTCCTCCTCTTAGCAGTTAGTTCGCCGAGCAGAGAATTGCTCAAGGGGGAAATTTCAGTCATGAATCTTCAACACGTAAGCCCTTGCAACACAAAATCGACTAAAAAAAGAATTTGCCGAAGCCTCTTCCCCGCACATGAGCTTTGTGGGCTGAGAGGACTTTCGCCCTCATTAAAGAATGCTGTGCCCACCTGTCAATCGCTCATGGAAGTTGAAACGTCAAATTGAAGAGCTGATGATGCTGATGCCACAGACCACTTTTCCTTACAGCCTCGTCCATGCTGTATTACGCTCTCCTCGTTCCTCCGTAAGCATATACTCAACTCTTCTTGCCCAGATCCCAACCCCTACGGATTGTGGGCGGCATGTGACAACTGTCGTATGGGTAATGTTTTTCTTTTTTATTTTGATGCCCGATTCTCTCTCCACAGTGACGCAATTGGTCAAATTGTCATCAGAGTAGAACAAGAAGCTGTGCGAAATCACTGATATTGCAGTGCACATGTTGTACACATGTTTAACATCTGTCTTGAGCAATTGATGTAGCAGATCACTTTTCTGACAGAAGTTTCAATACCCCGCATCACTAATTACATAAAGCAAATCAATAGTCGAAGATTTATGAGAATGATTGCGACGTGGTTGTCAAAAGTTCTGCAGCCTATAGGGTAGGTAGACTGGTACTGCCAAATCCCCGCATCGCTCCACTCGGAACATCTGCAACCTCGAATCATCGTCCATTCAACAAGTTCTGAGGCAGAACAGAGTAAGGGCATGATGCGACTCCTTAATCTTTACACACTCCGCCTTGAAACGTTCCTGAACGACAGCGAAATCCCTCCGTACGCGATATTATCCCACACATGGGGCGCGGGCGAGCTAAAGCTGCAAGACTTGCAGCTTCCCCGCGCCGAATTGGAAACGTACCCAGGATGGAAGAAGGTTTTCAACTTCTGCCGCAAGGCCAGGGAGAGCCTGGAGATGTTCCCAGAAGAGGTCCGGTACGGCTGGGTCGACAGCTGCTGCATCGACAAGTCTAGCAGCGCCGAATTGAGCGAGGCTATCAACTCCATGTTCCGCTGGTATAGATGCGCGTCCGCCTGTTTCGTCCTGCTCGAAGACATAGAGCTGTCGGAGCTCTCGGGCACCGACAAGTTTGAGAGGTGCAGATGGTTCACGAGGGGCTGGACGCTGCAGGAGCTTCTTGCGCCCCCGGTGCTCTATTTCTTCGATAAGGATTGGCAGTACATGGACGACAAGCTCACCCTGGCGGATAGGATCAGCGCCCGCACGAGCATTGACGTGGATGTGATCATGACCGGATCTTGGGAGGATATGAGCATCGCGCAGCGGATGTCGTGGGCTTCCACGCGGACAACAACCCGGGTGGAAGATATGGCGTACTGTCTCATGGGTGTGTTTGACGTCAACATGCCGACTATTTATGGAGAAGGAGAGAAGGCGTTTATTCGGTTACAAGAAGAAATTATGAAGGAGTCGGCAGATGAATCAATATTTGCGTGGGATGCCTCGGCAAAGGATGGGAATCTAAGCTCTATAGGTGCGCTCGCTACGAGTCCATCTCAATTCCGTTCCAGTCACCAGATCGAGGCACTACCGACGGAATGGAATCCGGCTTCTATCAACGCCAAGGGCGTGTATGCCAACCTTTCTATCATTAACCAGGAGCTACCTCAGGGGGAGCTTGTCAAAGTGGCTCTGCTGTCTTGCAGATACTCTTATGACATCAATTCCCGCGTGGGCATACCGATACGGGCGAAGGGTGGTTTGCCAAATCGCTTTGCCCGAATCAATGCTGCCCCGATCTCCATCCCGCTCCAAGTATTATACCGAAATATGCCCCCGGCAATATACCTTGACAAGCGAGATCAATCTTCAGTCGCAGCCTCGAGGCGTGGCACATGCTGGGTGCAGTTTAGATCCACGAGCAAGGAGTTCGGACCGGTACATGAGGCTCTAGGACCAGAGTGGCATGTTAGCCCGACCCGCTCAATGACAGGGAAGCTTCGAAGGCGAGGCGGGGGTGGCCCAGATATCAACTCACTTGTCATACCTTTCCAGCATGAGAAATCCTCGGGAATCTTGTACCTGTCTTTGAGGCTAGCCCTCTCTAGTGGAGTGGGAGCTGTTGGCATGAGAGTCATCCATGACGATCCTGAGCCTGTAAAGAAGCGGGTTGAAGAGCTTCGAGACATGACGGACATGATCGCTCTGGGACCCCAGGAGCAGGCGTATTTCGAGCCAATGGGCAGTATCCTCGCGACTGTTACCAAGTTGCACGACGACCAATCGGTTTTTCAAGTGGTTCTCTCAGCAAGGCTCAAATCGCACTTAGATCCATGATACTACAAGTAGCCACGTAGCTGGTAGCATAGTGACACTTGGAACGACGTTTCTGTGCGTAATGCCGCATCAAAAAGTCTGCAACTTTGAGTGGCATCAGTTTCGTGCCCCTGGTGAAGTCTGTCGGTAGCGGGCGGAACTGTCATCAGAACGTTGCTAGGTTCCCAAGAAGTGACCAGATAGCGAGAGCCGATTTGAATGAAGCGCACAAGGCTGTCTTCGTAGTCTTAAGCCACAGAGGCTGAATGTCCGTTCTGGTAATCGATCATTGATACCAAGAACTTTGAGCATGGTCGAGAGGACCGCTTGACGAACTATCCGCCTCCCCCGGCACAGCGGGCACAAGAGGCTCATTCGGCTCAGTGATGATTGTCGTTGATGGCTGATACTCCACATGGACATCTGAGATGTTTGGGTTAGTCCAACCCTCTGTATTCCTGCCCAGACTGGGACTCAAAAGAAGGAAACCCCGAACCCGGCGGCTGGGTAGGTCAGCGTACCTTGGGGAGTAACAGGCGACACTATATTCTCGGGACTTTCCGAGTGGCTAGAACTGGAGCCCCCGGAAGACATCTCGAGTTGGTTTAGGACCTTACGGATGGTGGTAGCACCCTTGAGTGCCTCTGCGGACCTTGAAGCGGTCCGTGCCCAGATCGCTTCGCTCCTGGTGAGCAGGTCTTTGATGTATTCGAAATCCGGGGTGCCCCTGATTTGCGGATTGTTGCTGAGGTGCGAGCAGAGCACGCCGCCAGCAAGGAGAAACTCGTGAATGATGACGGGAGCCAAGATCCATTTCACAGGGTAAAGCCTCCCGTTGGGTTCCATCTCATCGTCGATGGCGGTTTGATGGCGTAAGGCTTGAATAGCTGCTGCCACGGCGACGTCTCTGGAGTACTGATTCTCATCTGTTTTCAATGAGGGGGCAAGGTACTTTGAATGCAGGATGATTTGGATGTGGTGGTACACCAATTGGATAAACAATCGCTGTGTAGCGAATGAGTGTGTTAGCCTTTGCTTTTCTTGATAGGAGAGAAGAAATGTTCAAACCTGGCATGTTAAGTTTGGAGGATCCAGTAGGGATTCTTCCATGCTGGTGAATTTACAACATGCAGGAAGTTCCTCAAATACTTTCGTTAGCATGCTGTCTAGCTCTAGCACCCGCGTGTATGGCATGGGTTCTTTGCTAGTGACAGCATCAAGAACTTTGGAAGAGACAGTAGCCAGTCGGTTCTTCGAGATGGTGATTAGTATCGGGGTCAGCTGAGACTCGGGCCTAGACTCTGGCAAGACAGTGGTTTCGGGGCCGAAGTCGGTATCGAACAAATTACTGGGCTCCTTGGTGTCGACGATGGAGTCCTTGATCAGTTTTGGCATCTTGAGCTGCGTCGAGACCCCCATATCGATTTGGTAGATAAGTGCCCATAGCCGGCGCCTCATCTCGCGTTGGAACGGCGTCAGGGTCTGAAATCGATCTCCGTCTTGGTGATAGCCATAACTTAGAGCTGCAAGTGATTGATCGTTAGAAAGGGTACCCTCCAGCCTAGAATAGGCATTCCCGGAGACGATTTGTCCCTCACGTACCGATTGAAACTAAACTCTGAAGCACTATCCAAGTGCCCGAATCGGCATCTCGCCTGATGAACTGCTCCCCAAGGATGTAATGCAGCAATGTCTCGGGAATATGTGGCCCGCCCTTGTGATGCTCAGATAGAACAAGAGCTTGGACCGTCTTTTCTCTAAAGCTCTCCATGCGTCTGGAATCCTGATGCTTTTCAGTGCCCGGTAGCACCACCTCGTCTGAGCCAAGCATATGTGCGTTATGTAAGATAGTAGCAAGGGTGAGGACACTGAATAACAGCGCTAGCCATGATGTCGGCGCTGAGGTTGTCGGAGGGTCTTGCCAAAAGTCTTCATACTGTTTCATAAATTCCCCGTGGTGGAGGATGACCTGGGTCAAAATGTCAGATTACTACACTTGGCATATCTGGCAAGGGATAGGAACTGTGGATAGTCTGGCGATCTGCTTACAGGAGAGTAGCTATAAGTTTCAAAATAGTAACTGACGAGGCGGTCCGACTCGATCTTTGGCGGAACGGTCGCTATCAGGTCCGCCCTTGAAACGCGACTATAATTCCCGAGGAGGAGGAAGTCCACGAACTGAGGCAAGGCGGTGGCTACATGGGATGAATGGTCTTCGGGTGGCTCCCCAGCCTTTTGCGAATCAATATCAGAGATGCTGTTAAGTACGGACGTCCAGTGAAATCCTTCGCGATGGCTGGACGGTGCGCTGTCTGCTGTGGAAGCTTCACTTGGGCTGGACAGGTCCCTGGCTGGATCTCTCGGCTGGTCCTCCGCCTGGGTAATGGTGGCTTGAGGATCTACGACGATGTCAGATGGCCTCTTACAGGGTTGCTGATGGGTTTCAGATGATGAGCCTACCGGAGCGGGGTGCTGGGGTTGATGGTTTAGGTCGGGATGTGATGGCAGCGGGTGGTGGGTAGGAGCATGTATCTGCAATATTGCTTTTCTACTTGGCCATTGACCGTCCAGTCACATGATAAGTACTCGGAATCACAAGTATCCGCGAACAAAGCAAAGGCAGAAGCTGATGGGACGACTCACGGTACAGGCAGCACATGGGAGCTGACGGTCACATTTCAATCTGCGCGACAACTGGTGAGCATGCCAAGGAAACTCCCTCTCCACCCTACGAGATGCACTACGCACGGGCAGAAGCGTATTACGGATGAACATACTTGCGGCGACGACATGCATGGCAGGATAGCTGCGGTTTGTCTCGACGGCGGTTCGGGGGCGGTCGGGGTCGTGCGGGAGGAGCCCCGTGCCCATCTGCCGGGTTCTCCATCGGCGGCCGTCTGGATCGGGCAGTGGCCGCGGGAGGCTGAACGAATGGACTCTTGCGTGGGCGGAAAGCTTCTCGTGTCTGTCCCGACCAGAAATGTGATCAGAAAAGAGCAAACCAGGGCACAGCGAGCACGGGGACTGGTGGAAGGGGGAAATCTCCTTGTCTGGCTCCACCGCTCCTCGTCGGACGGTCGGATATTGTTGCGTTTCAGGGGTCTGACCCACCCTTGGCCTGTTTATTAGCTTTCTTGCAATAGTGATCTGGCCTTGGATTCGCGCTCGCGGCAGTTGAGTGCGGATGCCAGAGCCGGTCTATTGCAGGTGCCTGTGGTGACTACGACATAACAATGGACGGACTCGGCGTCTACCTTCACCGACCCTGGTGTGTGATGTGAGGGGAAGGAGTATATATGGGACGGGCGTCTCTCTGCTTGCCCCCTTTTCCATTTACTCATCGCCTTCTCAGACGCGGCAACGAAACTCGACATGCCACTTACAAACGTCGTCATCCTGGGCGCTGGGCCTTGTGGCCTCTCAACCGCCATTGCCCTCGCCAAATCATGTAAGACAGGGGTCAGCAATCAGTCACTCCGTATCGCAGTGATTGAGCTGCGGCCGAAGATACAGACCATTGGCGGTACCGTGAACATGACCCCCCTGGGCATGCGGTACCTTGATTACCTTGGCGCAGGCGAGCGTCTGCGGTTAAAATCAATCTCACTCGACCACGGCGTCGACGCTCTCTCCCTGCGGACAGGGAAGCGACTTGGGAACGTGTGGGGTGGCATTGGTGCTCGTCGCACTGCTCGATACCCCCTTGTGGACAGCCTTCTTGAGACGGTAACGCAAGACCACCAAGATCACGTTGAGGTGCAGTGGGGACGCAAAGTGACAAGCATATCCGAGAAAGACGAACAAGTGCATCTAGAATTCGAGGACCATTCAACAATGCATTGCGATCTATTGCTTGGTTGCGATGGCATCCACTCTAGCGCTCGTCGACTTTACATCGAACCTGAGAGGCAAAAGGTTTTCACAGGCCGTGCCGTAGCGATGGGATGGGTTGAAGTAAATGCTGGCGAGGCCTCGGACGCCATTGTCTCGCCAATTACGTTGTCTACTGGGGAACCTGGACTGGTAGACACAGCTGTGGTCAACGGCAACGGCAACGGTAGATACTTGATCATGACCTATTTCGAGCCGAGCAGGCGCAATGTCTTCTTTGGCCACGTAATGTGGACAGGGGAGCCGGAAGGCGAGACACGTGACGGTTGGAAGCTTCGCGGAGACGACAAAGAAGCTATCAGGAAGGAGGTTGTCGAGTCTTATAAAGGAGGACGGGTCAGCGGGCTCCATGAATTCATTTCCAAGTGTGAGAGCTGGGACCTCTATCCGATTTATTCTTTACCACCCGGTGGCCGCTGGAGTCGGGGCCGTGTCCTACTTTTAGGAGATGCGGCACACGCGGTAAGTTATAACCGCGGAAACTCTCGGAACATGTTTCAGTACTAATATGATGATTCGCCCTCATAGATGCCGCCGCAGGGGGAGAGTACTGGTATTGCCATTGAGGATGGAGTACTTATTGCACGGATTCTTGAACAATCAAGTACCAAATCTATTGAGCAGATGTTCGCGGACTATGAAAAGGTCCGTAGAGCTGTCATAGACAAGCACTACGTGGACGCAGAGCGGATGGCCAAATTCGGGTTCTCTAACACGACCGGCCTCGCCGCTATCGCCATGGAATGGATCACGTCTGCTTATATGTTTGTGAGAAAATGGAACCAGAGTGCCGATTTCGCAGGAGATGTGAGAGAGTTGGAACTGCCAGGCGAACCTGAAAAGAACACGAAATGATAAAGCTGAGCAGTAGATAAACGAGTGGTTCGTGTGGGCAGTGATGCCAGGTGGCCGGGAATTACTTACAAGGCTCGACCGGTTCATGGGCTTCCTTTCTGTTCCACCTTGAATAACAGGTAGTTTAAGTCTTGCAATTAATTCTATTTTGATAGGTCATTTTAGACTGTTACTATAACCCTTATAATCGTTATAATGACAATATGTCCTGCTCTCTTTTATTTTCTTTCTGGTCGGCTGCATCGCCCGCTTTTATATCCGCATTCATTCATTAACGAGAAAGTGGGATCATTCTATGTGAGGCGATAGAGCTATCAACATTTCGAATCTCATGCCACTAAAGTTCTTCTTTCTCAATAGACTTTTCGTATCGCGTTGTCTTGGCCATTCCAGCCAGAATATCCACAATCAAATCTGCTGCGACGACTGAGGTGGTCTCCGCAACCGAGTCATAAGGAGGACTGACTTCCACCACATCGGCACCAACTAAATTGATACCTTCAAGTCCCTTTAGAAACCTTTTCAGTTCCCGAGATGTCCATCCACCGGACTCAGGAGTGCCGGTTGCAGGAGCAATGCTCGGGTCGAGAACTGAACAAGATCTTGTCAACAAGGACAAACATGACAGTGAGAGGAATGAGTACGTACCATCAATGTCAATTGATAGGTAGGTAGGGGTGCTTCCAACAGCTTTCCTAACCTTAGATATGATGCCTCCCATACCAATCTCGTCAATTTCCTGTGCCTCAATTAAAGTGAAACCAACCACATCTCTGTCGATCTCATAATCTTTGGGGCTCTTTGAATAATATGTTAGTAGGCCAAGGTGTAACTTTCGGCAGACTCTTTGCCAAGCTTACGAATAATTTCGTTCTCAGCCCGCCGTGAACGCTCGTGCCTTTGCTGATGCATCCTTCGCGGCTAGCATGCCAGAAGAAGGTGCCGTGAGTAATGGCAGATTGATTAGATACAATACCAGTATATCCCTCGTAAGGATCCCACCTGAATTGAACAGTGTCAAAAAGAATCTCCCTGGTGGATTAGGTCACGTAGTGTCGACTCACGTGTCAAGGTGAGAATCAAGATGGATTACAGAAATGGGCCCATAAACCGTTTTGAGACTTCGGAGAATTGGTAAGACGATAGAATGGTCACCACCAAGACTAATGATGCGTGGATGCTTCCACTCATCTGGGAATAAATCGTTAGTCCCATTAGGGGCGTGACAAGAGGCAGTTCTTGGCTCACTTTCTTCAGAAGTGGGATGATACAAGACCTGACGATAAGCCTGTTCCATCTGCTTAAAAGCATGGCTCGCATCAAAAGGTGTAATTGGAACATCCCCGCAGTCAATCTGAATGGGCTGTGAATAATGCACGCCGTGTAATGGAAGGGTAACTCAAACGCACAATCTCCAAACCTTGCTCGTAAGGGTCAATTCCCCACACGGTGTTGTAACTGCGACCTTTCTTCTCTCGAGACGAGCCGGCGCGAATACCGCGGGGCCCGAAACGAGCACCAGGCCGATACGAAGTTGAAGTGTCGTAGGGAAACCCCAGAATCGCTATGTCTAACGGCTACCGATGCATGTTAGGCTCGGGGTCCTTGTTGATTGACGACCCTACCTCCTAGTATATCTAGCGAGGCGTCAGTTACACTTACATTCTTATGAGACTGTGCGAGGCATCTTTGCCATTCCAAGTGGGCGAACGTGACAGGTTGAGAAAAAGGAAGGTCTTTGTCGAGGTCTAAACGGCTAGGTTAGACTTAGACTTGATGATACCACTGTGTTCTTGGTTCTCAATACTCACCCTCAATTGAGTGATCATACCCAGGACCCAATTCGAGACTGAGGCCGGCCTGAAAGGAGGCCAATAAAAGTGCGAACCTAAAAAACATGGCTTAAGTGTGACTGCGAGGGCAGTAGTCTTGGATTCTTTCTTACAGCGGCCGCGGATAATCGGCTGCTCCATCCTATTATTTAACTTCTTCCTCAGTGTCGTCGGCCGTCCCGACAGTATCATGACCCGAGATCATCAGAGACCAATCGGAGATGTCGTATCATGTTAGGGCAGTTAATTCCGACGAGCATAGATCCACACTCAGTGTGTCCCACACAGAGCTTCTCCACTTCGTCCAGGTTGTCTTATCGCGAATATTCAAGCCCAGCATTAGTCTACAGTTTTGCCTATCTACAATGCTTGAGAAACAGTAACCCGGCAGCTATACTACCGCGAGACGTTGAGACGCAGCAAGACATGGCCCAAAGATAAGCAATTATACACTATAAAAAAGTACGGAATAAGACTGTTACAATTCAATAAGAACCTTTGTTGTTTTGAACATCCACCATCTAATCCTTCCTTTCTTGTGTCTAATCCGTCACTTGTTGATGAAATTAAAATGCCCTTAATGATGCCTCCTTCGGCTATACTCATGGAGGAATTTGGCCAGCCAGACTCCCCAACGGCCAAGGCCGAGTTGCAGGATGGGAAACTGCCAAAGCCTAGTACCGCTTCAACCAAAGCCGAAGAATCTTCCGAATTCGATCAAGCAATGCCTCATACCACGAAGCGAGGCCTTTCATCTCGCCATGCCCAGTTCATTGCCCTGGGTGGCGCCATTGGCACCGGTCTGTTCGTCAGCTCGGGCAAGACCTTGGCGACGGGTGGTCCAGCCTTCCTCGTTGGCAGCTACGCGTTATTGGCAGCCCTGGTTTACTGTGTTTTGACGGGCCTTACGGAAATTTCGACATATCTCCCGTTGCCTGGAGGAACAGTGAACTACTATGGCCGACGCTACGTTTCGCCTAGCTTGGGCTTTATGATGGGATGGCTTTATTTCTACTCATTCGCCATCTTTGTCCCGTTTGAGCTCACAGCTTCAGCACTGATCATCAATTACTGGGGACCGAATGTTAACAATGCTGTATGGATTACCATTATGCTGGTGTTAGTCGTTTTCCTCAATCTTCTTCCGGTCAAGTTCTACGGCGAAACAGAGTTCTGGTTCGCCAGTCTCAAAGTCATTACCATCATCGGCCTTATGATCCTATCCTTTGTACTGTTTTGGGGCGGTGGCCCCAACCATCAGCGTCTGGGATTTTGGTACTGGCAGAATCCAGGTGCTGTGAAGACCTATATAGTTGGAGGTGACGCGGGAAGATTCGTGGCCGGCTTAGCTACACTCATCAGCTCAGTCTTGCCCTTCACTTTCACCCCGGAGATGGTCGTTGTCACAGCCGGAGAGATGGTGAACCCCCGACGAAATATCCCAAGAGTAGCCAGAAACTTCTTTTGGCGTCTCATCGTATTCTATATCGGCGGAATGATTGCCATCTCCGTTATTTGCCCATCCGATGCGTCTGCTCTCACCACGGGCGGCAAGGGGGCAGGATCCTCGCCATGGGTCTACGGCATCCGCAACGCAGGGATTCATGGCCTTGATAGTGTCATCAACGCTGTTATCATCACAGCCGCTTGGTCTTCTGGAAATTCGTTTCTTTACCTCGCGAGCAGATCTCTGTATTCGATGGCCTTGGAGGGAGATGCGCCTGCTATTTTTGGCAGATGCACCAAATCTGGTGTGCCTGTTTACGCAGTGGGTGCAAGCTCGCTGTTTACCTTGCTGGCGTATATGAACGTCAACTCTTCCGCGGCTGATGTTTTCAATTGGCTCTTGAATCTTGTAAATACGGGCGGATTCATATCTTGGATCTGTTGCTCCATCATTTACATTCGGTTCCGGAAAGCTTGTGATTTACAGGGGATGCCAGACTACAGATTCAAAAATTCTCGATCTGTCTTGCAGCCGTACGCCTCTTGGTTCACCCTCTTCATGTTCTCGCTACTGTGTCTCCTCAACGGCTTCACTGTCTTCTTCCCATCACAATGGTCGGTCGCGGATTTTATGTCAGGCTATATTGGGTTACCGTTGTTTGTGGTGATTTATTTCGTACATCGGGGTTTTCACATGGCAGACCCCTGGGTGATTCCTAGCGAGTTCGTAGATTTACAAACTGGACTGGCAGAAATGGATGCTGAAGAGGAGGCCTATGAGAAAATTGCGCACGTAGGGTGGATCAAGCGGCTCAGAAACTTTGTACGTCGTCAGTAGTAGTTCAGTCGGAATCAACTTCCTCATGAGGGGATGAGCCACTTCAGTCTTATCAGCTCAATTGGCCATAGCTCAAAATTTCGATTCAGTTGATTACTCCTAGTGTACCTCTTTATATTTCCAGACCAAGATATCTTGCTGGAAAGTTATCGAAATCATATAGTTATACCTTGACCAAACTTCCACAATCAACATCTCTAAAGGTCCTCCAACGTCTAAAGGCTTTAGAAATCCATACATACACCAAAACATCCTTGAAAATGAGCCAAGTCCCTAAGATCCTGGTCATAGGATGTGGCGCTGTGGGCACAATGTGCTCTTACAGTCTGCAAAACTCTGGCCGTGTGGCTGTCACGGCCATTCTCCGATCCACTTACGATGATGTGAAAGCAAATGGCTTCCACATTAAGAGCATAGATCATGGTGAAGTCGATGGATGGAGGCCGCACAATAGTGAGAACCCTATGAACCAATTAATCATGAATTTTTCCATTCTCACATTACACACAGTCTCGCGCACGTTAGATGACGCACTTCAGTATGGACCATTCGACTATGTGCTTGTTGCCCTCAAAAATCTCCCGGATGTATATTCTATTACAGATGTCATCCGACTAGCTGTCGCGTCTGAGAAGACTGCCATTGTATTGGTCCAGAATGGCATTGATATCGAACAGCCTCTCATCGATGCGTTTCCCGATAACGTTGTCATCTCTGGCGTTCCTCTAATTGGTTGTGAGCAGAATGGCCGCGAGATATTGCACAGCGATCCAGACATCCTTCTCGTCGGAGCTTTTACTAAGAATCCTAACAGGATGGATCAAGGCAAACTCACATGCTCCGAATTCGCGGAAATCTATACCGCTGGAGGTGCCAAGTGTGAGGTCAAGAAAAATCTAACCTGGTTCAGGTGGCGGAAGCTCTGCTGGAATGCTTCTTTCAATGCGATCTGCGCCCTTACAAATCTGGATTCCGGTCTTATCCAGGACGCAGGGGCCCTTGAGACCCTGATCAAGCCCGCAATGGGCGAGATCGCTGCCATTGCGAGCGCAGCAGGCTACCAGCTACCAGAGGACATCAAGGAGCAAATGGTCGCATTCACGCCCAGGGAGCTTTACTTGAAGCCGAGCATGCAGGTGGACGCAATTAGGGGTAGACCAATGGAGATTGAAGTCATTTTGGGGAATGCATTGCGAATAGCAGAGAAGGTAGACGTCGATGCGAAACTTCTGGGTACATTATATCAACTACTCAAGGCGAAGCAACAGGTGTTGCTTTCAGCCAGATAGATTTGACGTTGATTTAGGCTTCGATTTCTAATTTGCTAGCCTTGGTACAATGTTCAAACTTCTTTTAACCTCGTTGTTGACAATGACTATGGTCTAAGATATGATAGCTAAGATATGATAGCAAAAGACTTTTACACACTCAAGGATATTTAGAACATCATTGTTGGCAGTGATTAACAGCAATACTTGCTCTACCTACTGTAGGAAATCTCCCCCCGAAACGTGCAACTCATACTGATAATCAGGCTGAAATTCAAGCCACATAGCCTCAGGCGTCGTCAGCCTGTACGTGTACTCTGCTTCCTCGTGAGGGCATATATGCTTGGGAATCCCATTAGCAGCAGCAGCCTCCGCCAAAAGTTGGATGCGGCAGGAGTTCTCCATAAGTGTATACAAGAAAGCTGCCTCATCCACGGTCTTACCAGTGGTCAGAAGCCCGTGGTTCTTAAGGATAGAGCACCGCTTGTTTCCCAAAGCGGCAGCAATGCGCTCTCCTTCGGATGCCTCAAATGCAATTCCGCCAAACATGTCGTGAACGGTGTGATCATTATAGAACGTGCAGGCATCTTGGTTAAGCATATCAAGAGGCCGCCCAAAACAAGACCATGCTTTTCCATGCACGCTATGGAAGTGGCACGCGGCATTAACATCTGGGCGGGCTTCATGGAGAGCAGAATGAATATTGAAGCCGGCATTGTTAATGCAAGCCTACATAACTGTATTAGTATCAATGGTATTCCAACGTAAAAGAATAGAAGCGTATATACCCTGTTCCCTCCGATTATTTCGCCTTTCATGTTGACGTGAACAAGGTCACTCACTTTCATCGTCCCAAAGTGATATGCCAGTCTATAATCTACTTTTAGTATTTCCGTACTACTGGTATCAAAAAAGAACTTGCGAGATACTTACGGGTTGATCCAGAAAGTATCTGGGTCAATTGGATCCCGGACGGAAATATGACCGGCGGTTCCCTCAAGGTAGCCTTTTCGAGCGATCACCCTGAAGGCGCCTGCCATCCTCTCCAGCGCCCATTTTCGCTGCTCATAAGGGTCCGTGAATATCGGGATGCCAGCGATGGGAGCACTTCGACCAATCGTAGCACCAGTTCCGTCAATGGTCGACAGTCCATCCATAAATGTTTCTTCTACACGAGGACGAGGACGGGGCTCTTTCCCCCCGCGAGAGTGGATGGGTAGTAGGGTTGCGGCCTTCGTGGCTGCCATCGTCGTGGTTGTTGTGGACATTTTGGACAGTCTTCCGGATATCAATTTCGTTTTAGGCTGGAAAGATGCAGAAGCCCTCGAGACTGATCTATTCCACATCAAAGACCAGCTACGGGATCGTGTGTTGATTGGGAAGTAGGAAATGATGCGAGCCCTCAACATGGTAAATGTCAAGAAGTTGTGCATACAACAGTTATGTTACATGAATTCAGATTTGCATTTGGCAAGAACCTCCGACTCCCCATTAGACTCTGGATTACAATCAATAACATGCGAAAGTGAGTCATCATTGTCCCGCCCACTACTATGGTAGGCAGAGGGAGTTGGCTGGACTCTACCAACCGCAACGGAATGAAAGCTACTCCGGATACTGCTTCTTTCATCGATCCTCTATGATTGGCGGCAATAAGCATTTCATCACACTTGATGTCGGATCTTCCGACGTAACCATAAATTTGGGAATAGCCTCGGTTGTGGGACCAATCTCGTCGGAATTACATGCCCAAACCAGTCTGACCAATCGCAAAGCAGCATTGAATAGTTGTGTTCCACTTTATTTCTTCATGTCTAGTACATCGATTCTTATCTCTCCAGACTCCGAGACTTTGACCCTGGCTCTAGTTTGAACACTACAGTGCCGACTGAGTGCTCTAAATTCATACCCATAGGGTAAGAGACAGCGACGAGATCAGAGCCCAGGAGCTTCCCGGTAATGTTCAACATGATACGACAATCGAATGCTCCCTTTCGCAATAACTACAAATGTGAAGATAGGTTCCGTGTGCTTGAATAATGGTTTATCAGCGAATTTGATACTCAAGTTACTTAACTACCAGTGACAGTGCCAAGCCTACAGCCAAATCACCTTATCTATCCATTATCCATCTCGATCGCGCTATATATACAATGGGAACTACATTGACAGAGGCACCTACAATGGGAGTCGCAAAATTTACAAGCCCAGTGTCCTGGGGTCGGGGATTAGGCCTAAGCTCCGGGCAACGCGAACCAGAGTATCACCTGCTGGCGCCTTTCGATGCCATGCCTCAGCAGATAACCGGACGCACAGTTTGGACCAAGGAAGATCTGGAGTCCGAGCCTGGCCGCTGGCTGCGAACTTTCTCCGAGGACGAGATCCGACAGGTTGAACAAGCGATAAAGCAGGTTGAAACGCGAAATCTGCAGCTTTCAGAGGTTCATCGAGATACTTTTCCCTTGTCTGCCGAGTTCACGGCAGAATTGGAGAAGGTGCGCAATGAGCTTATCAATGGCATCGGCTTTGTTCTGCTCCGTGGACTTCCTGTCCAGAAATGGACGACCCGGCAATCTTCCATTGCGTATCTCGGTCTGGGTTCCTACATCGGTCGTCGCTTGAGCCAGAACCGTCAGGGTCACATGTTGGGCCACATCAAGGACCTCGCGGAAGGGAAAGAGGTCAACGGTGAAGGCCGAATCTACCGCACGCAAAAGGCACAGACTTATCACACCGATGAGAGTGACATTGTCGGCTTGCTCTGCTTGCACCAAGCCATGGAGGGGGGAGAATCACAAGTCGTTTCCAGCCATCACATTTACAACGTTTTACGCAAGGAGCGTCCGGACGTGCTGGAACAACTGTGCATGCCGCATTGGTTTTATGATCGAAAGGGCGAAACCAGCGAGGGAGAAAATGAGTGGATGAGAACGCCAGGCTACTATTACTATAAAGGCAAGCTCAGCATGAAATGGGACTCGTACTATGTTGGCGCATTGCAGAGGTTCTGGGAGGCTGGGCTTCTGCCCAAGTACACCGAGTCTCAGGATGAAGCGATGGCCGTCATGGAGGACATGTGCCACCGTCTGTGTCTTGAGATGACTCTGCAGCAAGGCGACGTTCAGTTTGTAACTAACACCCATAACTTGCACGCACGATCGGCCTACAAAGACGACAACGATGCAAGTAAGAAACGCTGGCTGCAACGTCTTTGGCTGGCAACGTCGGATGTTGAGGGTGGTTGGCCATTGCCATTTGCCGATTCTGACTATGTGAAGCGTGGAGGTGTGCAAGTCAACAACACACCTGAGTCTTATCCCCTCGAAGCAGAATAAGATAAGCATGCAAGGGAAAGATCATTGATAAAGGTGTTATCAGTAGTCTGCCATCGCCAGCATATTTAGATAGCATTCAATTCAAGCTAGATATCCCCCACTTCACACTTGCCAGAATCACCCAATGTACAAGATGAGCTAAATCCAACTTCTACGGTCCCTGATTCATTACTTGGTCGCCGATTCAGAACCATTTAAATCTCTTATCAGCCTTTCCGAGTTTCTGATTCGTGGATCCGGTCATCGCGCTAAGAATGCTCTTATCTCTACCGGTGTTGCGTTTAGGTAATGATTAATTACAGGGACCCAACCTGTTCAATTCCCCTCAACCGTGGCAATGACTACCGGTGAGATCATCTCCTTCTCGTCAAACTTATGTTAATTTTCGAAATCACAATCGATTCATTATGCCCAGAAGATCAGGTAACAAACGATTAATGACATACAAAGGGTGCGTTCAGCCCTCTTTGGAATCAGCTCTTTGTCTCCTAACATTCCTGTATGATTAGATGCTGGACATGCAAAAGACGCAAGGTCAAGTGCGATGAGAAACCTACAAGGTGTGGCAATTGTACCCGACTTCGACTCGACTGTGAGGGTTATGGCGTCCGACTTCATTGGATCACGGACCCCTTCTCGACGAATTCCGAAGCGTCTAGTTTACAAAGTCGAGGACGGATGAACATTGGTAGGAATTGATTACAGAACGTCTCAAGCGTGTATTGAAGTGCTAAAAATAGGATTGGCTTGTCTAGACCCAGAACGTTACCCTGTGTATCCCATGAGTGACATTGATCGGTTCATAGCTTCCATTGATCGCGATTCTCATGCCAAGAAAACCTCTCAGCATGGACCATTCAATGTGTTACTCCTGCCGCTTATCCAGAAGGAGTTTCATGATGATTCGAATACTATAATCGAGGTCGAACATCCCATAGAAGGATCCCCTTACACAAGTTTATCAGTGTCGTCCACATCGCCTTCTTCTACCCCTGATCGCGAACTAGAAGCAACATTCCAGGCGGTGGTAGCCGACACAGGACATACCCCAGAAGTATTTCCACCAGATTCACCAGTATATAACGTATCAGATGGGGATCTTGGCCTTTTCCAGGGGGTCACTGGAGAATATCAGGAAGAGGAGAACGATAATCTCGAAAAGGATGAAGAAATTGGAGAGCATGTGGATGTTGAGAATGTAACCTCTCCTCAGAAATCAACCTTGTCAACGCTCTGCAGTGGAGGATTCTCCACGTTCTGCTTGCAACGATATGTCGCCAGCAGCTTATCCGGCGATCCCGCAATCGATATGCTTCTTCACCACTACATTATTAACCTGGCCGACCTTTTGCAAGCAGTCCGCCATCCCCAAAACCCATACCGTCAGCTCTACGCCCCTGCTGCGCTCGAGTCCGTATCTGGTACAGCACTGTCCACATCGGCTTCTTTCAGCCCCAAATCAATCATCAATACAGCTATATATCATTCTATTCTAGCTGCATCAGCATTTCATATGTGGCAGAGCAACCCGCTACAGCGAGAGTTCCATCGTGTCGCCTCACAGCACAGGCAGAAGGCCCTCTTTTTCCTCCAAACAGCTTTGGATACCATGAGACCAGGTGCTGAGTACAAGCTCCTGCTCATCGCGATGTTGTCTCTTGTAACTGTTGATGTAAGTACTGTCCATGATCTACCAATCTCAACGGTCGGCTACAGACGTGACTGAAAGTCGGAAGACCCCCTTTTACGGTCTAAATCACTGATCCTTTCTAGGTCATGTCAGGTGCAGAGGCAGATTTCGCAGTGCATCTCCATGCAACACTTCAACTACGCAGATCACGACGGCACTGGAAAATTGTGAGCCCGGCCACCCAGCAGTTAAACGAAATCAGCGAATTCTTGACTTTGCTTGCTCGAACATTATCGTTCCAGACATCTTCGCCACTATGGTGTGCGGACCACGGCGATGGGAAGGGCAATGATAATGATGACCTCCCACTTGCTCAGGGCTCTAATCCGTGTCTGGGATACATGTACGGAATTACTCTAGCAATAGCAAATGCTATTCAGGAAACTTGCAGGCTGGCAGAAATTATTGCCCGCATCGAAGAAAGGCAAAGCGAGGTTTTGCCCGCATGGCTTCGTCAAGCTTGTGAGGACCTAGGTGATCTACTACTATCATGGACACTAGACGAGATAGACGTCGATTCGATAGACGACGAGGAAATGAGGGCCGTTTTTAAGCATCACGCGCATGCTTGGCACTATGCGGCACTCATCTATTATTGCCGTCGAGTGCAAAAAGTGCCAAGTAGCGAGTTGAGTGAAGAAGTAAGCATTGTTGCGGAACATATGCATGCTGTCGAGACCCTCAAAGCTACCTCACGGTCAGAGCAGGCTAACCGAATGGCGCCTATTACATGGCCCGCGTTTATAGCATCTTGTGATGCCACAAACAGGGACGTGTGGGTGGACTGGTGGGAGAGGGTAAAGCATTATAAGATTGCGAACATTCCACGCCAGTATGACGTGGTAAGGGAACTATGGGAAAGAATTGATAAAAAGACGCAGTCAGGGGATGGTTACATCGATTGGATTATGGTATATAAGGAGTTGGACATTACTCTTTTGCCAATATAACTAGAAGGAGTCAAAACACATGGAATTAATAACATGTATCAAACCGAATGATGAGAACTTCTCAGCGATTCAAGAGGAGTTTTTCTGGGTAGATCTGCGCCCGCAGCTCTGCACTTACAGATGCAACAACGCATGACAGCATGAACAGCATCTTTTGTTTAGATTGGCCACATCATCAATAAACCCTGCAATGCGGAGCATCTAACCGGCTTATACCAAGTTTCATAGTGTTGTCAGTAATAGAACTCGTTTCTATTAATGCAAAATGACGACTTTTTGATCAACAGCTGGTAATGATGAATCAACACTTTTTTTGGACAATGCTCCCTGTTCTGTCCCCAGTCTCCTCTGCGTTGCCCTTTTGACTATGACTTTACCTCATCGTACATGATGTCTGAAAACGCACTTCTTCGTACATAAATAATGAGACCGTCAACCGCAGGATTTAGGGATACGGTCTGTACAACAACAGCAGCATCAAGGAATTCTTCTCTTTATACGAATAACATGGATCCTCTTCACACTCGTAACAATGCCCTCAAGGTCAACCCTCCGGGTGGCCAATCCCACCTTTCTGTGAATGGCTCCAACTGGCTCTTTGCTGTGATGGCTTGCTTCACAGTGTCTTTTGTTCGTTTGCTCCAGAGCCACTTGCGATTCTGATTTATCTCACTGACACTCGCATACTAGCTTGTATATTATGGGCTTAGCTTCAAGCCGCGCAACGGAGAAAAAGTATTCCATTACCTCTTCACCATCGCCCTGCTCATTGGCTCCATCTCCTATTTCGCCATGGCCTCGGGACTTGCGTACTCCGTCATCCCAACAGAACGTTATATTCTAGATGCTGCGACCTACCAGATATTCTTCGCCAAGTATATCTTCTGGGTCGTTGCTTTCCCTGCAATTATTATTGCCCTCGGGCTTATCAGCGGCGTAAGCTGGGCGACCATCTTCTTCAACGTCTGCGTATCTTGGGCCTGGTGCGTCAAGAATTAGATTGATATGCCATGCCAAGAATCTTTACTGACTATTTTTTAGGATCATCGCATATCTCTGCTCTGCCTACACTGCCACCCGCTACAAATGGGGATTTTATGGCTTCGGAACCGCCGCCTATGTTATCCTCGCTATCCAGACTCTGTGGGCAAGCCGATCCTCGGCCAATCGCCTCGGCACAGGGCGCGACCATACCATGCTAGCTGGATACGTCAACCTGTTTTGGTTTCTATACCCTATCGCCTTCGCTGTCTCAGATGGAGGCAACGTCATAGGCGTGACCCAGAGCTTCATCTTCTTTGGCATCATTGATCTCCTCCTTGTGTGTGGCACCGCGTTTATCTTCCTCATTCTGGCACGGAAGTGGGACTACGGGCGTATGAATCTACATTTCACCCAGTACGGCCGTGTCAACCGCACGTACCCTGAGAAGCATGCTGTGCCCGTCGCCGCCACAGCCAATCCAGCTACCCGCGTTTGAGAAAGCCAGCGCGCTTGAGGCTTTTTGGGATCAAGAGTATAGAAGATGGTATGATTAGCGGAAGAAAGAGGGCTTGCTTTGGTGTTGGTTGAGAGTGGAAAGACGTATGGGTGAGTTCAAGAAATCTTATGATGGGGGAGGAGGAGGGTCTGCTTGTTCTTGCTGTAGCAGGTTTTTGAGATGGATCTGTTTATGCAGATATCGATTCAAACAATTTATAGACAATAACTTTAACCTAGGGAGAAATATACAGATTGATAGAACGGCCACACCTTATGGAAAGGCTCCCACGATGTAGACCAATCGCTTATAAACAGCATGGAGCTCACCCCGAAGACATTGATATAAAAAGCTAAACTGCCTTTAGAAACGACGCAATTTTAGTAAGAAAGCAGTGTTCGATATTAGCCAGAAAGCCGTCTGATTTGAAGGTGCGGCCGAGGTTTCACAATTACTCCAGGCGGCTAGATTAGGGATCTAATTCTTTTCCTTAGACGAAGTCATTCATTCCATGCTTGGCCCAAACACCAGGAAGATAGTCTGACAACTTTGCGATACGATATCTGCAGCTATTTAGGCATTCTTTGGTGGAAAGGCTGGGCGATTAGGACTCGAACATCAAAGCTGACTACGGTCCAAGAAATACGAACTTGAACTTAACCTTCAACCTAGGACGTGAACCTTAAATATCGGGAGGATGATATTTGGCACAACAGAAGAATTACGGCATTCTAGAACAGTTCTTAACATTGAAAGCTATCTTAGAGATGTGTAATCCAGTGCCCAGAAATTCATTATGAAGATATACCCGATTGTTCGCGATGTGGAGATGAAGTATAGGGGCCTGTTAAAGTTTCTAGCAAAATGGCGTTAGTGTGCGATCAAATTATCTACGTGGCACATATTTAGGTTCGTGTTTTGGCAACTTGAACTTACCTCCCCTAACGTCGGGGTAGATTATCACAATGTGGCAATCTGGCCTCAACACGAGTTATAATAATTAGATATGCCGAGCGCAAAGTCGATTTCCCTTGTGACGTATTTTGATCAGGGCTAACACTTCACAACAAGAGCGAGCCTTTCTGGTTGCTGTTCATCACAATTAGTCTGCCTTGTCGTACATCCCACATACCTCCTCGCTTGCAAACCATCATCGTCGAAAACGAAAACGCTCTTGATACAAAATGGCTCAAGCCACGGCGAAGGAACTGATCCTTGTTACGGGCGTCACGGGATACATTGCTGGTCGCACAGCCGAGGCGTTCCTCCAAGCGGGCTACCGAGTTCGAGGCACAGTTCGAGACCTCAGCTCTGCGCGCCAGACACAGAAGGCTCTCAGCGAATTCGGCAGCCAATTCGAAGTGACGGTGGTTCCCGATATCTGCGTCGCTGGGGCACTTGATGAAGCAATGGAGGGCTGTTCTGGCGTTGTGCAGATTGCCGCGCCGATGAGGATTTCAGGACAAAAGGCGATACCTGCCGTTGAAGAGGCCGTCAATATCGTCAACAACGTCCTTGAATCGGCCAGCGAACATCAGTCTGTCGAAAGCGTCGTTCTCATGTCGTCAGTGTCCGCTATTCGACGCAGCGGTAGTGGGCCGTATACATTTACAGAAAAGGATTGGAATACCGAGGTGGAGGCGATTTTCAGGAACGACCCGGATAACATGTCGGGTGGAATGATCTATAGGGCTGCTAAAGTAGCCGCAGAACGGGCATTCTGGAAGTACAGAGCGACCAATAAGCCGACTTTCGCGATGGCAGCTATCAACCCCTCTTTCGTTCACGGTCCGCCGCTTGTCGTACCAAACTCGGTGTTCAAAATCAAAGGCACAACCGGGTTCATCGTCAGCATCCAAGCAGGCCTCGATGGGCCCGACGTCTTCAAGGCTTACCCTTGGTGGGTTGACGTCCGCGATGTCGCACGGATTATTGTTTTCTGCGTTAAGAGCCATGCTGACGGCGAGCGGTTCCTCGCGGTGTCGGCGTACGGGCCCCAGCAAGCTGTTGCTGACGTTCTTCGATCCGTGCGACCTAACAGCAGGGTCGAGAAAGGTGTCCCAGGTGAGGGCTACGCTATGCCAGGTTACCGAGCCCCAGAAAATGAGGACCAGATTCTCGATGGGTCCAAGCTAGTTCGAGTGACAGGCCAAGACTACATTCCCTACGAGCAAAGCGTTGTCGACACAGCGAATGCTTATGAACCACTCCTTGCCAATCTTGGGCCGTCAATTTACATCAAGAAGATGTCTCAGAAAATCTTTTCATACTTGATGCCAAGTAGCAAGTGAGTGACAGAAGCAAGGCCTTTTCTGATGTAAGAGCAGAGCAGTAAGACTCAACATCATGGATAGGTTTAGTACAAATACAAATGTTGATAGATAGCATCAACTTAGTAATACCTCAAAGAGAACAATTCCCACAGTCGCAAATATAGAATGGAAAAAGGAGGTCGATGTGGTAGAAATGAAAGGTTTTAGCACGGCACTTAGATTATGGTGACCCCATAGCTTCAAACTAATGCTCGTGCTCTGCGCCCCCTTCTCTACGCAAGTGGGCGTAGGCTAACCACAGCCAGATCATGCTATTCATATCCTCACGTCTCCGAAATCAAGATCCGGTTCCACAAGATCAGTTTCGACGACCGAGTTGCCGTTGGGAGTCTCCTCGCTAGGAGCAGCGGGTGTCTCTAGGACTAAGCCTATATTGACTAACTCGGCTCTTTAACATTAGCCTCATCAAATAACCATCGTCGTCTTTCATCACATCAACTAAGACTTACAGTCAAACGTCTCCATGGGGTCAGTGCTTAAGCCTGGTTCCCCAAAGCACACACCTTCACGGTTGATTGCATCCAACATGAAGGGGTCGAGAAGCTGCCCTGATGGGCCTGCGCTGAACAGCTCGGTGGATAATCCACCCGCAGATTCGCAAAGAACAAAACTGACTGCCTCTGCGGCTTTCTGGGCTTCTCGGGAGTTGCGGCTGCCTCTCATCCAGACTGTTCGAGTCTTCCGTAGCTCTGACTTAATCTCCTCCTCTCTTCTCAGTGTCACTCCGCGGTGCAACATCGAACAAAGGATCATCGTCGCCGTAAGGAACTGATTATTCATAATTAAGGAGACTCGCCATCGCATCATCGATATTTGTCCCCCGGGGCGTGTCTCCTCATCCAAAATCCCCTGAATCTCCAACATGTTCAGCGATGCATCTAAGCACGTCTCTTGCGAGTAAGCATGAATATTCCCTGTTGCCGAAGCAAACATGTACGGTTGGTGGAGCATTATTTGGCCCTTGTAGAATAAATGACCGATGAACAGTCGCCACATTATCGCATGGGGTGAATCAGTTATACTAGCCGCCATGGGTTTCATTTTCATTGGAGGAGGCATACTGTCAGCTGCTCGTTGTAAAGCGCTGTCGGCACGCATGACCTCCTCATATGTGCACGCTGTGACAGCGGCTCGAAGTTCCGAGATTTGACCCAGAGCTTCTACGATCCTCCTCATTGCAATGACGCCAAGTATTGGAGTATATTCAGTCTCGGGTCGCGATGGAGGGAGCCCGGTCATCCCGCCCGTATGAACTAAATCGAGGTCTGCATCAGTCAGATTTCGGGGTTCGGCGGTGTCGTACTGCGTGGCCGAGATCATGCGAGGCATTCCCACTTGACCAGCAATGATAATGTTTCCCATCAGGAGCGACGACCATATCCGGCGCTGCATCTCGGCCTGGAAGGGCGTTATTCCCTTGAAGTAGCGAGCGTCACGGTGAAATCCCATTCGCATTGCCATATTTGCGACAATGCCGAAAAGGTACCATAGGTCAGTGTTGGCATCTGGATGGATGGCGAACTCTATGTGAGCGTAATGAATCATGGTTTCTAGGATATGCGGGCCGGTTCTGGTGTATTCAGCTAAGATTAGACATTGAACAATCTTTTCCTGATAGGAATCGATCTGGAGACGCGATCGTTCGTCCTCAGCCTTGTCACGAATCTCATCGTTATCCTTTGAGGCAATTACGGAAAGGCAGATGATGGTAAATAGTAGGCCGATCCAAGCGATTGGAGTTTCAAAAGGCGCTTCCCAGAATTTTTGATACTAAATGAATGTGAACAAACAGGCGCCGTACGTCTGGCTTATGATAGAGGACCTTCGACCATAACTTACCTCGCCAAGAAAGCTGTGGGAGTGAATAACGGCTTCAAGAAATCAGTAACTGGGATATAAAGACTCCAAGATTGTACCAACAGTAAGCTAGCGACAGATGGTTGAAATAAAACGAAACATAGCGGTCTACCGCTGGTTTAGGTGGTAGAGCGGACAAAATCTCCTCTCGCGACCGAGCACGAGGACAGCCATAGAGGAGAAGGGCATGTGGGGATGGGCGTCTCGTGTACGGATTGTCATCTCCGATGGTATCATCCATCCTTGTCTGTTCATCTCTATCGACCTGGTGCTTCAAGTCGGAAATACTTTCCAGAATGGCAGCCCAGTGGTCGTCACCAATGTAGGGAAGCTCTGTCGCCGTGGCACTGATGCTCCCACACTCTGAGCGGACATCCGCGGAGGTATCAACAAGTGAATTATCGTGTATTCGAGCACTCATGACGTCGCCAATGGCGCCTGAGGTTGTGACAGCGTTGGGGCTAGACTGACTTGAAGGGCCTGGCATGAGAACCTTGACCAATCTTTCCAAATGGGCTAGGCGGTCCTGCAATGTAGGTTGTGGTTCGCCAATCGAAGATGAAGGTGCTCCATTGTCAGGATTTTGTGCATATATGCAGGAAAGTCCGCGCCCGGCGCAATTATAGCATGGCTGCTGGCGATCACATCTCAACCTAGAAGTCGAGGCTGTCAGTCAAGCGTACGACTTCCCTAACTTGTAGGATCAACAAGAAGAGACAATTACTTCTTTTGCCGGCAGAGATTGCAGGAAAGTTGTGGCTTGTCACGGCGCCGACTCGTGCTCGGTCTCGGTTTGCCCGCATCCACCCACCGACGATCCCCCTCACTTGAGATGAGGAGGGGTTGTTGGAATGCTTTAGACATCACAATGAGGCCGCGTTACTGCTCCTCAAATACCCTTTTTGACCATATGCAGGGACTTCGAAACGTGTATTGGTCGTATATGCAGGTCTCTCCGCGTTAATCACCGACAACTGATGGATGGCGGTCAAACCTGTGACCGACACCAATCTGACATGCAGTGAGAAGTACGTCACCGGACTTAGCGTCTGTTTGAAGCCGACCAAAACTCTGTCTGATAACCGACCCTCCGAATTGTCAAAATTTGCCTCGGACCATCCGCGGCCCCACCTTCAAGCAACACGTATAAGATCTCAACTCTGACCCCAAACACAGTTCCTTTCGTTCAATATCGCGAGAGATAATTAATTCAAAATACTTCATCTAGCACTTTGTTCAAAATAATTCGGCATGACTCTCATAGTTCATCATCTTCAAGTGTCTCAGTCGGAGCGCATCCCCTGGCTCTGCGAGGAGCTCGGCATCGACTACGAGCTCAAGAACTACAAACGAGCTCCCATCTTCGCTCCGCCAGAATACAAGGCACTGCATCCTCAAGGCACCGCCCCGATAATCCAAGATGGCGATCTTTTCCTCGCCGAAAGCGGTGCCTGCATCGAATACATCTACAACAAGCACGGCCCCAGCAATCCAAGCGGGCCAAAACTCTTTTTAGAACCTAGTGATCCAGCCTACGCTGAGTTTCTTTACTGGTGGCATTGGTCCAATAGCAACTTCCAGCCATCACTTAGCCGATCCATGTTGGTGCAAAGCGCCGGCTTGGGAGACGATAATCCGACTGTCAAGTATGGAAGGGGGCGCTTTGCGACGAGCCTGAAAATACTTGACGATAGGCTGAAGGGAAACAAGTGGCTTGTAGGGGAGAAATTTACCGCGGCCGACATCATGATTGTGTTCTCTTTGACAACCATGAGGTACTGGTACCCTTATAGCCTACGTGATTATGGCAATATTCTTGGCTATCTTCAGCGTGTTTCGGAGAGGGAAGCATACCAACGAGCAATGAAGAAGAGTGACCCGGACATGGAATTGATTTTAGGCGCCGAATCTCCGTCGAAGCCCTTTATTATGTAAATATACGAAAACATCTCTTCTAAATACATTCCCCTCTCACTTGGAATACAGTCCCCTCTGGCATGGAATTATATCTCGTTGAAAGGCTCTTCAGAAATCTTCGTGCTGCGCCAATCAAAGCAAGCAGATATGCGAATTGAAGCAGACTAAACCGGCGGAAAGTCAAGGGGGTTAGCCATTCAAATAAATGATTAAAAATCATAAGTGACCAGCATACTGTTAAAGTAAACGATTAGACTTGGGGTTGTATCATCATCGTCGGACCTTTACACTGCGTAGCAAGCCGAAGAAGAAACAATTTAGCTTAACGTGGAGAGATGCCCATTCCCCTAAATTTAACTTAGCCCTGTGAAATTTAAGATTGATAACGGAGTGAGCGGCCGACTTGAAACGTGGCGCCAAATCGCCGTGTTGGGTTCCGGGCGGTAATCATTGGACATCATATGCTTTGTTCGGCAATGATGGACAAATTATTAGAGGAAGGATGGATTGATGAAACCGCTTGCGGTCTCTTTACTTTATTTCGTGCCCGTTGCTACCAGCCTGGGTTGGGAACTTATCCGTACATGTAGTCTTGAATTTTGATCTGAAGTGTGTCCCGATTGCGTGGATCAGTCTCCTCCTCCGTCCGTTCGTGGGAGGTGGGTATTGTACATCTATTTGATCCTATTATGACCACTGCTGCCTTTGTCATTGCTGATTAATTCCCTTTTTCTTCTAATCTTGCTCTGAAGTTTGAGCCATTGCTTCCGCTGCCCTGGCCCTTCTTTGTGCGGAGGGCTTTTTGAATGACTTATCTCTGTGGGTTTGATGTGCTGCCTGAATCGCGATCGCATTTTAAGTCTAACATCACTTGAAACTCTGGACTGCATTTAGGCTATGCCTCAGTCGTGGGATGCGTCGCAGCAAGATGATAAATCTTGGCTGTTTCATGCAACACAAGGAGGCACCCATCCATTAGCAGCATCCAAATCAAGTTGACCCTAGTTCCGTGATTCTAACTTTTTTCCAATTGTCCTTTCGCCAAAAGTGCCAGCGCAGGCAATTGGAAGGTGGTTTCAACTGCCAAGACCGCTTATTGGGTCTCTTAGAAGCATGAGAGTGTCGCAATTCATCGGTCAGCAGACACACGCCATGAATGCGCCCTCCAGTGAGAATCCTTTCCCCTTGGCTTTTCGGAAATTACACTCCGCTGTCGTTCAAGCAGATACGCGGGAGGATCTGCAACAAGAAACCTCACAATACGTCCTATTCCTCCTTCCTATAACACGCTCCGACCTACCCTCTCCGGCTAGTCCTTGCAATAACGCTATTTGGATGACAGGTTTCTCCATTGCGCGTTTCCTCCATGCGGAAGATGCGTCTTACCCTGACCCGGGAATAGCCCGAGGGAGTCGGACATATTACCGGTCGATTGGCCTATCACGCGAACTGTTGGCATTCCGGGTGCCTGGGACGGCATCTTCATGTGGTTCGGGTCCGTCCAGGAAGGGTTCGTGGGGATGCCGCGCGCGAATTTGTTACACTCACATCAAACCTGTGGGATATTGTAGGGACTGCCAAGACTTCAGTAGGAAGTTTATATACCAGATCGTATCCTCTCCGTGGATATCTCCCTCTCTTTTGTCCTTCACATTGGCGGCCGTCAACTGATTGGCAATCTTCCAGACGTTCCTTCAGACCATCTCAGTAATTCATTACTGATACCCAAGCCAACATGAAGTCCCAACTTCTCTCCAGTGCCGCTCTGCTCGCATCGGGTGTCTTTGGCGCTCGTGAGTGGCTGAACGAGCCCGACACTGGTATCGAGCTTTCCCTTCCGGATCTTAAACCTGGAGAGTTGGCCAGCATTGACTCTGTCGTTGGTTTGCCTGATTTTGAATATGTCGCTAGAAACTATCTTCCCATCAAGAATTACACATACTACCGGAATGGTGCCGGAGGCGAATGGGCATACCGCCACAATGTCGAGGTCTTCCAGCAGTACGCTATCCGCTCAAGGACAATGATTGATATCACCAATATTGAAGCTTCTCTTCCGTGCGTATTCGCCTTATTTCCATTGTTTTTAGCATATGCTGATTGATCAACCAGGACCCAAATTCTCGGCCACAACTTCTCGGTCCCCTTTTACATCACCCCATTCTCCCGAGCTGACATGGCCCATGAGGGGGCAGAAACCAACCTGGTGAAGGCTGCTGCTGCCCAAAACATCCTCTATGTTGTAAGTATAGTATCATCTCCTCCTGATGCTACCCGAAGAAATTATATACTGAACACTAACACATGCCAGCCTTCCCATTATGCGTACCAAAGCATTGAGACGATTGGAGCTGCCAAAGCTGAGGGGCAGGTGCTGTTCCAGCAGGTTTGTGGAATTATGTTCTTGTCCTATTGAACTTTTATTCATTAAATGTGACAGCTGTATCTCACTGCCAACGACACTCGAACTCAAATCGAGTTGGACCGTGCCAAAGCTGCTGGCCACAAGGCTATTGTCTTCACTATCGACTGCCCTGCGCCCGCAAACAGACATCGAGCTGCCCGCTTTGACGTTCTTTCGCTGTACGCTCTTTCCCGTGGTTTCCTTGCTGATCACTGAAACTGACTAATACCTTCTCAGGAACCAAGCCTATGTGCCTCTTACTGTATGTATTTTACCGTATCTTGCCAATGCTGACTAGCGATGAAAGGATGAACTGAACTAATTTATCATTCTCAGTGGGAGTTCTACAAGAAGCTCACCACAATGACCGACCTCCCTATTATCCTGAAGGGCATCCAAACCGTTGAGGACGCCAAGCTGGCCCTCGAGAACGGTGTCCCCGGCATCATCCTCTCCAACCACGGTGGTCGCCAGCTAGACACCGCCCGCGGACCGCTCCACATCGCCCTCGAGATCCACCGCAAAGCCCCTGAGCTCTTCCAGAAGCTCGAGATCTTGGCCGATGGAGGTGTTCGCTACGGCGCCGACGCTCTCAAGCTCCTCGCCCTTGGTGTCAAGGCTGTTGGCATCGGGCGTCCCTTTGCCTTTGCAAACATCTACGGCCAGGAGGGTGTTGAGAGAGCCATCAAGATTCTCCGAAGAGAGATCGCCATTGATGCTGCTAATGCTGGTGTGGCTGACTTGAAGAAGATCACGCCCGATGTGGTATGATGTCCTTGCTATTGTTGATTGTATGGGCTGATACTGACACTGACGTTTAGATTGACTGGGATACTCCTTATGGATACAGCGGTTAGTTTTTCAGGATTAGCAGTTTCCGGTCTCCATGTGCACTTTATGTCAAATCCATTTGAAAAGCTACCAAAATTAGTCAATAGAATTAAAAAGAGTTGAAATGGTACCTTACCATGTCTGATCTCCAACTGCCGTAGAACAAACGCTCTACGCCCTGATAGGAAGCCCTGTCTAATGCTTCGTCGTAGACATATTGTTCAGACCTTCTGAACCCAACTGATTCTATAATTAAATTTAATTATAAGTACCGAACGAGATCAGGCTACAAGCAAGAAACAATAATGGGAAAATTGGAATGCCAAACCCTTCAGGTCAGACCAGTTGGCCCAAGAGGACCAAACTGCCACGGTGCCTATCTGTTTATTTTCAGACCTAATACATTGTAACGGCAATGCTATCTAATTGAGGCGAGCTTCGTAGAAATATATTCGATCTCTTTCTACTGCGTGTGATATTGGGGATAGGCTACCATCACCGACTCTGATTGAAAGCTAAACCGAGTTTGCTTCACAAAACGACGACAAGACATGGAAAAAATCATTCTACGGAAGCTTCCAAATCATAGCTAAGTAAACTCAATTGATTCCACCAAACGAAAGTCAAGCTTGAACATCAATACTATTGAGCCATGAGAGGAGTCCCTCGTATCCTGCGCTTTTCGCTTCAGCCAGTGGCGTGTTGTCGGCCCACGGGGGAATGTAATTCACATCGGCTCCCTCTTGATGAAGAAACTTTGCTGCAAGAAGTTGGCCGCCATGGCAAGCGTTCCAGAATGCCATGTTTACCGTTTCCTGCTGCGGTCCAGGTTGTGCTACAAATTCCTTCTCGAGATGATCCATGAGCCCCAAGGTGGCAGCATCCTGTAGATCAACATGAGCACCACGCTCCACGAGCCTTCTAGCAGTATTCAATTGAAGAAAGGCCCTCGCATCGGCTAATGGTGTTCCATCGCCAATCACTCCACCCTCGGCCTCAATGTTTGCACCAAGATCAAGCAGCATGTCGAGGGCTAACACATCATCATTGCTCGCCGCCCAATGTAGAGGCGTCTCGGTATGCTTGCCAACGAATGTTGCGTTAACATCCCCGCCAGCGTCCACGAGTATTTTGATAATCTTGGGCCCATTGGGGGTTTGGCCGGGCCAGTCTGTCGCGATGTGCAATAAAGAGCGTGCTTCGGTGGCGTCGCCGATGCGGATCGTTGCCAGACCTGGCTGCCCGTCGAGCAGCTCCTGTAGGGTATCTGAGTCTCCTTGTTTAATGGCGGCTTGCACTTTGATGGCCACCGGAGTCTTTGGATCGAGGAATTTAATGTCGGACATCATTGCGGCCAACGAGCAGGAGATGCGGGGAACCGTGAAGAGGGAGAGTTCGTATTCTGGGTGACCTAGTTCTAGGCATCGGATGTGCTGATGACGTACTTCAACCTGGACCGTGAATTTTGATGCAACAGATTGCCAGCCAACCAAACCAGCAATTCATGGGACAGCAAGATATATTGCATCACTTGAATGACCCAACTGTTAGATTTGCATCTGGTCAATCAATTAATCATTTACTTGGTAGTAATATTCCCTGCATCCCCCAATGAACTGGCATAGGTAGGTAACACAAGACGATGGCTGGTCCGCAAAATGAACTCAATATTAACTGACAATGAAATAAATACATGTATTAAATGACAATCATCGATAAATTCGGTTGATCAGTGAGTTCAGCTCTAGCGTCGCCTTGTAATGCCACACGGTACACTCAATAGATACTTACGTACCCCACTGGTATCAATATCCCATAAGACGCCCGTGATGTTGAGCTTGGTATCAAAGTCTTAAATAATGTGCAGGATGCCCCTTTGATAACACAGCTTGACTGCCTAGTTGGAACTAGGAAGGAAGGGTTAACACGGGGTAATATGTCCGTGACCCTGTGGAACTAGTTAGCTCAACCCCTTCATCATACGAGACGAACGACCATGAAAATCGTCCAAGAAGTTGCTGATTTGTTCAGCATGAAGCTATTCGTTGAATAAGTTTATTATATGATCGTCAAGATCCTTTTCTACGCATTTTGTCATTCCATATGTCAGCCAGCCCTCGGCGGATAAGAATAGGGGGTTGAGCCAACAACCGGTTCTCTAACAACCCCCTGCCATGCGAGATTGTTCCGAGTGGTTTCGTGAACCAAAGGTCCACAAATTGTGGACTGGGCTCGGTGGCGAGATCTTCAAAATAGCAACCGGTCCTTCCTTCTCTCCTGTCTTGTTTACTTACTTCTTGATCTGTTACGAGGACGCGCAGGCGGCGGCGAAGTTTCTTTCTCTCACCTTGCGCTTCCATCCCCCATTTACGGTTTACGAAATGACGAGGAAGGGGATATGACAAGTCAGTAGCTCCCAGATGCCATGCTACATTAAATCTGGCATGCATGAGATCTAGAGGCAATGCACTGAAGACCGACGGGCGATCTCTACCAAAAGCCGGGGGACTGGATCTCCCTTTCAACGTCGCTCGTTTAATCCGATTAATCACTAATCACACCCATTCTTTTTCGGGCCTCGAGAAGCGGCCATATCATCCATCGTTTCAAAAGGGGCCCATTTGTCGCAATGGGATGCACTAATTCCACCCCAAGGAAAGGTCCAGGCCCGAAGCCAGTCAAAGTGAGAGTGCAAGACACATCCACCAAACCAGCACCAGCGCCAAAACCACCACCATTAACGTCAATACCCGAAGACGAAGTAGAATGGGAGGCAAACCCATCATGGCCCCAAATTATCCAGAGAGAATGGGACGCAGCCGTCGCATCCGGGAAAGAAGCCGAGTTTAAAAGCGCATTCCAAGATGACGCCTTTGTCCGCGTACGCAGGTGGCTTGATGAGGAACACCCTGCCTGTGCGAGCGCAGGCACGATCGAAGACATGGGCAAGTTCGAGTTTCCCACTAGCCATGGCCCGTGCCAGCTCCCCACGAGATATTTTGTGACATTGGATGACGATCAGACCGGATTACTGTACTCTCTCGCACTGGTCATAGCTCCACCTCTAAAGGAAGAGGCTGACCAGAAGTTATGGTTGACATCTGGCAACGCTCTCAATACACCGGAGATGAAAGGCGGCCAGCAAGCGATCCTTAGATTGCTATCTTTGATGCAAAAGGGCGATGTCAACGTTAAACATGCCTTGGTCCACATCTTCATGGGATCCGATATGGTCACCTGCAAGTTTGATGCTATGATGACAGAGCCCACGATTACGATGCTATCTGACAGCCCAAGCAGTGAATTCAAAGAATCCAACGACGAGCTTGCAGAGAACGCCCTGGAGGATGGAGAAGAGGCAAGGGGAATATTTCAGCCGCTCATGCTTCGAACCGTCGTACAGCGAGTTTCACTCGAATATCCCAACGGGACGGTCTGGGACGAAGGAGAATTCTCGTTTTCCGTTGGAGAGGAGCCGTACCTTCACCCAACCAGACTTATCGTTGTACGAGACCCGAACAAGATGCACAAGACTACTAATTCCGCGGCTTTCAAAATGTTTATCCCGGGCGATGACTTCGAGAAGGAGTTAACGTTAATGAGGAATTTGAGTCCCCATCCTGAGTTGGGAGGAATTGTTTCCATCACGTTGGTCGTCGGGCTTGCCCCAAACACCCTCTGGCCAAAGTGCGGCGCATTCATCGACGGCGCCGTTTTCAAGGCTGCAGATGCTGCGTTGATCGAATATGCCAAAAATATCTATAGCACGGGCCAAAGCTTTACATTTAAAGCAGCCGTTGCTATGGGGGCTGATCGGAAGGTATATAAAGTTGTTGGGAACAGCCCAGACTTTCCATACAAATCAAAACAGGTCAAGGATCAGGCAAAACCCGTGGCTTCACCAGGACAATCCTCTGAGGAAGAAAAGAGGCAATACACCAGCCTCGAAGTGTTTTCCGTTTCCATCGAGGAGATCAAGGGAGAGATACCGAAGGAGACCAGTGACCGAAGACAAGCGGGGACAAACAAAGACACCAGTGCAAATCCAAGTCTCGCGGAGCCAGCGAAGCCTGCTATCAAAGACAAGCTGTCCGATAATGATCTTCCACAAACAGCACAATCCACGCAGATTCTCGTCGCTTGATGAGGTTTTGGAGTCAGTTGGGGTGATAATGATTTGCAACAAAGATCAAGCAGGTTTGGGGGGTTATCTTCGTCCGGTCAATCTATGATTCTGATAATCAAAGAGCTATCTTTGACATGATTATGACGAGAGGGGCTTCCGCATTGTATATTTCCGCAGCGGGCGGCAAAACTTCATTTCACTGCATGGACCGGTTGGCTTTGAGCGCACATAGACTGAGAATGATTGATGCTCGCAGGTTGACATGAGCATAGGCCATAATATTATGTTCTGTATTTTAGTTTTGATTTGATAGCTTTTTTAATGATGAATTCCAGCGACAGAAGCGGTCTGCTTATACGCCCTTGAACCATTTAAGTTCTAGAAGTCATTCATACCTGGCGCTCCGAACGTGTGAAGAAATATTAATGTTTCCTGCTGGACAAGTCGCTAAGTTTACGGTGATTCATCGAGATAGCTTTCTTTTCAAAGCTCCATTTTCTTATTTTGCATGTTGTTACGATGAGATAAAGCACCTTCTCCATTCCATATACGGCGCAAAGATGGGGGAAAGACAGAGAATGATACCGACGCTAATTAGTGAGGTTATCTGAGAGGATGGGAACCTAAGTTGCCATAGGAGCCACACTTCCATCACTTGCCCATTAACATGCGTTAGTTCGCCGTTAGAGGGAGCTGTCTAAGAGTTACCAAGCTGACTAGTGTCAGCAAAGGATCAAGTGGGCAAGAGAAGGAATGGTAGATCTAGAGAAGTCGCTTAATGCCTAGTGTCTGAATCAATCCGTATTTATCCTAATTCGAATGGATGGAGTGTGCAAGGGTCTAGTGGTGAGCAGAGGCCACCCAATGTGATGATGAAAGTGGCACCAAGAACCCCCAAAAAATCAGGAATTGGTAACATAATGAACACGAAATGTAATAAGTCATCCATGCCCTGATTTCGATTTGAGTTAATTGATTTGGCAATCCATCGCAAGGTGTGATTTGGCTTATTTTGGCCGGTTTGATAGGCTGGGTTATTGGAGCTGCTGCTTACAACATGTTCAGGTCAGCTTTGTCATGTAAACTAAACAGCCGTGGATGATTAATCCCACTGATGGTATTGGCTGGAGCCTTCCGCCGCACATATGACGCTATTTAGGATTCATTCCTTCTGACCAAATAGGATCACTGTCACAGATGCCTTGCTACCCTCCAACTGAAATGGTGTAAATTTACTCGGCTAGTTCAAGCCAGCGGCCGGCACTCGGCATCTTTATGCCCTTGCGAATCTGCTCTAGTGGATAAGGCGTTATATAAACCTTCAGTCTCACACTTCTTCCGTTCCAAGCCAGGACTCGCTCGATCTCTTTGGCGATAGAGCAAACTCCCGTTTCATTGTGACTGAGATTTCGAGCGTCAATACCACCATTTTACAGAATACAGAAGCGGTGCCTTGACCATGCCTCTCTCGGACAATAAGAAGATCGTGGAGAACAGCGAAGAGTTGATCGTGACTCTTCGTAAGATTTTTGGCAAAAATCCTGGAGTCAGACCTGGTAAGGTCCAATATTGAGGAATATATGAATGGCTATGCACATATGCTAACACTTGGTAAATAGCGCATGCCAAAGGGCTGCTCTTGGAGGGAACATTCACACCGACCGCGGAGGCTTCGTCACTCTCCTCAGCACCTCATTTCAAGCGTGCCTCAACGCCAGTTGTAGCCCGGTTCTCCAATGCCAGCGGGTTTCCACAGTTGCCCGACACTGATAAAAATTCGATCGCGAGTGGGTTCGCGATCCGATTTCAACTGGAGGAAACTCCCCGACGCGTGCACACGGACATTATCACAGTCGCCAGCCCATTTTTCCCAGTGAAGAATGCCGAAGAGGCCCTTGGGTTCTTTGGGGGTGTCGCCGATGGGACGGTGGAGCAGTTCGTCGCCACGCATCCTGCGGCAGCAAGGGCCGTCACGGCTCCCAAGAAGTTCCCCGTCAGTCTGGCTACCCAGAAATACTTTGGTATCCATGCATTCAAGTTTGTCAATGCGGAATCGGCGGAGACGTACATCCGCTACCGTTTTGTGCCTAAGGCGGGCGAGAAGCATCTGGAAGATGAGGATGTCAAGACAAAGCCCGACGGTTATCTCTTCGACGCATTGCCAGGGATCGTGGAGACTGGCTCTATTGAATTTGACATCGTAGCCCAAATTGCCGAACAAGGCGACGTCACAGATGATGCCACCGCTATATGGCCGGAGGATCGTAAGATCGTTAAGCTAGGCACCGTCTCCCTGAATAAGATCAAGGAGAACAATGAGGCCGAACAGAAACATATCATCTTTGACCCCGTGCCGAGAGTCGACGGAATCGAACCATCGAACGATCCTTTGATCGATCTTCGGGCTACGATATATCTTCTTAGCGGCAAGGACCGCCGGGCTGCTTAGCTTAGAAGTCCAAAGCTGCTTGGTTAGGAAGTTATACTGTACTAGTCTGATACCTAACTCTTTTCTTTTGTTCCATAAGTCTTATTGCAACAGCAGTTGTTGCATTTAGCCATGTTATCGTGCGATTTGCCGTGTGAAGGCCATCTTGGGCATCTTCAACCTGGCTTAGGCGCCAAACAGATCAGCCTGCAAGAACAAGATAACTTCCAAAATATCAATTCTCAATTCCGACATTGGTATCATAAATGCTGTGGGTCCTTCCTGTCGCTGCTTCTGCTGCGGATTCGTAAGCGACGGTCTTATCCTGGGAAGCTATTCGTATCACAATACAATCACTACCCCTGGGCTGGAGAATGGATTAGGGCAGTCATTGAGGAAAGCTTGGACGTTAGGAATCTTTTCTAGACTAGAGAATGGTCGGAACAGCCGTGTTTCTTGCTTGTCGAGGCTCTCGAGGTTTGTAAATTACATCTTAGCACAAGTTGAACTGAGATTGACACCTAACTTTGTCACCAAATGTCTCTGATCTTCTCGACACATATACCGCTCATTAGGACCCAACTAGGCAATATCTTACTTAGAGGGAGATAGTCCCAGTTCACGGGGTAAATGCTACACTGTTTAGAGATTACTGTCATTCTCCCTGCCAACCCAAAAATGAGAATCATCAGATAAAGGTAGCAATAGCAGTGAGAAACGGGGCAACCCAGATGCAACCCAACGGGCTATAGGCTCTTGCTTTGAAATAAGGGCGTCCTGCAAATAAGCCAATCGCGAGTGTGGACAACACGATGAGCTTCTCCTCCGCTGTTCGAGCGCCCCCTCGTTTTGCCCAGTGATAGTTCAGAAGACCTTTAAGGCCAGCATATTAGATAAATCCGGTAAGCGACGCAGGATTTGATCGGAAACTTGGTGGGCAGAGAAGGGGCAACACGGGCGTACCAAGAGTAGCCAAGAGGCCATAGAACGACGCCCAGGAGACTCTAGTACCCGCTCTTCCGACCGAGTACTCTTCCTCTGGAGGAATCCGGTCCACTGCCTTGTCAACATGCTCCACCCCAAAGGCCCAATGGCCTGGGATTGAGATGGTGTGCAAAGCTGTTGCAGCGTAGTATAGAGCGGGTACTGGCATCTTGATTGAATTGATGAAGTAACTAGAGCTCGGAGGAAGTGCCTAACTGAGCACACTTGGGATCAAGGCGAGCAAGCACGGTCGTATGTTGCCTTGTGGAGTGCATTGTAAAGCGGGGAAATGCCTCGAGGCTGAGGTCAGATGCGAGATGCATGCAAACCGAGACAATGTGGTTGCATGACTAAGGTACGCACCACGTCCCGAACAGTCCTAAGAAAACCAAACCAAAAGACCCTGAGTGAACTATTAACTTCTTTTTTTTCTGCCCTACCATGGAATGCCCCTGTCCTTCCTAGCCTTATAGGACTATGCGACTTCGGCTATGCATCTGTGTATTGTTCCTAGGGGTATATCGCACTCCCCAGGATCCAATACCCTGGCTGATAACTTCCGTGCGACGTTTCTTCACCGCTAACAGTGAGAAGTTTTATTGATTCAAAGTATGTGACTCGTCCGCCTAGGCGTTGAAAAGTCGGCTTTTCTGAAAGAAGCTGTGTTCAGTGTGCGTTACATTGCGCCGCTGATGTTACATCGTTAGGCTGGGTAAGACAGGTGAGGACTTGGCAACGAGGCATCTTTGCCATGGAACGCTATAACATGACTCCACCTGCAGGTTGGCATTCACGTCCCGACCCCCCAATGGCCAGCTCGGTCAAGTTATCCAGCATTAGATCTCCTGCTTTCGTCCAAAGTCCACAGATGTGGCCGGCCTGGCAATACGCAGATTGGAATACGTTAAGACTCTCCATCGTTCCTCTCGCCGTCATATCTACTCTGAGGATAGTCCTATGACAGAATGCAACATTGGGCTGCATAGAAGGCTAAGAAGCTTACGTCGCAGACGTGTTACGAGGTGTATAATACAATTCATCGGAGTACTGGAACTTCAGTTGGTCAATTAAGCCCAAGAAGGGATAATATTGGCTTACGGTGAGGGGCGAGTTCCATCAACAATGCCAAGCGAGGCTCCGTTCTTTGACCTAGTCTTCGCCTATAGACATTAGTTGGCGGGACATTCATGCAGGGGCTTCCACTACACAAATGCCATTAAGCTAAAGAAGCAAGAAGTTGCTTGGGTAAAAGCATCACTGCAACCCCAAGCGGATCAAGTATAAATACAGCAAAGTATCCCTCGTCTTGTTCAATACTTATCTCGACTCAGGCGTGATCTGACAGTCAACTTCAAACCCATCTTCAACTCACCAAATTTAAAACCGTCAACTACTCTGAAAGAAAAATCCAATATGCAGTTCATTACTATCCTCGCCTCGATTGCCACATTTTCTTTGGTGTCCGCTACACCAGTCCCCGACCCTGTGGCTGAAGCCGCGCCTGCACCCCAGATCTCCAGCATCAATTGCTCTCCAGGGACGTATACCTGCGGAGGATCATCGATCTACGTCTGCAACGCTTCGCGCCAATGGCAGCTCTCTGCAATTTGCAACTCTGGCTGCTGCACCCAGAGTGGAAGTGCTGCCTATTGTCGCTGCTAAGCAGCCGCCAAGCGGCAATTTAAAAAAGGGACACTGAAAGGTCTTGAATTCGAATCCGAAGCGGAATTGGGGGAGGTATACTTGAGAAAAGGATCTTCAAATCTTACGCTGGAATTTGCTATAACACGACCCAGCGCTGGAATTTGCTATAACACGACCCAGCGGCGTTATCCAGCTATATAGCTTCAAATCCTGGATCACAGTTCCCGCACTTGATTGCCTAAAAAAAAGTGATGCCTGAGCCTTAATTTTCTCTCTGATATTGTCCAAACTTCACTGGATGCTTTTGGTAAGTGATAGAAAGTGAGCAGTTCATCTCGAAAATCACATCATGTAGGAAATACGAAAGTCAAGAACTGTTGGCCGCAAGAAAGTTGTCTGGCCTCATACTAAGCCTAAGTCCATGTTCGCAGGCAAGCTATCAACTTACAGACGGTCTTCCGTAGCATGTCATATTAGTGTAGCTACGTGATTTGATTACAAGAAACGGCACAGATGACAGCAAGAACATAAGTGGCAGAATTGATAGTTCAAACGGATATTTATCAAAGGGAGAACTCCTAAACTCAACCGCCATGGGATCTAGACACCATTGAAAACGATTCTGCAATCAAGACGCATATTTAACATTTTAAAGATAAGTTTAAACCTCAGTTCCAAGTAATCTCTACCCATACGCTTAAATATCAAGAATCGCTCTCCGTCTATTATCCTTTGCGTTCTTTGTTACTGAAATGTCCGGAGCCATCATCTCGAAAATATGTGGCACGCCGCGATAGAGGTGGAGTTCCACATCCACATCTGCTTTAGCCAACCTGGCAGCAAATTCCAGCGTCTCGTCTCGGAACCAATCTAACCCGCCGACTTCGAGATAGGCGGGTGGGAGACCAGACAAGTCGGTCGAACGAGCTGGCGCGGCGTAGACAGAAACATCCTGAAGCTCGGGCTCGGCTCTCCCTACTTTTGCGCCGAGGTAAGCCGACCAGCAAATATCCAACAGGTCCACCATTCCGCTGAGCGACTGATCTCTGGGGCTGTTCGTATTGAAGTGTCTCTTTGAGGAGCGATCATCCAGCATTGGGTAGACCATCAGCTGCTTGGCGATGGGCGGCGAGAGATTCCGGTCCTTCGCTAGCAGGGCTAAGCCGGCGACAAGGCCTCCTCCGGCGCTCTCTCCAAACACCCCGATGCGCTTCGGGTCAATCTTGAGGGTCTCGGCATTTTCCATGACCCATTTCAGGCCAGCGAAACAATCCTCGATGGGGACGGGATGAGGATATTCGGGCGCATATCGAAATTCAACGCCAAAGGTGCGAATGCTAAAATCCCAAGCGAACTGGGCCATTCCAGGGCGAATGATGTTCTCAATCGGGCAGCTCAGATAGCCTCCACCATGGAGATAGACGATGGCCGGTGAAGGCTCTGTGAGTTCAGGAAGGTCTGTTCGGGCAAACTCGTGGATTGTGATCTCTACTCCATCAAATGATTTGATCTGGTATTTTGTCTCCTTGACAGAGTCCAAAATAGGCAGAAATTTGGCTATCGCACCGGCCACGGCTGATTCCAGTCTTTGACGAGCAGCTTGGAATTCTGGATTGATGGGCGTATTGGCACGATCAGCACCCGGAACAATAGCAGATGGTGCGGTTGGAGCAATCGGGGGATGAGCCGCTAGGTAAGCAGCAAACTCAGGGTCAGTTCTCATGTTACCAGCCATGTTGATTAACTTGGAACAAATAGCAGACGAAACGGGTAGTGTTCAGATTGGTGATGGACAACATGACTGCTAGAAGCGTTGTTGTTCAAACTTACTTTATAGAGCCGAACAAGATGTTTATTCCCTGTAATTACTAGGCTCGGTCTGAGTCAGATACCTAATTCAAACATGAAACGAAGATCGTGATTCACGCTCCGCAGGCAAATTATCGTGGTGATGTGTGAAGTCCTGGTGGAGATCAGATGTGGAGTGCACGGTGTTAAGCCATCTCCGGCAAGGCCAGATAAAGCAAGCGAAGCGCGAGCTCGCGAAGATGATATTGGAAACGCGAAAGTATATGCCGAGAGCGCGAGACTGTGTAAGCAAGTATCTAGGCGAAATGCTTATGTTGAGATTATTTAGACTTTGAGGGTTCACGCATCGCAAAGCTAACACCATCTGGCCGGCTCAATATAAAGGAACATCAGGGAGGTCACATTGGGCAACTATGTTTGACTGTGACTACACATGATTCTTAAGAAAAAAATTAAATCGAAATACAATTAAATAAAACGTAGACAATGTTGGATGAACTGATAACCCAAGATTATGTCTGAGGTTTATTCGTTGCTGCAGATATAGGGTAGGCAAGCAGGGAAAGCGTTGTGGAACTATCGTCAAGGGTGGCTTTCAAAACAAAACCGCGTTGCGTTGGAACTCTTCATCTCTCGTCTGTTCTTGTGAAGCGATTTGTGATAACCAAACGGCTTGCACCATTATCGAATGTGATTCTGGATTGATATAATGTCCAATCCCCCCCCGGAATCAAGCCCGCTTACTGGTTCGTATTATGAGACAATGTGAGATTCCAACGCGCGTTCTCTCTTGCGCCCCGAATCTCTGTAGGGTGTGTGAAAACTGGCCTACGCGCGTCGGCCTCCCTGGGGAATCGGGGGATTCACCTAATGTTTCCACGAGATTCATGATCCAGCCACCAGTCCATTTATCCACTTAACTTCCTTTTGAGTTCTTCAGTAACTACGAGCAGACTTCTCCAGCGGACGCTAGCTACCTGCACGATCGTCAGATATTCCCAGTGTCCATCATCCGCGCCGCCTGCGTGAATAACGTATCGATGCGGAGAAGAGTAGGGCGGAGCAGGGAAATCGCATCCTCGTTGTCCGCCAATTCTCTCCAGATCTTCAGCGCGGACTGGGTGCTTTCAAGCAGGCGGAAGGTCGCCTGCACCTGATCGGGCGTGGGGGCCATGAGAAACAAGGATACGATGAAATTGCCACACAAAACAAGCTGAGACCGGGCATCTGAGAATGAAGTGTTAGCCATGCTGAAACGGACAATGAAGGCTGCGAAGGCAACAAGACTCACGAGCTCCCCAGAAGCAGTTCAAAGAATGCGCGTCGATCTTCATGATAAACTCCAAAAATCGGTCGAATTCACCCAGCGCTTTGCTAAAATACCGTCGGAGAGATGAGTTGGGGTCCGCCTTGGAGGTTACGTTTATCGGCCACATGAGGGCCCGGAAGAGAAGTGCCTTGACTGCAAAGTATGAAAGGTGTAACGGGCCTATCGACTGGTCAATCACAAAGTTCAAGCTACACACCACATCGGAATTGTGAATCTTTGGCTGACCATTTGTACTGAAGTCCCGGGGGTTCGAGGAAGATGCGCTGCCGACACAGCTTGCACGCAGCAGCATCCAGCTTTCCAGTTGTGCGTCAATCTCGAGGAGCTTTGATTCGCCCGCCGAAGGGTTGCTAAGATTTCGTTTATATGCTTCATCAGAGCTACTTAGAGTCACGTCAATAAACTATTTCATCTTTTGTCCGGTAACTTGGACAAGGCTTACTAAAAAGAATGAAGCAGCTCGTGGAGGATTCGGCTGAGCTTTACCGATTCGACAAACCGGGCACGCGCTGTCACATTTGCAGAAACATCGCGGGGGCCTAGAAATTGTTGTTGCAAGTCCTCGTCAATCTCATCCTCCTCCGCTATCTCCTCGACATCGACTAGTGCGGTTGAAAAGGAGTCTTTGTTGATATGAGGAGCGTTTCCGTGGCATACACAACTCCATATATCGGTTATATATGAAGACCACCATAATTTCTTCCGCATGCGCTTCTCCCACGCTGCGATGTTCCAGTCCTTGGGGTCCCGGTGGAGTCCCAGCATTTGGGCGATGGCTGTAGACTGCGAGGAGAGGATCCATGTTCTTGGCGTCTCCATGGTGAAATTATCTCCAGGCCGCTCATGAATAAGAAGGAGCGAGGCTTGGAGTGTCCACTGATTGGGGAGGTGATATTCGATCTGGAGAGCAGAGTGGGCTTGTCGGAAGAGGCTATGTGAGCTCGGTGACGGGAGAAGCCTCAGTTCAGGATCACGATTCCACGACATGGCACCAAGACCGTAGATGACACCACGCAATGACGCTGGAACGGAAGTCGCCATCGCTGCGTAGGCGCGGAGGAAGTTTGCCTTACAAACCACGAGGTTCATGGGATGTACATGCTTGAAGTACAAGGATACGAGCAGAGGGCCCCTTTCGCCGACGAGCTCTTCAATTGTATTGGAAGCATTTTGTAGGAGAAGGCTATCTTGTGAAGGAAGGCTGTCGCGAACTAGGTTGAAGTGGACGGGTGGCTCGCCGCGGCTGAAGTCACCCGGGAAGACCTGCATGATGTCCCCATCTACAGTATGGTGTTCACTGACAATTATGGTTCGCATCGACGAAAGTAGATTGGAATCTTGCTCGCCGGAGAGTCCAATGTGAAAGCCCGTGCGTTGTTCGTCATCGAGGGCTGCTAGTATTGGCTTTACTGTTGTATGATGGGTCCTGGGTTTGAATGCCTCAGCCGGCGAGAGGGACTGCCCACTATGAAATGTTGAGTTCTCATTGTTGCTTGAAATCTGAGAGGGAGAGATCACGGCATTAAAGGGACTGGTAGCAAAGTCGGAGCAAATGTTCAGGTTGGGTTCGTGCTGAGCCACTGGGACTGGGCAATTATGGTCCTCATCAGGGAGTGGGCATGGGTGGTCCAAAGATTCTTCCTCTTCTTCCTCCTCCTCGTCAGACGAGTGCCTGGATATTGGACTACACCTCGCCGCGGAGCTGTCAGCCCTAGGCAAGTCGCAGGCTTGGTTCTGGCTGCGCGTCCGCCGCCGACTCCGTAGAACAGGATGTCTTGAGCTGGATTCGCATGGGAGATCTCTTGTTTTGCAAAACAGACCTGAAATGGTTAGTCGAGTGAGCAGAGAGGGAGAAGCCAGGAACCATGTACTGACAGGGAGGTGCGGATTCGATAATGCAAGCTGTCTTGCGCCGCCTGCATGCATCACAGGGCCGGCTTTTACGACTCCGCCATGCCCTCGCGCCGCCGAATTGAGATCGGACTCTGAAGGCTGGTCCGTGGTCTGGCGGCGAGTCACCTTCTTGCACGGACTGAGAGGACATGCTCTGCCGATGCGAAATCGGCTCTGGACGACGGAATGGACGCTGTGGTAGCCTGCCACCTGTTCGCTTCGAGATGATTGGGGTTCGTCTGGGTTGGCAATGGAATGACAAGCTGAGTCCCTGATAAAGAAAGACGACTGGGGGAATTTGAGGAGAGATAAGCACTGAACAAACCCCGCACTAACGCCCGCTGAGAGCAGCCTAACTTAGCCGGCCAGATGATGTCGATAGTCCACAGCGTCTTAGGTTGAAGCATGGAAAATGATTGGCGTCTATACGTTGTACATCGGCCAGGTGTCATGGTTCATGAAGAGTCTAGATTTGTATGCTCATCATCTTGAGGTGATGGGCTGGGTTTCTTGCCTTTTGCCATACTCCTGAGGAATCACATGCAAGGGCGGATACCTCCATACGACTTATACCAACACAAAACATACCCATCGGGTTATCGAGAAATTGCAGAACCTACGAGATTACTTTAACGATCTCAATTCAAAATCTATTCTGAAAAGGCATCGATGACACTGCGTGACTGTCTATAAACTCCAATCGACTTGTGCTCAATGTGTCCGAACCCCATAGATCCTGGGCCACCAAGTTCCATCCCCCGTTGTGACCCAGTCCATCTTGGAGATGCTGCCATGGCCATGACAATTACTCGCAAGCCATACTTGTACTCGGGCGTCCCTAACCCAGCGCCCGTCTCGGCGTCGATAACCGCAATCAGGTCGGGCACAGAGGCGAGAATCGTGGAGCTACCTCCGTCTAACCCAGAAGCCTCAACGTATGCATTCTCGTTCTTGAACGGAATTTTGATGATGGCCTTCGTTCCATCGCTAAGTTTACCATCGACCTCGAGCACGCCGTACGTGTGCCCAGTCTTTAAAACACGCTCGACATTAATAATCTTGCCTTCTGCCAGCACTGCCGCACTTTGTGGCCCTCCAACAGCGTCAATGATCGACCGAGTCCTGTCAGTGATGCTCTTCTCTGTCGCAATAGCACGGCCAATCCACCAGGCTAGTGAAACGGTGCCTGATATCGCCTGATCTTGGACCACCTTGGCAGTCTTCGGTGGTCCGGCGTTGCCTGCACGACATCCCATAACCACACAAGCGGCACGCAGAGTCTTGTCGACCATCTGGTCGGTACGGGTATCTGTCATTGTAACCATTGTCCCATCACCGCTCGCAATCGCAGTAGGGACCAAAGCTTCTCCTTTGGGTGTACCAAACACATTGGCTGTCACTTGGTACATGGTCGGATAGGCGCGGCCCATCCAGTCGGCGTCGACGCACGGCACGTTTTTCTGCGCAGCAACCCCAAGATTGACAACACCATTGCCACCCCCGATCTCTGCTGCCATGAATGCCGAAACAGGGCGGCTGCCAGTGGCCCTCATGAGCTCTTCATGAGCCTGAAGGCACTCGTTGTTTTCCAGCCGTTCCATGCTGACCTCTGGGCTGCCGATGCAAGCAGTCCAGCCGACCAAGGCGTCATCTGCAAGCTGAGAGGCCGACACTACTCTGATGGAACCGGGAGAATCCTTGAGGATGGCCTGCGCCTTGAGGCATTCCTGGTATGGATCTCCTCCACCGCCGCAGCCGAGTACCTTGCAGCCTGCAGCGATATATTCCAGGTCAGTAGAGGAAACGATCCATTGACCGTCTTTGACGAGCGGGCGATATGAGCTTGGGTCAGCTCGCGTAGAAGTTTCGACATCAACTGCGTCAGGAGTGTTCCCAACCGCTTGGCCGTTTTCTTGGATATCGGAGATTTCGAAGGGGATTTCATCAGCGCTTTCATCATTCGTGGTCGAAGCCACCACGGTGTCCAGCTCTCCGATCGCTCGCGTAACAATACGGGCTTTGGAGTCTGCATACTGGATAGGTAGGATGCTGACTTCGGCAACTTCCACCGTCCCTTCTTGTGCGCCCTGCACGACGACCTTCTCAATTGCCAGGGCACTGACCTTCTCTTGAGCCTGTTTCACGGTTTGGTTCGAGGTGTCGACAACAGTGTCGACAACTGCAGAAACCCGGGAGATTGCTGCCCCGACGGCATTTGCGACCTCGCCCCCGTTGACGGTCCGTATCGCTCGCACGCCGCTGAAAGACTGACTGGCATCGATGATAAGGGAACCACCGCCGACTATTAGGACGTCGACAGGGCCCTTTTGTATTTTTGTCCTGTCGATGAGCTCTTCCAACATTCGCCGTGCCGTATCCCTGGCCTTTTGAATAAGATCCTCACTGATATCAGATAGACGAGCTGGGTCGCCCCCGACACTCGCAAATGGATTGATCTCTCTGTCGGCAGCTACTGCCACGTCTGAGGTAGTGAGAGTCTCGCCGCCGAACAATCGAGCCTTGGATAACAAGTCCAGGGCGACGCTGTCTGGTCCAATGGTAACATCTCCGCCGTCCGTCTCTCGAACAACACTCCCTCCACCCAAACCAATACTCTCGACCGCGGGGAGCGCAAAATTTGTGCGCACTCCGCCGACGAAGCTGGTAAGGGAGCTCATCATAGGAAGGCCGTTAGCGAGTAAGAGCCCGCTGTCCGACGTAGTGCCGCCGATGTCGACAACGACCAGAGCATCCTCCCGCTTCGCGTCCGCGCCGCCTTCCTTCTGCATCGCGGCTCGCCAGAGGAACTCGCCTCCTCGGATGGAGTTTGTCGGCCCGGAGTTGAAGGTCCGGATCGGCAGGTCGACAGCTTCGATCGCTCTGAGGACACTACCATCGTTCTGTGTGAGGTACAGAGAACACGGCTCATTTTTGAAGATTTCTTTCACAGCCTTTTGGAAGCCGCGGATCGTCTTTTCTGCAAGAAACCGCAGCGTGGCGTTCAGGATTGCAGCGTTCTCCCGGGACAGGAAGCCAAGTTGCGAAATTTCATGTGACATTGTGATCCGGATTTTCGAACAATGACTCTTTGTTTGCTTTAGGATGCCCAACAGGATCTTCTTTGCTTGGATTTCCTGGGCGGCATTCATGGGCGCGTACATCCCAGAGAGAACAATATTAGAAGACTGTGCCTCGGCCAGTTGCTTAGCAACATCTCTGATCTCAGCTTCGTCTAGGGGACTGATTTCCTCCCCGGATATCTGATAGCCTCCATGACAGAAGAATGACCGGGATTCGATCTTTGCTCTCAAATCAGGGGGAAAATCAACGAATGGAGGCAAGTCGCGCCCGAACCCTTGCTTAGGTCCTCCGCATAATCTCACAACGCTCACGGGCTGGAGTGCGGCTGAGCGCTGTATCACAGCGTTGAGGAAATGTGTTGTTCCGATGATGACGCAGGCGATGGAGGATGGGTGGGCGCCGTATGAATCTATCACTGCCTGCACGGCGTTGGTGATGCCGGTGGTGATATCGGCAGTGGTAGGTGCTTTGTGGGACGTTAGGATTGACACGGGGTCAAGAGAGATCAGAACAGCATCAGTGTTGGTTCCTTGTATCAGATGTCAGCTGATGGTTCTTATACATTTGCTTCGTGTTTTGATCTCACCTCCGACGTCGACTCCGATGCGATACTTTGCTCGCTGGTCGGTTATCTTGGATGGAGACATGATTGGCCTCTGTTATCAAAATGGACATAAAAAAATCAAATGCAATAAGTATCGAAACAACGACAATATGAGGGGGGTTGAGGTGACCCCTGAGTATAGAGCATGGGATCTGACAAGGTAGTATGTTATATGTCTTGCTCACTTTTAGTCCAATGGCCCTCTACCAATGCATAACCGCCTATGCTGGCTTCTGTTCCTAGAGACGGCGAACTTCGAGACAGTAGCCAGAGGTTCCACCAGTCCTCGGCGTGCTGCCCAGATGTTTGGCTGTTCAATAGCCCGAAGCTACGTCAATAGGCCGATCTCGATTGGCTAAACCAATTGCGGCAGCTTTTCGTGATAACCATCGGCGTATCTCAGAGATGATGCCCTGCCCCATGGCAGTGGATCCTGCCGGTCATTTATTACTCGGCGAGGAGTTAGTTGGCTGAGTTATGGCTTCCGATGCGCCATGGATTGAGATAAGTGTGCGATTGGATCGGCCATAATGTAGGCCGACGCCTCGCTTGTCCCTCATTGTGACATTATGCGACATTGAACCTCGATTCTCACGATAGGCCGATGACATAGTAATACTAGATGACATAGTAATACTACGGATAGTCTTGGCGATACAACCCCAAGACACTTCTGATAGGCCGACGAGTAATCAGCGATGAGACTGGCCTTTCACAGCATTATTTACATGATGTGGCATGTGATCAAGTGCGAGAGCCGGCCGGGGCCGTCTTACAGCGTCGTGTCAGATTTGAATTCAGGCGGCTTTCTTTACTATAATAGTGCCCAACGCAGAAAGGCCGATTGGTGATATCAATTCCAGACGACCCTAATCAAAGTAATATCGATTTTCATCATCTAGTCAATCCCTGTCTCTGTCTACTGTGTTGAAGCTACTGCACATTGACCACGATGAGTTCCGAGAATCAGCAGCCCCTTACCATCCCTGTCATTGACTTCTCGCCTTTGCGGAATTCCAACTGCTCGCGTCAAGATTTTGCCAAGACTGGTGATGAGATCTACAAGGCCTTCAAAGACATCGGCTTCGCATACATCAAAAACCACGTGGTACCTCAGGAGGTAGTGGATGAAGCCTTTTCATGGGTATGTCGCTTCATCATGTAGCTTTGCTATATATATATTACTAAAATTATCACACCAGAGTAAAAAGTTCTTTGCGCTCCCCCAGAGCGAGAAGGATAAAGTTCCTCACCCCGCCGAGGGATGGTACCACCGAGGCTACTCTGGCATCGGCCGCGAGAAGGTGACCCAGATGGTCTTCGACGACGAGGGCATCGCCCTGGAGCGCAAGAAGCCCGACTTCAAGGAGTCGTACGAGATGGGCATCGAGGACAAGCAGGCGAAGCTGCAGAACATTTGGCCCGAGAAGGAGGTGATCCCGGGCTTCCGGGAGTTCTTTATCCGCTTCTTCGACGAATGCTACGAGATGGAGCTCAAGATCCTCCGCGCCATCGCTATCGGCATGGGGCTGGATGGCGACTTCTTCATCGACTATCACAGGAAGCGGAACAATCAGATCCGCTTGTTGCATTATCCCCCTGTTGAGGAGGAGCTGATGGCGACGGGCAAGGTGGACAGCATCGGCGCACACACGGACTTTGGGACCATCACTCTCCTCTTCCAGGATGAGGTTGGCGGTCTCGAGGTCGAGGACATTCATCAAAAGGGCACGTTCATCCGAGCCCCTTACATCCCAGGCACCATTGTGGTCAACATTGGTGATTTCCTCATGCGATGGAGCAACGATGAGCTGCGCTCGACCCTGCACCACGTACGCGCTCCGCCTGCCGAGGAGACAGAGGGGGGTAGGCCTCGGATGACGCGCGAAAGGTATTCAATTCCGTATTTTGTCAGTGCGGATAATGAGAAGACGATTGACTGTGTTCCCGGTTGCTGGGGACCCGATCGGCCAAAGAAGTACGAGCCAGTCAATTGCATGGAGTATTTGGAGATGCGCCTGAATGCGACATATTAGACGCCTTGAAATACCACAGGTATAGGGACTTTCCACGCGTGAAAATTCCACGTGCTGCACGTATGTATCATAGCAGATTGATGTAACTTGGACGTTTTGATGGCTTGGTTCAATGCAAACATGAGATACACAATGGCACTGAGCCCCGTGACTATGGAATATTCCCAATCAAATACAAGGGGAGCAACAAATCAACACGACTGTTTATCCATTTCAGGAGTCCAGAGTCCAGATTCAAGCGACTAAATCGGCTGACCACGCCGAGCCTAGCCGTCGCCAGCCAAGAAGCCAAACCCCGCTGCTGAGGAAGCTTTTACAGAGGCTAGCCGTCATCGGCCTTCTTTTCACAAGCTGTGCATTCGATCGAATAAAAGCTGAGTCACTGGTGGATATCACAGAATGCAATTTGGGGGGTAAAAGTGGGTGAGCGGAACACAACCGACGAAGGTGATTGATTGACGCTCTGCTAACAGGAACACTCCACACAAGCTATTTATTTATTATTTCTCGTCGATGAGAGTTGGTCGCAAGGCTCTCTCAAAGAAGTCAGAGCAATCTTTCAGCTGAGCACCTACAGGAAATATAGTAAGGCAATTATGGCTGATAAACAAACCATGAAGGCCGTCGTCTTTGACGGTCTTCGCAAAGTTTCCGTCCAGGATCGCCCAATTCCAAAAGGTTAGTAAAAATCCCTCCCCTCGACGTTCGCCACGCATCCCAGCCAACCGAGAACTAAAATTCTTAAAAGTGCGGAATAGTCACGAAATTGTCGTGAAAGTTTCGGCAACCGCGCTATGTGGCTCGTAAGCTCATCACTTCATGTTCCCAGCATGAAAATGTATCCATTGGCTCACTGATCTCCGTACAAAGCGATCTTCATGTCTATCGTGGCTTGGAGTCTTCTCAGCCAGGGTATGTGATGGGGCATGAGTTTACGGGCATTGTTGTCGAAGCGGGCGAGGATATCAAAAACATCCAACTTGGTGATCAGGTTGTTGTCCCATTCACGATTTCTTGGTAAGTCAACCAATTCCCGGCTTGTCTTGGACTTACGCTGATCAAAATACGCCCTTTCATTTAGCATGAAGTGCTTTTACTGTAAGCACGGGTGGACCTCACGATGTGAATCCTCTCTTCTTCTCGGAAGCCCCAATCTGGACGGCGCTCAGGCCGAATACGTCCTTGTGCCACATGCCGACGGCACGGCGATAAAAGCCCCAAGTGGCGTCCCCAAGGAGACACTCGTTCTCATGGCTGACATCTTCCCGACTGGTTTCTTCGGTGCAAAGAATGCATTCAAGCTGATGGACCAGATTGACCCTAAGGAAGCTACGGTCGTGGTCATGGGTTGCGGGCCTGTCGGTCTCTGCGCCATCATTTGTGCCCTTGAATATACCCCGAAGCAGATTATTGCCATTGATGGTGTTGACAGCCGTTTAGAAGTCGCCAAATCTCTTGGTGCCATACCTCTAAACTATACTAAAGAAGGCGTCAATCTGGCACAATTCGTTTTACAAGCAACCGAGGGCAGGGGGGCGGACGCAGTCATCGAAGTGGTGGGTGCGAAGCAAGCTCTCAGAACAGCATACGATATCATTCGGCCTTGGGGCGTGATTAGTAGCATTGGAGTTCATAACTCAGAGGTGGGCGATCAAAACTCCCACCAACTGCCATTACGGCATACTAACACCTAGTCACACAGGTTCCTTGGACCGCGACGGAAGCATATGAGTGAGTAGAAAATGCAAAGCCAGTTCCACGGTTGCTACATTTGCTAACAAGGCGGGATTTAGCAAAAACTTGAGAGTGCAAATGGGCAGATGTCCTGTCCGTGCAGTGTTCCCGGAAGCTCTCGAGGTCTTAGCCAAGAACCACCAGAAGCTCAGGTATGTGATCACTCAACGAACAGCGAGATGAATTTAGGGGTAAAAATGGACTGAAACTCGCTGACACCGCTGGCCAATACGACTAGCTTTATGTTTGACAAACTTATGCCTTTAACCCAGGCTGTTGAAGCATACGATCTCTTCGACAAGATGCAGGTCCAAAAGGTTATTTTCAAACCAAATGAGTGACGGATCTTGCGCACTCCAGTTTAGATGTTATCAAAGAACATTCGATCAATAAACCATAAACAACTTCGAAACCAAGATCATTATAAGATCTAGGCCTATCTATAAAAGCTATGAGCAGTTGTTTCCCTTCCTAAACATTCCTTTCAATGAAGTCTGATATGTATGAAGATGCAGAATCTACTCATCATCTCCAAAGAAGACCTTAATGGGCATCCAGTCATCCTGTACTACTTTGACACGAGTCAGGATCGCATCAATCTCAGCCACTTCAGCATCTGAAAGATCCCAGCCGTCGAGGTCAAAATTGGAGCTGATTCGTGAAGGAGTGACGCTCTTTGGAATCACGCTTGTACCTCTCTGAAGGCCCCATTTTAACCTTGAATCATCAATTAGCGTCTAAAATTAAGGGGGGGGGGGTTATTTTTCACTTACAAGATCTGAGCCGACGATTTGCCCTTTGCTTTGGCAATCTTCTCGACCACCAAATTATCGGACAGGTTGGTATGTTTGTTGATAGGTGAGCTTGAATTTCCACCGAGGCATGAGTATGCCGTACAGTGAATACCTTTGGACTTGCAATAGTCCAGCAGCTTTGGTCTAGTAGGGTAGTCTGATTTAGTAAATTGAAGGAGGGGGAAAAGCATGTTAGGAGATCCTCACGATGGGTTATATGGGTGCAACTGAAGAACAGAGTCAGACAGCGCACGTTCAGATGATATGGGGGATCTCTTGAATAATACTGTCTCACCTCGAGTTGATTGACAGCGGGCACAACCTTGCATGTCGGGTCATTTAGAAGTTTCTCAAGGTGTCTGATCTGGAAATTCGACACTCCAATATTCTTGACCTTGCCACTCTCCAGCATCTTTTGCATCTCTTGCCTGGGAGCCAATTTAGAACGTGATCAAACTTCAGCTCGCATTGCTAATCTTACCATGTTTTGACGTAATCCCAGTCCGGCAAGTGCTTCGAACTATCGTTGGGATCCGTGGAGCAAGGGAAGTGAATTAGGAACAGGTCTATGTAGTCGAGTCCCAGGTCTTTCAGGGAGGTTTCAAGACCCTCGAGAGCACGATGGTGCCAGGGGTTGTCCAACTTCGTTGTTACCCAGATGTCTTTCCGGGGGACTCCAGACATTCGAATCCCCTCTCCTACTTCTTTCTCGTTCTGGTAATTCAATGCTGTATCGATATGGCGATAGCCGTGCTGCAGGGCGTAGCTAACGGCATCTCGAGTCTGACTATCAGCCGACTGCCAGGTGCCAAGCCCAACAGCAGGAATCGAATTTCCATTGTTGAGCTTGAAAGTTGAGGTGGAGGGATTGTGAGAAGCCATCTTTCTGTTACCCCTAGCGGAAATGTCTGTACGATCTCAGATACAGTGATGACTAGGATAGATGCTGATGCAGCAGGGCCACTAGATAAGGGTTCCTATAAAGGCCTGGTGATTATAAGCACTAGATGAGGGTCTCTTAGATCGGCGTACTGGTCGACAACGATGTCGATGGAAATAAGCATCATTAGCCAAGATGCGACGCAATCTAGATCTCGCGACCCCTTCCCCGGACTTGCTTGGTCATGACTCGTCTGCCCTACCAGAAGATTGGGTTTCATTATCGGCCCTGCCCCGCGTCATGGGGCCCCACAGATTGTCTTCTCCTTCATGATCGGCCTAGATTTGAAGTTGATCGGGCTACTCACTGAGAGAGCCGAAGACCCCACAGCACATCTCATCTCCACCATCTCGCTTCGACAGAATTCCAGGCGACGGCTTGCATATGAACGCAGTACCTTCCCGTCCAATCTCGTGAGGATCAAAGACAAGCAGCAGGTTACGACTGAGTAGCGTCTCCATTCGGCGGACTCTGCAGTCAGCATCCTTTGTCTCCATCCATCAACTCTCATATGCACGAATTACTTGAGAAAATCCACAGCAGTATCCACATCGTCGTTTCGGTCCCATCAGCGACAGACCATGCCGTTCAATTGGGCAACCGCAAAGCGCAAGCTTGAGTGGTATGTCTCCTCCCAGGTCAATTGGACCCAGAACGGCTTGTTGACATTGACCTTGAGAATAGCCCTACGGATGAGGATGCAAACTATCGCAACACTCAGTGGTGTAATCGAGATCTCATCCCCATCCCCAAAGATCGCCAGACCTATGGTCAATGGTCCTATGTTGGTGAGTTCTTCACTCTCTTACAACACCAAAGACAAGTTCTGACTTAGATATTATAGGTTACTGGACTGTATCGGGATCATGTGTCTCAGCGTGGTCAACGGGAAGCACACTCCTGGAGTTTGGGCTTAGCCCACAGCAAGCCATCGGTGTCGTCGTACGTTTGAACACGAACTCTCTTGACCACACTGTCTCAAAATGCTGACTATTTCTCCAACCGAGTAGATCATGGGGGCTGTGATAACAGGTATTATTGCTGTCGCCTGTGGATGGATGGGAGCCCATCACCACATTGGCTTTACTGTTTCAAGCCGTTTCTCCTGGGGCATGAGAGGCTCGTATTGTGAGTGTTCGTTTACCTCGACAACACCGCGTCCTTACTAATCAAAATTTCCAGTTCCTGTCATCCTCCGAGTTTTTGTTTCATGTATCTGGTTCGGAATCCAAGCATTCTGGGGTGGACAGGCTACTCGCGTGTTGATTGGCGCCATCATTCCAGGTAGGCAAACATCTAGACCCCTACTCTGTTGCAGAACTAGGGTTTTTGCTAATTTATTATTCAAAGGCTTGGCTCACATGAAGAACTACTTTGCTGAAAGCTCTCATCTGGAGACGAAAGACTTCATCGGACTCGTCATCTGGATGTGCGGATTTGTCCCTTGCATCCTCATCAAACCTGAAAAGCTTCAAGTCCCATTCGTCGTGTGTTTTATTCTGTTCTGCGGAACTTGTGTTGGATTGCTGTCATGGTAGGTAGCGTCATTGTGTATGAAATAACACACGTGCCTTCATGTTGCTAATATCTTCTCCAGGAGCGTATCTCAGGCCCATGGAGTTGGCTCTACTTTCCACCAGCCCGCCTCTACACCCAACGTTGGATGGGCTTTTGCGTTTGGCATCACCTCTATCCTCGGCTCCTGGGGTGCAGGAACGCTAGGGCAATCTGACTGGACTCGCTATGCCAAGACGAAGCACGCTCCCATCATGTCGCAGCTCATCGCATCTCCCATGACGATTACCGTGACAGCAATCTTTGGAATTATCGTCACCAGCGCTTCGCGAGATATCCTTGGTGGTAAGATTATCTGGAGTCCAATTGCTCTTCTCGCGGAAATTCAGGATCACTACGACTCTAGCTCTGGAGTGAGAGCCGCCGTCTTCTTTGCGAGTCTTGGTTTGGTGGCTTCGCAGATGTCGGTGAGTTGGTTCAGTCTCTGTTCCAAATATGAAATGCTAAGTCAGTGCATAGATTTCAGTTGTGCTGAACTCCGTCTCTTGCGGAATGGACATGGCCGGATTGTGGCCGAAGTACATCAATATCCGCCGTGGTGGTTACATTATGGCCGTGATTGGCATTGCGGTTCAGTATGTTTTTGCATAAAACTACTGTTATCAATGAATCTTCTAACCGTTTTACTTAGGCCCTGGCAACTCCTGACAACGGGAACCAAGTTCCTGCAGGTCTTGAGTGGATTTGGTGTTTTCATGGCGCCGGCGACGTAAGTTGTTACTGGCCTTCAACTCTTATTGCTTCCACTGAACACATACTGACATTGCATCAGTGGAATTATGCTTGCAGACTATCTCGTAGTCCGACGACAGAAACTTAAGCTGGATGACCTCTACGTCGGGGATTCCTCATCAATCTATTGGTTCCAAAAAGGCGTCAACTGGCGTGCGTTTGCAGTGTTCCTCCTCGGCATGTGGCCATTCCTTCGTAAGTGAACACTGCAAGGTTCCACCGCAAGATCATTTGCTAACATGCGCACAGCGGGTCTAGTCGCTACGGTAAATGCTTACGAGGGGGGGCAATACGAGAATTGGAAGAGACTCTACAACCTCACATTTATCGTTGGTATGATATGGAGCTTTTTCTTATTCTGGGGAATCAGTGTGGTGTTTCCACTTCCGGGGCTAGGTCAAGACAGTCCGTTCACCGGCGATGATATCATCCTAGGAGTTGATCAAACTGATGCAGTGAGTGAGATCAACACAGAAAGAGAGAAAGTGAACGCTGAAGTCTCGGCCGCCCAGGAGTTCAAGTAAAACTACTCTCTTAGATGGCAATTACTTAGCGCCAGAAACTCTCAACATGCTCTCTATACGATGAGAACTGGTAGCCATTGGAGTTTGAACACTGAGCATAATAACCCATGCGGATGGTATCATGTTTTGTTGCAATTAAAATTTCTCGAAATCCTTGATACAAATTTATAGACCTAAAGCCTCTTGCATTGTTTAATCAGAGACTTCGATCTTCCTCTCAAAACCTAGACTGTTTCCTTCCGTTGCGAAACACGTCATGCCGAACTTCGAGCTCCCAATCTCCCCATTTCTTGTACTCGAGGACGCTGACAAGCTCGACTGAGAGCATGTCCCTTTCCTTGGTGAGAGCACGCACTGCCCGCGTGAGAGGATTGCGCCCGTCGTAACCTTGGTCTGGAAACCGGAGTGTTTTCAACTTGGTGCCCCAATCAGGATGCTCCCGCAACATCTGAAGGGCTGATCCATTCAGCCCCTTTTTTCCACACCCGCCATGTGTAGTAGTGAGCTCTACGTAAGAGATGTCGGGACAATGCCTAAATATAGCTTCAAGTGTGATGTCCGTGAGGCCTGAGGCTCCCTGAAGCTGCATGCAGCGAAGTTTGGGACATAACTTGACAAGACGAACCACAGCCTCGTCCGTGAGATCTGAAGCCGAATTCTTAGCACCATAACTCACATCACGGTAATCGAACGTAAAGTGCGTCAGATTACGACATATATGAGGCCCAACTGAGATCAGTTTGTTGATATGTTCACTGCTTTGATATTCAGCATGCAAACGAGGTCGGCTGTGTGCGATTCGTTGAGGAGAGGGGAACTTACTCCTGCAGGTTGAATCCAGAGCCAAATCCCACCATCTTTGTCTTCTTTCCAAGCCAATTTCGATGATATGTTTCCCACTCCCGATTGTCTCGAAAGTCCGCTTCTTTCCGCCCCTCATTCTGCGCCGTATTCATTAGTAGTGCCAAAGTCTCGCATGCCGCATCAGCCCCTTTGACTCTTGGCTCTGCCGGGGCCGCCGAACTTTCGCAAATTCTTCTAATGCTCTGGTTCCGTCTGTTGCTGAGGCTTCAAATCCTATATGGGCCTCATCTGCTCCTCCTCTAGTTGCTTGCGCTAGGGCCTCTACCGTCGATATGGTATCGCGTTGGGCCGCAACCGTTGCGCGCTCTGTTGGAATCCAATAAGACTCAATAGTCCTCTGGACTCCAGTCCTTTTTGGTTCAACAGGCTCGTGAGCTTTGAGCGGACTTGTAAGCGCCACTGCTGCTCCTCGTTTTTTACCCTGTGTCCGAATAGGCGGCATTTCTGCTAAAACTTGATGGTAATATGGTTGTTGTGGATGACTTAATGATGCTAAAATCTAGGTCAGCCTGCCCCGACAGCTAATCGATGCGGAGACGAATTCTCAGGGAGACTATGCAGTATTCTTGGCTGCACAACTATGCCCGTGACCCGCTCTAGCTGCCTTGCACAAAAAAATCGCTAGCCAATCTATAAGTCTCGGGTACAGTAGTAGGGTATGTAGAGGGAAGAATATACCTTATTTAGAATAAAATACGGGCAGATTGAGGTTGAGATGAAACACGGGAAAAGGGGGCAGCTTGTCAATGTCGTGTTGTTGACACTGGCGAAATGGGGCTAGCTCCGGATTAACACCCGGAGCGCGCTTTCAGCTGTCTCATCAAACTCAACTCGCATTTGGATCGCTATAGGTAGGCTCGATATATTAATGCCTGGACTTTTGTTGTTTATAACTAATTATGGAAGTACTGACTCACACTGACATTAATAGACTCATGCATATGCGTATTGTGTGACTTATAGGAAGCTTCTGGATTGGGCAGATGCTCTCAGCCTAGCTCGCCTGAAGTGCAACAGTGTTCCATGATGAAGCTAGCTACAGAAAATGAAGAAAAATGCTGACAAGTCTAGAATGGAACTTAATAAGAAAGGTTTGTGCTTGTGAAGCATAATATACCAAACGCAGCGCATTATAGGTTGCGTTGCTGGTACTTACACCTCCGAAATCAGATTCACCCTTTGGGTCGTTGGATATAGGGTAACCACAGGGGTCTAGTATGTGGATCACGTGGTCTGATTTGTGGGCAGGTGCGCAATGGTCATTGTCACGTCTCTCGTCGATGCTCTTGAATCGCCCTTGAGGAGTGGCGACTCTGGCCGGCAGAACGGACTTGGCCCTGCCCGCACAAACTTCTCATCCTTCAAAGGAGCGTAACGAATCATTATCGCTGCGCGGCCGAGAACAAACAATGGCTCACTACCTCCAAGGGAGCAAGACACGGAGCTCAGTCTTGTTGGTACCGCCCTTTGAACCCCGTGGTGCTCTTGGCTAGCACTAATAAACAACGTCCCATTGCAGGTCAGAAAATGATTGGCAGCCGCGAGCTTCCAATGCGAGACAGACTGATAGGGCATGGCGCGCGTTGGGTCTGCCGCGGTGTTCGGAGCTTGGCACAAGATTCCTCACCCCTGTTGCCTCCACAACTACCGCGGGGCCAAGCACGTTCGCCCTGGCGTTGAGATATGGACTGGGAATACCGCATTCGATGCCGTAATCTCAATAAATTGCATTTTTTTTTTTTTAATATAATATCCTGCTGAGAGTCCAGTACACTATTTTTTTTTTTTTTTTTTTTTTTTTTTTTTTTTTGAAGCACTATGTCCAGCTATCCCATCATGTGAGATCGATCCCCCCCCTCTACCCACCTTATTCAGCTGCAGACGACTAACATACTTCTGTCCCCTCCCATAGAATCGTCGACTGTCTTCAACTCTATGTTTCATGTTGAGATATCTTAAAACAAAAGTTTCCATTTAGTGAGGAAGTAGCCGCAACTCGGGAGGCGAATGACCGCGGTCCGGCTTGAGGACCCCCCTGATCCCGTCCATTTCGAAACTTCATTGCAGCAAATATGTCAGATGAAAAGCCCCCTAAGACGTCTAATGAGCCGATATTTGGCCAGGGACGCCTAGAAGATGATTTATTGCCCATTGCCAGACAGCTCACCGGGGCTTCCCAGTCCGTCAGTGCCGAATTGAAGGCCTATAATCCGCAGCCGGGCAGCCAACTCGACCCCAAATCACCGACGTTTGATGCCCGCTCATGGGTCAGAGCACTTATAAATCTGACTGAGTCTGATCCTGGCATGACCCCTCCACGGTTTCTCGGTGTCGCCTTTCGAAATTTGAGTACTTATGGTTGGACAAGCGGTACCGAGAGCCAGCCAACAGTGGCTATCATGATACTACGCACATTGGCAGTTGTGGGAAATATGCTTGGATTACATCAGAGGCGCAGAAGGGTTGATATCCTGCGAGATTTCGAGGGCATTGTCGAACAAGGAGAGCTTCTCCTGGTGCTTGGCCCTCCTGGATCTGGATGTTCAACGTTCTTGAAGACGCTGGCAACTGAGACTTCAGGATTCAAAGTCAGCCCTGACTCTTATCTAAACTACAGAGGCAAGTTTACTCTTCAGGCTGCGATGGCCTCTCCTACTACCTGTATCGTGGTCGATGTGCTAACCAATGGAACGTATCCGACAGGCATTGATTCTGCCCACATTAAAAAGAGCCTCCGCGCCGACGTCTTGTACAACGCCGAAGACGACGCACATCTAGCGCATCTTACAGTCGGAGAAACCCTCACCTTCGCTGCCCGATGTCGTTCCACCCGTCACGTCCCGCAGGGCGTCACAAGAGAGCAAGTCGACAGCACGCTACGCGATGTGATGATGGCAACCTTTGGCATTAGCCACACCTTCAACACTCGTGTCGGTGATGAATTTGTACGGGGTGTCAGTGGCGGTGAGAGGAAGCGTGTCAGTATAGCCGAAGCTGCTCTCACAGGAGCCAAGTTCCAGTGCTGGGACAACAGCACACGGGGTCTGGATAGTGCCAATGCTATCAACTTCTGTGAGAATTTGCGCTTGCAAGCGGATGTGATGGGTATCGCTGCTGCCGTTGCACTGTACCAAGCACCCCAGTCTGCTTATGAGGTATGGAAATGCTCCCACTAACAGCTAGCAGTGCTGGAGTTGTTAATTTGAATCTGGCAGCAATTTGACCGCGTTATCGTACTGTACGGAGGGCGGCAGATCTTCTTCGGTAAGATCTCAGAAGCTAAGGAATACTTTGAAAGACTAGGGTTCGATTGTATGTTCTCCTATCGCGCCGAAGTAGATATTTGGTGCTTTGAACTGACTAAGATGCTTTCGTTTAGGCCCCAATCGACAAACAACACCAGACTTCCTGACCTCCATGACAAGCCCAGGCGAGAGACACCCAAAGCCTGGGTTTGAAAACCGTGTCCCTCGAAGCCCCGACGAGTTTGCTGCTCGATGGCGCGATAGTGAGCACCGAAGGCGGCTGATAGACGAGCTCAACGCATACGAAAAAAACCACCCGTCTGAGGAACGGTTGGAAGAGTTCAACAACTCGAGGCGGGCGGAGCAGGCAAAGAGTCAGCGACTTCGGTCCCCTTACACCATCTCGTATTATCGGCAGGTGCAGTTGACGCTGTGGAGAGGATACGTACGCTTGAAAGCGGATCCGACATTCACAGTTGCCAATCTGCTTTTCAACACCATTGTCGCCTTGCTCCTTGGTAGCATGAATTTCGGCATGAAGGATGATACCTCGTCGCTGTACTACAGAGGATCGGTTGTGTTCTTTGCCATCTTGTTCAATGCCTTCGCCAGCCAGTTGGAGGTCAGCAGTCACATCTTTACGTGAATTTACAGCTTGGATGCTGATTTGAGTTTTACCCCTAGGTTTTGACCGTCTATGTCGAGCGACCCGTGGTTGAGAAGCATAACAAGTATGCCTTCTACCACCAATCAACCCAGGCGATTGCGAGCTATCTGACCGACCTTCCGTACAAAACTGTCAACATGTTCATCTTCAATGCGATCATCTACTTCCTCGCCCATCTGCGCCCCGGTGCTGGTCACTTCTTCTTCTTCTGCTTGACGACATTTTTGCTCACTCTTGTCATGTCGTCTCTGTATCGGTGGCTGGCAAACATCACAAGGACAGCATACCAGGCAATGGTACCCAGTGCAATCTTGAGTTTCGCATTCATGATCTACACAGGGTATACGATTCCTACTAACTATATCCCTACTTGGTCCCGATGGATCAACTACATCAACCCCTTTGCCTATGCCTTTGAGTCTCTCATGGTGAATGAATTTCATAACAGGCAATTTCCCTGCGCCCAGACCATCCCACAAGGACCTGGATACGAAGGCATTCCTATCGAGTCCCAGGTTTGTTCATCCGTGGGTGCTCTCCCAGGCTCAACAACCGTCGACGGAGACAGGTACATTGGACTGACCTACGAGTATTATAATACACACAAGTGGAGGCGAGTGCACTTATTGGCTAGATATCTGCATATGATAGACTCTAACGATGCCAACTAGAAACATTGGAATTCTATGCGCCTTCTGGTGCTTCTTCTCTGCCATCTACATCCTGGCTGCCGAGTTCGCTAAACCCCCGAAGAGCAAAGGCGAGGTCCTAGTCTTCCCTTCGGGTAAGATACCCAACCAACTGGGCAAGAAAGGCGCCAAGGACATGGAGTTGCAGCCTCCGCTCCGGGATGCCAGTGTCGAAAAACAACGAGATAACTCCTCAAATGTGGGTGTCGGTTTGGCAACTGATACAGCCGTATTCCACTGGGAAGATCTCTGCTACGACATTCAGGTAAAGAAGGAAAATCGCCGTATCCTGGACCATGTTGATGGCTGGGTCAAGCCAGGAACTGCCACTGCACTGATGGTATGAACCGAAGTCGAACCCTGCTGAATTTTTTTTACTTACTGACTTTGATTTCTAGGGTGTTTCGGGAGCTGGCAAGACTACGCTACTAGATACTCTCGCGAATAGAGTCACAATGGGTGTGGTTACCGGTGACACACTAATCAATGGCGACCCAACAGATAATTCCTTCCAACATCGTGTTGGCTACGTCCAACAACAGGATTTGCACCTGAATACCTCTACAGTTAGAGAAGCTCTCGAGTTCAGCGCCCTACTGCGTCAGTCCGTCGAAATTTCAAACAAAGAAAAAGTTGCCTATGTAGATCAGGTAATTGAAATGCTTGAGATGCAAAGCTTTGCCGATGCTGTTGTGGGTGTTCCCGGGGAAGGCCTCAACGTTGAACAAAGAAAGCGTCTTACTATCGGCGTCGAATTGGCAGCCCGACCTCAGCTTCTGCTCTTCCTTGACGAGCCAACGTCTGGCTTGGACTCACAGACCTCGTGGGCTATCTGCCAGTTGATCAAGAAACTTACCCGGAACGGCCAGGCGGTACTATGCACAATTCACCAGCCTTCGGCCATGCTGTTTGATCAATTCGATAGATTGCTGCTACTCGCACCAGGTGGCAAGACGGTTTATTTTGGAGGTAAGCTTGATGAGATCCATTGGCCAATAGACGTCATATGAACCTCCGCTTATGTGTATCAGAACTTGGAAATAAATCAAGAAAGTTGATTGATTATTTTGAACGAAATGGCGCTCAGAAGTGCCCAGTCGAAGGCAATCAAGCAGAGTGGATGCTGGAAGTCATTAAGCCCGCCTTGGATGGAAGCGACAGCATCGACTGGCACAATACGTGGCGGACTTCCCCTGAGTTCCAGGATGTCAAAGCCGAGCTGGCACGACTGCGAGGCCTCGCGAGCGCCGACAAGGAAACAGCCCTTCAAAGAACCGGTGAAGCGTCCCAGCATCGGGAATTTGTGGCTTCGTTCTGGACTCAGATGTTACTCGTTATTAATCGCACATGGAAGCACTTTTGGCGCTCGCCGGTGTACATATGGTCCAAGACGATCCTTGTCGTCGTTTCGGTAAGACTACACACTCTGGCCTCTTGATCGTCTTACTGATTTGTTCGCGCCTCTAGTCGATCTTCATTGGATTCAGTTTCGTCGCGGAGAATTCTATTCAGGGCTTGCAAAACCAACTCTACGCTATCTTTATGTTTCTTATCATGTTCCAGAACATCAACGAGCAGATCATGCCCATGTTCGAACCGCAGCGGGCCTTGTTCGAAGTCCGCGAACGGCCTTCAAAGATTTACAAATGGACAGGTGGGTGACTTTGGATTATATTAATCATGAACGGTCACTGATATTCAAGGCTCAGTTTTCCTCCTCACAAATATTCTAGTGGAGGCTTGTTGGAACACATTCATGGCTGTCGCGGCCTACTTCTGTTGGTATTACCCCGTGGGATTCTACATCAACACCACAGCCGAAAATACCGCTGTGCGCGGATTCCAGGTGTTCTTGCTTCTCTGGATGTTCATGTTGTTCACAAGTACCTTCTCGCACTTTGCTATCAGTTGGATGCCCACCGCCGAAGTAGCAGGCGTCCTCGCTGCACTGTTATGGATTTTCTCCTTGGTTTTCTGCGGGTAAGTAGCTCCCCATGGCGAGATATATAAAGGATCTAGTCAATCCTTCAATATCAAAGATCATCTCGGAAACTATTCTAACTCCTGTCTTAGCGTCGCCATCCCGCCCATGGACTTCCCCAACTTCTGGAGGTGGATGTTCCCTGTTTCCCCTGCCACCTACTTGGTCGGAGGCGTCATGTCCGCAGCCATCGCCGGTGTAAACATCACATGCTCTGCAGCGGAAATACTTCACCTGATCCCACCGGCCAACTTGACTTGCGGTGCATTCTTGTCGGAATTTGCTGAAGCCGCTGGTGGACTCCTGCTAAATCCAGAATCGACAGATGAGTGTAGGTACTGCCCCCTCAGGACAACCGACCAGTTCCTGTCCCGATTCGAGATCTATATCAAGGATAGTTGGAGGAATTTTGGTTTGATGTGGGTGTATATTCTCTTCAATGTTGGATGTGCAATGGGGCTGTACTGGCTATGCAGGATGCCGAAGGGAAAGGGGGTTAGACGTGCGAACAAGAAGGAAGCTGTCGACAGTCAGCTTAATATGTAGTCGGTGGGTTTATTTCTATCTGTCAGACTTCATGATTGTGAGATTCTTGGATGGAGGAAGGAAGATGTGAAACGATAGACTGGTAATTGCGCTTTATCGAAGATGTAGATTACATTCTCTCAAGGGTCGGATGAAGACATAGTGGGATTTAAGGATATTTTTATTTGAACTAAACAAAAGCGAACTCAATTCTCTAAGGTCTGTGGATAATCAAGGTGTTTTCAGAGGTTCCAGGCATGTACATGTACCATTGTTGATAGACATGCCTGGGAATCGCCACATAACCCATCACCCATGGTGATCCGCTAGGGGCTCTACCTACCACAAGTACACACACCCGACTTCCCACCTGCGACCTGGAAATAAAAGAAACTCGAACTTCCCATCCAAAGCTTGTAACGAAATCAATTATTCGCAGTGTGGCTCATATCCGATGATCTCAGCAAGCGCCTCGTCCATTACGGGAATGACAGCAAGACTGTGAGTCAAAACTATTAGCACAATATCAAGTAGCAAGGTATTTATCGACCAACTTACTAGGCATGGATATGGGTGTAGTCAGCCTGCCACCACCCGTCATCGCGCTTCCAACACTGCCAGTTGTGGACGATGGCTCCACGTTTGCGCAGAGCTCGCAGGAAGCACTGCCCGTATTCCTCCTCGCAGTATCCCTTGAACTGCCAGCTCATACGGGGGAAGGCAGGCCAATGATTGGACTCGAGGCACTGGAGTTCAGGCTTGGGAGGCTTTTCCAAGGGGTAGTCTTCCAAAGTATCTGTCACGAAGAGGCTCTTGTCCTTCCACGAGTTATTGGGGATTCTGGAGGCTGTACGGAAAACAGAGCTGTTCAAGGTGATGTTGCCTGCCTCCGGGTCATCTATCCAGGCGAACCCGCGTACGGGATCTTCGAGTTCTTGGTGCATCTTCTTCCTTTCGCTCTCGCTGTACTTGGTGGTATTGCTGCTGCTGCTGCTGTTGCTGCTGCTGTTGCTGTTGCTGTTGCTGTTGCTGTTGCTGTTGCTGTTGCTGTTGCTGTTGCTGTTGCTGTTGCTGTTGCTGTTGCTGTTGCTGTTGCTGTTGCTGTTGCTGGTGCTGTTGGTGCTGTTGGTGGGCTTGATGATCAAGGTGTCATTGTTATTCAAGGTGCTGTTACTGTTCTTGATGCTCAAGCTGCTATTGCTGGCGTCCGTTGACGTCGGCATGCCAGCGGCAAAGCCTGCAACCACCAACGCGGATGCGAAAATGCGACGGGCCCTCATGTTGTATCAAACAGCAGGTCTTGGTGTTTTGAACTTGGAAAGATCTTCTTGACTGGTATGGATATTGCTCTCCGAGGATCCTTTGCCTGGAAAAGAGCAGCGAGGGCCAATATATATACTCCCCGTCGGCTGCCATGGAGACTGGTGGCTTATCTTGAGTGTGAAAGATTTTTCACCATGTGATACTACATTCTTTTTAGTTTTCTGAATTCTATAGCAGTAGTTAAGCAGAGCAGAGAAGTGTAAGACATTATACTCGAACTCTCATTCGTGAGGCTGGCGGCTAGGTTGCTACCTTAAGTGTCAAGCGCTGGCTGTTGGCCTTTGTATAAGCCACCGATTGGTCGATCATGAGACAAACTTTCACCTTTCTCAAGTTTAATTCCGCAGGCAATAGTAACTTAACACCACCTCGAAGTGAAACTTTATGGGCAAGCATTCAGCCACAAATTCACCGTTGCTTATCTTTACTCAGGGACCAATCTAAATTTGACCACAAGAAATTTCCTTTTTTACGCCTCATGTTATTACAACTCATCATGCCATCCAAGAGTCACTTGATCTCACAAAGATGATCAACCACCTCATCTCAGTATTCATGTTGAGATTGACCTTACAACACTAGCTTCCTGAAAGTAGCCGTGGTATTTCACTTCACAAGCATATCAAAATCGTCCTCCATAAAGTTGGTACAGCCACGATTGCAGATAAGACCCCCTGCCAAGGCGAATTGCGTGCTTTTGATTTACGGTCCGTGAGACTATTCTTGCATATGGGTATTGAAATTCAATTGATACATAGCCACCATCTGGTCAGATATTAGATCTGGCTTGGACGCCACAATCCCCATTCCGAATTGAAGTATGTCCGCCCTGGTTGATCCCTCAGATTAGAATGAAGAGGGGACAATGAATACTAGAGAAAAGCTAGTTCAGGTCACACCACACTAGCATTGACTCTTTCATCATGAAAGTCTCGAAGCTTCTGAATTGTGTAGGGATCAAAAAGCTTGATCAAGCCAAAGGACCGATGGGGCAAGGTTCAGCAGGCCTTTCGAGCGCACGCCCGGTTACAGTCGACGTGATGCGCCGCGTCCATGCACCGGGCAGATGATCGCGCAAAATTCCATCACTTGCTCATCGAATGGAACAGAGATTGCATTAAGCCACTTGGAAAAGCCTCCAGAATACAAGGTTAATTGATCTCGAGCTGTTCTATTTGGTACGTCAGCCGCCGTATGATGAAGTCTGCCCCTCCCCCCCGTAAAAGCTTACTTTCAATGACAATGTTTACTGGGTTGCTCCACCTGAGAAACGGAGTCTTTTCGATGATTTACCATCGCTTCGATGGCCTTGGGATCAGAAACATTGATAAAAGTGTTGGCAGGCGTAACTAGAGCCCAGACAGGGCCCAGCTTCACATGAGTGTCACCTTTATCGTAGAATTGCCATCCTGGGCGGGTGAACCTAATATATGTCGGGATGGAAGACCAGGGGCGGTGGTAGGAATCGATGAAATCCCAGACATAGCCTTGGACGAGCATCCAGAAGAAGTTCCTGTGGTCGATGGGGATCCAAACAACAGGTACACCCATGGACCGACATTTTGCAATATTCCGCCACAGGCTAATGATGTTCCATGCAATGTAGAGCAAGGGCGAAAGCAGCAGTAGCTGGAGCCACATCGCACGGTCTGGAATTTGAATCGGCTGTAACGTCGCGGCGTCAAGAATAGCTGAATTCATGTTGTGGCTGGGCTTTCGACGTGATATGAAAGAATTTGAGGCCAGATCAAGTAGATTGCGACAATCTATGACCGACATTATGCTGAGCCTCTCCAATTTATAACCGGCGGTGCGGTGGCGATGTCCTCCAACGTCACATGGGCCAACAATAAGCACGGGTGCGCCCGTCATCATTATGCTATCGTTACCACCAATGACAATGTTGTCTACACGCAAGCTAGATCTTGGCGGGGTCCTATTTCATTCGCTATTACAATTCTGCGTAGATCCTGCGATGCCTGTGAGAGAGGCCCTTGCCGCTTTATGCCACGGAGGCTTACAGGAGCCAATATCTTATTGTCAGTGGGCCTAATTGGTATTCTTGCTCATTCTACGCTTATGAGTGGTTGATTTGCTTAAAGCAGCAGCTGTTTTGGGTTGAATGTCATCAGTGAGACAAACATGGAGAAGCCAATCATAGCACCTGATTTACGGGAAGCTGTAATAGGTAGCCGTCATCAATGCGATCCCAGCTGCCACGAGGCTTATAGTACACAAAATATGCACCAGCAAATTAAAGCTTATTGTTTCTTGGGATCCATTATTAACCGACATGTCCGATTGTGACATGATGGCTATTCTACAGTCAGTGCAGTGACGACTTTAACTTCAACTCGATGACAAGTTCGTACTGTAGCATCATAGCGACACTCAACTACAATAATCGACCACAAGACTATCTCCTCTGAAGTCCATTCCGTGCAGATAAAACAAGCTAGATACACGCAATCTGAAAACTTATACCGCCTTAGCCTGCAGATCTGAACACGGGAGTTTCAGAGAGAAAACTACCAATAGTCCGCATAGTGGTTGTTGTACAGGGGCGAGTACATGTAGGCAGCTCCAAAGAAGAATAGCCACTGGCTGAATATTTGGGAAGGGATTTTCGTAAGTATCTTAGTGCACATTGCCATTTCATAGACCTTAGCATGTTGGTCCATGAGAGCATCGAGGGAGATGGCGTTGTCTTTCTCATGAACGGTGATGAGTATGAATGCCATGATGTCGAGGAGGCGATCTAGAATCTCCACTTAGCTTTTTTCTTCCCACGGCGGCGCAAGGAGATAACCGTCTACGGAAAGACTCGGCGAACATTAAGAGGCCTAGGATGAAGCAAGGACGGGATGCAGGGGTGAGGGGCCATTGAAAGACATATGATCTATGGCCTAGCAATTAATGATTATTCAAATAGACTTAATTTGATGTGTGCTCACCTCTTATACACTTTTCCTGCTCCAAACCCGCGTTCTTTTAGCTTCCAAACTGACCTTGGAGACCATTGACGTACGGCCAAGACCGAAGACTTCAATTCGATCTCCTGACGTCTGCGCAAGCCTTATCGAGCCTTGGCCGATCTGTTGTATCTTGCTAGGCGACGGTGCCTCATCATCAGAGTCGCTGCGCGCTCGGCGTCGCCGTTCGGGGTGGATGTCGCATGGCTTGAGGGTGGGCTTTTTCCTCATGATGGCCATCTCGGTTGAATGGATTGATGAATGGACTGAGAACACAGACTAGAATTTTCAAAATCGCCAAAGAATGGGGTGAATGGAAAGAGAGAGGGATTGAGGGCAGACTGAGGGCATATATGCGTCTTCCCCCTGAACCTTCATCGAGGGCAAATGAATGCGGGTAGAAAATAGGCAGCAGCCGAGGAAGAATCGCGCGGTGGTGTTTGGGCCGTAATAACATTTCCACTGGACGGATTTTATTTTGAGAGCTCCACTGGGGCAGACTTTATCGCTCGATTAAGCGCTCCAGCCCGTAACAGATGCTCCCCGCGACATGCCAGATCCACCATCCTTCTATGAAGAAATCGCGACAGGACAGAACAATGGGCAGCGGGAGTTCCAATTGCGGACAGTATGTTCATGCTACCGCAGCCGGGTCAGTCGTGCCCGTAGCCCGGCTGATGGCACTCGACTTCAAACATGTACAGCGCAAGTGCCACCTCTAGCGACGCCTATTACATGCGGCCGCATCAGAAGGACGTCCAGTTGCTCTCGCTATCCACCCGAATAGTCTGGCGGCTGCCTCTAACCTTTCAGTAGTCCTACACGATTGACCACAAGGGATCTGTCTGTAGGCACCTCGAGAAACGTCTGGGTCCTAGCAGCGACTAACTCTATGAGGCATTCATCATCACCGTCTCAACCTTGAGGGGTCTTAGCCAGCCGAAGAAAGATTGGTGACAGCGGATGAAGGCACTTAGTGGCACCTCGTGATTAGGTTGCGGGATTCCCTTTCAGCCGTGCAAGCCATAGCGGCTGCCCTCGATGCTGATAATACTCAACAGCAAGAGTTTGAGTGGCAGGAGAGCAGCTCGCAGGAGGTGCAGAGCCTCAGCAGCAAAATCTCTGACCGGAGGCTTGTTAATATCGCCAACGTGAACGAGACACTGGCAATCTATGTACCCAACGGTCACAGTTTGACCAAACTCCCGCGCTTCTCTTTCAGAAGCAAGGGAAGGACGGGGAGCCGCTATAGTCCCCTGTGGGAGGCGGCGGCTATCCTTACTGGCCTTACCACCTGGGAGCGAATAAACCAGATACTTCGGCATATGGATTGATTTCTATAAACCCCTCCACTCTGATTGAAATTCGTGATGAGCAATTGCTCCGCCCGTAACTCCGAATTCGAGTCCAGGTCGTCGCAGGGTACAATAAATCATAGAGCCGTAGCAGCGGATTCTACCAGTCGGCTTACATGACGATCTCATTGATTTTCACGAGCTGTTTTCAATAAAAAGGCCGTGTTATGGTCCTATAATATAGCCTCATAACCGACAGAAACAAACATTGAATGTGTACTTTCCCCAAAGGGAGCTGAATACCGATAATGAGCCTTCAGTAGAGTAAGTGAGAGAGCTATGCAGTTATGCGGCAGCTGCTGAAAAAAAGGGGGAAATTCCCAAACACTACCTAAGAATTGAACTTGGTATCATACCCAGTATCACAACACATTGAACTTCAGCCTTTTTGCCCGGCTACGAGGCTTGTGCCCGGCCGTACATAAGGTTCAACACCAACAATGGCTGTACCCAGAGCCTTCAGTAGAAGAATCAGTCCGACCAAAACCCAACGCGATACATACAAGAAATAGTAAAAGCCTTTAATCACAGTATTATTCTAGTCTGATACCTGATCCTTAATTATTTTATATGGTCGTCATCAAGCCAACCGCTTGGCGTTTGTGATATGCACTGTGAGGCTTTGGCCAAGATCTTGGCAATGTCACTCCGCGATTTAAAAGCCACCAAACCCACTGCCAGGGACTGGGTTGCAGTAAGCTTCGATAGGGCTGTGACATCTCGAGGCTTCACCCGACTGGCCCATTTACGAACGGAATCATGGGG